GCTCTGCTGGCCTCCATTCTGCTACTGGGTGAAATTTAATTTAAAGCACTAAATGGTTTGGGTCCAGACTATCTAACCAAACACATCTCCTCATATGAACCTGCTCAGACACTGAGCTCATTGAGAGGTCCTCTTCACGGTCCTACCCGGAGGTTTAGCACAGCTGATAAATCATCAGCAATTATAAGATCTATCAACCAAAATGTTGCAAGTTCGAAGCCCTGGGATGGCGTGAGTGGCCAACTGTCAGCCCTAGCTCATTGTTTACCTAAGCAATTTAAAAACAGCTTTAGCTGTGATTAGAAAAATTAGGTACCGCAAAAAAAAAAAAAAGCAGGGGAGGTGTTTTATGACGCCATAAAGAAGGAATATCAGAGAATGCTGGGTGACCAAAAGGAAGGAGGAAGTCCTGATGGCTCTTCGTCATAGAGGATAGAGCAACAGCATCCCCTGGACTCAAGCTCAACCTTCCATGGCACCTCCTTCTGTTCTGTTTGTGTATTGTCTATACAAAATGGCACTGAATGTTTGCTGTGTTATGTGTACTGTGATCCACCCTGAGTTCCCTTCGAGGTGAGAAGGGCGGAATATAAATAAAGTGTTGTTGCTATTATTATTCCTGTATCAAACTTGGTTGGTGCGGACGAGAGAGGGCCTTCTCTGCAATTGCCCCCCACCTCTGGAATTACCCCCTAAAGGAGATCAGAATGGCCCCATCACGATCCTCCTTTAGTAAGCAAATAAAAACCTGTAATATGCAAATGGCTTTTAACGATTGTTTTTATTTATATTGTTTTAACTTATTATTATTGTTTCTCATATGATTTGTATAATTTGCACAGTTGGTGGGGATAAGGGGGGGGGCTTCTCTGTGATTGCCCTCTACCTCTGGAACTCCCTCCCCAAAGAAGTAAAAATGGCCCACTCCCTCCTCTCCTTTAAAAAGCTTTTAAAGACTCATTGGTGCACTTTAGCTTATGGAGGAGGATTCGAACAACTTAATACAGTGGTTCTCAACGTGTGGGTCCCCAGGTGTTTTGGCCTAAAATTCCCAGAAATCCCAGCCAGTTTACTAGCTGTTAGGATTTCTGGGAGTTGAAGGCCAAAACTTCTGGGGACCCACACGTTGAGAACCACTGATTTAATACATCCTCGTTTGGAAATGCACTTTGGCACAGTTTGGCTGTTGCATATCATCATCACACTAATTTAAATCACATCACACATTATTTCACACTTTTAATTGTACCTTAATTTATTTTGATCCTTTTGATGCAAATGTGTATGGTGAACTTTATGTGTTTTAAACTATTATTTGGTTGGCATTTAAGTTTTTAAGTTTATATTGATGCTATTTGTTTGTTGTTTGATTTGTTTTGTTGCTCACTTTGGCACTGAAAGTTTCCCCTTTTTTTCTGGAATCTGCCCTGAATCCCTCTGAGGAGATAGGGCGGGTTGCAAATAAAGTATTGTTAGGTTGCTGTGACTTTTCCAGGGTGTATGGTGATGTTCCAGAAGCATTCTCTCCTGACATTTCGCCCACATCTATGGCAGGCATCCTCAGAGGTTGTGAGGTATTTTGGAAACTAAGCAAGGGAAGTTTATACATCTGTGGAAGGTCTAGGGTGGGAGAAAGAACTCTTGTCTGTTGGAGGCAAGTGTGAATGTTGCAATTAATCCTGCAAAGCCTTGCAGCTTCAAAGTCCGGCTGAATCCTGCCTGGGGGAATCCTTTGTTGAGAGGTGTTAGCTGGCCCCGATTGTTTCATGTCTGGAATTCTCCTGTTTTCAGAGTGTTGTTCTTTGTTTACAGTTCTGATTTTAGAGTTTTAAAAATACTGGTGGCCAGATTTTGTTCATCTTTATGGTTTCCTCCTTTCTGTTGAAATTTGAAGTATTACTACTATTATTTATTTTGAACATTTAATGCAATACAACTGTTTGGTTCGCTCCTGACATGATAAATATATATATATAATTTTTTTTTCGTGTCAGGAGCCACTTGCGAAACTGCAAGTTGCTTCTGGTGTGAGAGAATTGGCTGCCTGCAAGGACGTTGCCCAGGGGATGCCCAGATGTTTTTGCCAACCTTGTGAGAGGCTTCTCTCATGTCCCTGCATGGGGAGCTGGAGCTGACAGAGGGAGCTCATCCACATTCTCCCCAGATTCAAACCTGCGACCTGTTGGTCTTCAGTACTGTCGGCACAAGGATTTAACCCACTGAGTCCCCGGGGGCTCCTTATATATATATAAATAAATATTTAGAACATTTCTACCTCATCCTTCTCAGCCTCCAAAGAGGGACTGTTGTTGTTGTGTTGTATTGTGTATCTGAATTTGTTTAATGTATTATTTATGGCATTGAAAATTTGCCTTTTTATGTTGTGAGAAACCTTGCACCCCCTTGGGGAGATTGGGTGGAGCAGAAATAAAGTTTTACTTACTAGTTTTACTTACTTACTAGTCTGGATGAGAGCAAGCAAATTGAAGTTGAATCCAGACAAGACAGAGGTCCTCCTGGTCAGTTGCAAGGCCGAACAGGGTATAGGGTTGCAACCTGTGCTGGATGGGGTCACACTCCCCTTGAAGGCACAGGTTCACAGCTTGGGAGTTCTCCTGGATTCATCACTGAGCCTGGAATCCCAGGTTGCAGCGGTGGCCAGGGGAGCGTTCGCACAATTAAAACTTGTGCGCCAGCTGTGCCCGTACCTTGGGAAGTCAGACTTGGCCACGGTGGTCCATGCTCTCATTACATTGAGGATAGACTACTGCAACACACTCTACGTGGGGTTGCCGTTGAAGACTGCTTAGAAGCTTCAAATAGTCCAACGAGAGGCAGCCGGGTTAATAACTGGGGCGGCATACAGGGAGCATACAACTCCCATGTTACGCCAGCTCCACTGGCTGCCAGTTTGCTACCGGGCGCAATTCAAAGTGCTGGATTTGGCCTATAAAGCCCTAAACGGCCCCGGCCCAAATTACCTGTCCGAATGCATCTCCCCCTATGAACCATCATGGAGATTAAGATCTCCGGGGAGGCCCTGCTTTCCGTCTCGCCATTGTCACAGGCGCGATTGGTGGGGATGAGAGACAGGGCCTTCTTGGTGATTGCTCCCTGGCTATGGAACTCCCAGGTGAGATCAGGCCGGCCTCCTCCCTCCTGTCCTTTAGAAGGATGGTCAAAACTTGGCTGTGGGACCAAGCTTTCAGGACAGGGCAATAAAGCAGCAATAGGAAAGATTACCAGGCCAAAATACTAGATTTGATGTGGATGACTAGGACGGTTTTAAATGGTGTGTTTTAATATTTTGATAAATGTTGTTTTAATGTTTATGTATTATATGTGAATTTGTGTCTCGGCATTGAATGTTTGCCATGTATATGCTGTGCTCCACCCGGAGTCCCCTTCGGGGTGAGAAGGGCGGAATATAAATCTATATAAATAAAAATGTAAAGTTCATTTGTGGGATTAACGGAACTCAAAAACCACTGGACGAATTGACACCAAATTTGGACACAAGACACCTAACAACCCAATGTATGCCCTTCACTCAAAAAAATTGATTTTGTCATTTGGGAGTTGTAGTTGCTGGGGTTTATAGTTCACCTACAATCAGAGGCGGCCCTAGGTAATTTTTCAATGGTAAGCAAACAGTATTTTGGTCCCCGTCCCCCCCAACCAATCACTGAAATATATTTTCTGTTCGTCGTGGGAGTTCTGTGTGCCATATTTGGTTCAATTCCATCATTGGTGGAGTTTGATTGTAGGTGAACTATACATCCCAGTAACTACAACTCGCATGTGTCAAGGTCTATTTTCCCCCAAGAGCGCCTCAAGACGCCCCTGGGCAAAATCAACTATACTGCAAATGCTTACGTTGCGTAATGGGTTGAGCCGCCCCTGCCTACAATCAAGAGCATTCTGAACCCCACCAACGATGGAATTGAACCAAACTTGACCAACAGAAAATGCTGGAAGGGTTTGGTGAGCAGTGTCCTTTGGTTTTGGAGTTGTAGTCCACCTACATCCAGAGAGCACTGTGGAATCAAATAATGATGGATCTGGACCAAACTCTACACGAATACTCAATATGCCCAGATGTGAACACTGGTGGAGTTTGGCGGAAATAGAATCTGGACATTTGGGAGTTGTAGTTGCTGGGATTTATAGTTCACCTACAATCACAGAGCATTCTGAACCCCAACAATGATAGAATTGGGCCAAACCTCCCACACAGAACCCCCATGACCAACAGAAAATACTGGAAGGGTTTGGTGGGCAGTGTCCTTTGGTTTTGGAGTTGTAGTCCACCTACATCTAGAGAGCACTGTGGACTCAAACATTAATGGATCTGGACCAAACTCTACACGAATACTCAATATGCCCAAATGTGAACACTGGTGGAGTTAGGGGGAAATAGAATCTGGACATTTGGGAGTTGTAGTTGCTGGGATTTATAGTTCACCTACAATCACAGAGCATTCTGAACCCCACCAACGATAGAATTGGGCCAAACCTCCCACACAGAACCCCCATGTGGGCCACAGCAGGGCTAGTGTTTCAAATAAATAATAAATAGTGTGGTGAGTTCCCCTTCTCCTGAGGCTTTGAAGCAGAGGCTGGATGGCCATCTGTCGGGAGGGCTTAGGTGGTGTATTCCTGCCTGGCAGGAAAGGGACAGACTGGATGGCCTTTAGGGGTCCCTTTCAGCTCTGATTCCCAGGCCCATTCAAAGTCTGGGGTTCACTGGCCTCATTTGACTAAGCCTGTCTAGTCTGTACACAGATGAATGGGTGGCCTATGGAGAGGCTTTTCAACTCCCACATCCTGGCCTTCCCTTACTTTCCACTGAACTCTGTTGAGGAAGAAGGCAAGGTCTATGGCAAAAGGGACACAAAGCCCGAAGGAAAGGGACATTCGCCTTGAAAGAACCAGAAGCCACTGAGGAACAACCTCCTTGGGAGAAACAGGCGGGAAATGAGGCCTAGCGCGACTCTTACCAGTTCAGGGCCAGCCACAGGAGCTGCTGTCTCCGTCTCCGGCGCCGCCATCTTGCTGCGCCGTTGCCTGGTGGAGGTCTCGCGAGACTTCCCCTCTCCTTCCCCTCCCTTCAAGTCCCGTTCTCGCCTTTCGCCCGGAGCCACGTGACCTTCTCTGGTTCGACTCCAGGCGAGCGCCTTCGGGTTACCGTAATTCTCCGAAAACAACAACAACAACAAAAATCCACCAAAGGCATGACTCGATGCTACCGTAATGATGATAATATAAGTTCTACCAATTCTGTTCAACATCTACACAAATGACCAGCCACTGCCAGAAGGGACAGAGAGCTTCATCTATGCTGATGATCGTGCCATCACCGCTCAAGCAGGGAGCTTTGAGATGGTTGAACAGAAGCTCTCCGAAGCTCTAGGTGCTCTTACTGCCTATTACAGGGAAAACCAGCTGATCCCTAATCCATCTCAAACACAGACATGTGCTTTTCATCTCAAGAACAGACAAGCATCCCGAGCTCTGAGGATAACCTGGGAAGGAATCCCCCTGGAGCATTGCAGCACACCCAAATACCTGGGAGTCACTCTGGACCATGCTCTGACCTACAAGAAGCACTGCCTGAACATCAAGCAAAAAGTGGGCTAGAAACAATATCATACGAAAGCTGACTGGCACAACCTGGGGATCACAACCAGATACAGTGAAGACATCTGCCCTTGTGCTGTGCTACTCTGCTGCTGAGTACGCATGCCCAGTGTGGAACACATCTCACCACACTAAAACAGTGGATGTGGCTCTTAATGAGACATGCGCATTATCACGGGGTGTCTGCGCCCTACACCACTGGAGAAATTACACTGCTTAACCAGTATTGCACCACCTGACATCCGCCGGGAAGTAGCAGCCAATAGTGAAAGGACCAAGGCAGAGACATCTCCAGCTCATCCCTTGTTTGGGTATCAGCCAGCACGTCAACGACTTAAATCAAGAAATAGTTTTCTAAGATCTACAGAGACACTCGCTGGAACACCTCAGCAAGCGAGAGTCCAAAAGTGGCAGGCTCAAACCCAGAACCCCAACCAACCTCATCCAACCAAATGAGAGACTCACTCCTGGGCACACAGAAAACTGGGCAACTTGGAAGGCGCTGAACAAACTGCGCTCTGGCACCACGAGATGCAGAGCCAACCTTAAGAAATGGGGCTACAAAGTGGACTCCACGACATGCGAGTGTGGAGAAGAGCAAACCACTGACCACCTGCTGCAATGCAACCTGAGCCCTGCCACATGCACAATGGAGGACCTTCTTGCAGCAACACCAGAAGCACTCCAAGTGGCCAGATACTGGTCAAAGGACATTTAATCAACTACCAAACTCACAAATTTTGTTTTGTGTCTGTCTAAATTTGTTAAAAATGTAATACAATTGTCTGGTTGATACTGACACGATAAATAAATAAATAAATACCAAATTTTGTGGATTTGGGATTCAGTTGTATTTTTCTACATGACCCATAGGACGACTACACCTGAATATGTAAACATTTTAGCCTCTGGCTGGAGACAGTAGTGGTTAGAATGGATCTGAAAATTATTATTACTATTGTAGTTATTTACATATTTACATATATTTAAATATTTATATTTAAATCTGGAGTCATAGAATTATAGAGTTGGAAGAGACCTCATGAGCCATCCAGTCCAATCCCCTGCCAAGAAGCAGGAATATTGCATTCAAAGCACTCCTGACAGATGGCTCAAGCCAACCTTAAAAAACTCTGGCATAGACACTGAGAACTGGGAAGCCCTGGCCCTTGAGCGCTCCAGCTGGAGGTCAGCTGTGACCAGCAGTGCTGCAGAATTTGAAGAGGCACGAATGGAGGGTGAAAGAGAGAAACGTGCCAAGAGGAACGCGTCAAGCCAACCCCAACCGGGACCGCCTTCCACCTGGAAACCAATGCCCTCACTGCGGGAGAAGATGCGGGTCAAGAATAGGGCTCCACAGCCACCTACGGACACACTGTCCTGTAAGACTATCCTACTAGTCCAACAAGGGATTGCTTAAGTAAGTAAGTAAAAGCTTCCAAAGAAGGAGCCTCCACCACACTCCAGGGCAGAGAGTTCCACTGCTGAACGGCTCTCACAGTCAGGAAGTTCTTCCTAATATAATTATTTAATGGGTTGTTGTAGGTTTTTCCGGGCTATATGGCCATGTTCTGGAGGCAATTTTTCTCTCCTGACGTTTCACCTGCATCTATGGTAAGCATCCTCAGAGGTAATGAGGTCTGTTGGAACTAGGAAAAACTAGTTAGAATTAATGCTAGTCAATACCACTTTAACTGCCATGGCTCAAGGCTATGGGATCCTGGGATTTATAGTTCAACGAGGCATCGGCACTTTTTGTAAAACCATAACTCCCTTGATTCCATAGCCTTGCGCCATGAAGGTTAAAGTGGTATCAAACTGCATTAACTCAACAGTGTAGATGCAATTTGAAGATGCACCAGAACTGAGGAGTTAATGCCAGTTGATACCATTTTAACTGCTGTGGCTCAAAGCTATGGGATCCTGGGATTTATAGTTCGATGAGGCATCAGTGCTTTTTGTAAAACCATATCTTCCTTGATTCTATAGCATTGAGCCATGAAAGTTCAACTGGTATCAAACTGCATTAACTCAACAGTGTAGATGCACCCTCTAAGGGAATTCTAGCCACAGTGTCTCTCCCAAAGATTCACTTCTGGACCCTTTTTCTCAGTGGACATTCTGGCAATCTGTGCTGTAGTTGGGAAGAGATGCCAGACTTGCTTTAATGCAACTGAACAATTCTTACCAGAGGCATTATCATCATTAACTTTGCTTATTCCTTGTGTTTGCCAATTTGGACTTGAGGCCGCTTATGAATCAAAATGATTGCACTGCAGTTAGAAGAATTAAAAGCTCAAAATTAAAATAGCGTTGGATACAGAAACAATGTAAACCAGACTCTTAACAATATCACAAGTCTGTTAATAAAGTAGAATTTAGTAGTTGGAATGAAATTGTGTAGTTTTTGAAAAAACATAATCCAAAATGTGTTTGTTTTATTTTTTGTGAATAAAAATTACATGTATTTAAATATTGAATTTAAATAAATTTAATATAATACAATGCCCTTTTAAAAACTCCTATAAATTACATATATCCAATGTGTGTGTATGTGTGTGTATGAATGTATACGTGTATGTGTACATATTAGAATATATATACATATATAGAAAATATATAGTAGAGAACATATATATGTATATAAGATAAAGGTTTTCCCCTGACATGAAGTCCAGTCATGTCCAACTCTGGGGGGTGGTGCTCATCTCCATTTCTAAGCCAAAGAGCCGGCATTGTCCGTAGATGCTTCCAAAGTCACGTGGCCAGCACAACTGCATAGAGCGCCGCTACTTTCCTGCAGAAGCGGTACCTATTGATCTACTCACATTTGCATGTTTTCAAACTGCCAGGTTGGCAGAAGCTGATCCTAACAGCGAGAGCTCACCCCGCTCCCCGAACTCAAACTGCTGACCTTTTGGTCAGCAAGTTTAGCAGATCAGTGGTTTAACCTCAGCAGGGGCCTGAGAAGAAATATATATAGCCATGAATATAATAGTGAACATGTGTGTGTGTGTGTACACACACACACACACACACACACACACTAGCTGTCCCCTGCCACGCGTTGCTGTGTCCCAATCTGGTGATCTGGAAAATAAAGTAATGAGAAAGTGTTGGTTTCTAATATATGTAATTTCTTTATGCTTTTGGGTGAACAGTATTTCTTGTTTATTTGTCAGTGCTGATCTAGAGATTGTCTGCTTTGCCTTCTCTGGAACACGCCACATATAATTGTCCTTCTTTAAGGGTCCCTTTCAAATCTATGATGTTAAAACCAGACAAGTTATAAAATAGTGGCTATGTACAATATCTGTCTTCATAAAGTGCAACAGTGATCACTCACTAAGTCCTTGAATATACAGTATATCTCTCCCTGTGTGTGAATCATATCTATATCTATGGCTGGATGGCTTTTTGTCAGGAGGGCTTTGATTACGTTTTCTTGCCCTGGTGAAGGGTGTTGGACTCAAAGGCCTTAAGTATTTTCTGCTGGTCATGCAGGTTCTGTGTGGGATGTTTGCCCCAATTCTGTCGTTGGTGGGATTCAGAATGCTCTTTGACTGTAGGTGAACTATACATCCCAGTAACTACAACTCACAAATGTCAAGCTCTATTTCCCCCAAACTCCATCTGTGTTCATATTTAGGCATATGGAATATTCATGAGATGTTTGGTCCAGATCATCATTGTTGAGTCCACAATGCTCTCTGGATGTAGGTGAACTACAACTCCCAAAGTCAAGGTCAATGCCCACCATACCCTTCTAGTGTTTTCTGTTGGTCATGGGAGTGCTGTGTGCCAAGTTTGGTTCAATTCCATCATTGGTGGGGTTCAGAATGCTCTTTGATTGTAGGTGAACTATAAATCCCAGCAACTACAACTCCCAAATGACAAAATCATTTTTTGAGTGATGGTCACTCCTTGGGTTAGTAGGTGTCTTGTGGCCAAATTTGGCGGCAATTCGTCCAGCAGATTTTGAGTTATGGTTTCACTCAAAACAAACAGAGCATTTATACATCTCTATCTATCTATCTATCTATCTATCTATCTATCTATCTATCTATCTATCTAGACTTATTACATACATACATACACATACAGTAAAATTCAGTATTTACTTATATCAACCTACAGTTCCAAATACTCATTGACTTAATAAATCTCAGTTTAGAAATCGAAAGCAACACATTTTGACCTAACAACACATTTTTTGAGTGCCAGGGGTGAAACGAGGTCACATTTTAAAAACAATGTAATGAATAACAGTCGATTTCCTTTTCCTGGCGTGATTACTATATGTTTATTCTTATTTTTACAAGGTTAAAGGTTTATGACATTTTCAGAAGCAGTTGGACCGTAAATGGATGTCATTCTCTTACCAATTCACCCCTTTTGCATCACACAATTTACAGTAAACTGATTCCACTTGAACTTCGAAGTCCCCCTGCAATGTAATCCTGGGATGTGTAGTTTTGTGAAGTTCTCCACTAGAGAGGTGTCTATACCGTAGAATGCATTGCCGAAGGCTTGCCGAAGTCTATACCGTAGAATGAATGCAGGTTGATACCACTTTAACACCCACAGCTCAAGGTGATGGAATTTTGGGAGTTGTAGTTTTACAAGGTCTCTAGCCTTCTCTGCCAAAGAGGGTTGGCGCCTCAATAGATTCTTAGAATTCCATACCATGGAGGCATGGTAGTTAAAGTGGTGTCAAACTGCATTAATTCTACAGTGTAAATGCATCCCAAATCTAAACCCCTTGGCCAAGAATTTTCTGGCACCAAAAGCAGCAATTTAGCCCTCTCTCCTGTTTCATTTTCCTAGAAATCAAGCCATTCCCAATCTCTCATTTCATTCCTCTTCCTAGAAATCAGATGGGAATGGGGAAACCGAAAGGTAAAAGACAGATGAGGAGGAGGAAAAAATAGCAGCAGCAGGAACAAAAGAAGGTGTAACAGAGCCTTGAAATAAATCTTGGCTTCGTCATCCACATCCAGGAAATTTGATAAGATGGGAGATGTAGTCCAACGCAAAGTAGGATTGCCATGAATAAATAACCCTGCTTGTTTATATGCCTTGAAGAGCAGATATTGTACATCTCTTTCTGGAGAGAAAAAGCAGGGTATAAATCAGGCATGGGCAAACTTCCGCCCTCCAGGTGTTTTGGACTTCAACTCCCACAATTCCTTACAGCCTGAGCAGTACCTATTGATCTACTCACATTTGCATGTTTTCAAACTGCTAGGTTGGCAGAAGCTGGTGCTGACCGCGGAACTTCACCCCGCTCCCTGGATTCAAACTTCTGACCTTTTGGAGAAAAAGTAGGGTATAAATAAATATAATAATCCCTATAAATAAAAATATAATGTTCATTTGTGGTATTCACAGAACTCAAAAACCATTGGACAAAATGACACCAAATTTGGACATAAGACACCTAACAACTCAATGTATGTCCTTCACTCAAAAATATTTATTTTGTCATTTGGGAGTTGTAGTTGCTGGGATTTATAGTTCACCTACAATCAAAGAGCATTCTGAACTCCACCAATGATGGAATTAAACCAATCTTGGGACACAGAACTCCCATGATCAACAGAAAACACTAGAAGGATTTGGGAATTGTAGTTCACCAACATCCAGAGAGCACTGTGAACTCAAACAATGATGGATCTGGACCAAACTTGGCACGAATATTCCATATGCCCAAATATGAAGACAGATGGAGTTTGGGGAAATAGACCTTGAGATTTGGGAGTTGTAGTTACTGGGATTTATAGTTCACCTACAATCAAAGAGCATGTTGAACCCCACGAACAATAGAATTGGGGCAGACTTTCAACACAGAACCCCCATGACCAACAGAAAATACTTAAGGCCATCCAACTCCCTTCGCGAGGGCAAGAAAACGTAATCAAAGCCCTCCTGACAAAGAGCCATCCAGCCATCGATATAGATTGGTATATGTGATTCACATACACAGAGATATGGTCTCATAGATTGGAAAGGGACCCCTAAAGAAGGACAATGATATGTTGCATATTGCAGAGTACGCAAACCAGACATTCTTCACATCAACACTGACAAAGAAACAAGAAGAAATACTGTTTACCCACAAGCATAAGGAAATTACATATATTAGTACCAAACACTTTCTCATTGCTTTATTTTCCAGATCACCAGACTGGGCCACAGCAAAGTGTGGCAGGGGACAGCTAGTCTATATAAATAAAAATGTAATGTTCGTTTGTGGGATTACCATAACTCAAAAACCACCACACGAATTAACACCAAATTTGGACACAAGACACCAATCAGGCCAAGGAGCGACCATCACTCATAAAAACAATGAAAAACACAGTGGAAGGGACTTAAAAAGTCAAAAAAGCTAAAAGATACTACAGCGCATGCGCAAAAATGACTCCCCGGCCAAAAAAACCCCCCACACAATAGCATATCCACACTCTCTTCTGGACTACAGCTCCCAGCATCCCCTAGACCAGGCCCTTTAGGAGAGAGGATGATCCAAATGCACTGCTTCCAAGCTGCAAGCTTTCTTCTCCTTGGATTTCTTTGAGAGCATCCCAATCCCTGCATATTTCCAATTTCCTATTCCTGGACTGCAACTCCCAGCAATCCTCCAGATAGATAGATTAGATAGAGATAGGTAGGTAGGTAGATCAATCAGGAGGACTGCTGGGAGTTGCAGTCCAAGAATAGGTAGAGAAGAGAAAAGGGGGAGAAATAGGAATATAAATACTGTAAAATAAATAATTACAAAGTTTGCACCACAAAAGCAAAGTTTCGGGAGTAGAACAACTACTTTCAAGGTAATTAAACAGGAAATAACACTTCCAAACCAGGAACAGAATTGGGTTGTTGTAGGTTTTTTTGGGCTATATGGCCATGTTCTGAGAGGCATTTTCTCCTGACGTTTCGCCTGCATCTATGGCAAGCATCCTCAGAGGTAGTGAGGTCTGTTGGAACTGGGAAAAATGGGTTTATATATCTGTGGAAAGACCAGGGTGGGACAAAGGACTCGGGCTTACCCCCCCCCCCCCGAAATTCTCATGGTGGTTCGCGAAAAGGCCTTACTGGTGCATTATTTAAACTGTTATGTTTATTCATATCATGATCTGATCACCATACTTAATATATCCCATATGCATTGGGGTACTGGGGTAATGATACAAAAGGTTTGCTAGGGTAGACCCTCTTTCACTCAGACTCAGACCCCCCCGAAACTCAGCCCCCCCCCACCCGGAACGAAATCCTGGCTACGGGCCTGTGTGGAATGATATCCAGGGTGGGACAAAGGACAACAGCAAAACAACAGAAGGGAAACAATCAGGGACATCTAATCACCTCTCAACAAAAGATTGCCCCAGGCACTGCCAGGCCATCAAATGCTAATCAAGGTGATCAGCTGAAACATTCACACCTAGATGTATATGGGTTTTTATATATGTGGAATGACCAGGATGGGACAAAGAACTCTTGTCTGCTGGAACTAGGTGTGAATGTTTCACTGCCAGGCCATCAAATGTTAATCAAGGTGGTCAGTTGAAACATTCACACCTAGCTCCAACAGACAAGAGTCCTTTGTCCCACCCTGGTCATTCCACAGATATATAAACCCCTTTTTCTAGTTCCAACAGACCTCACTACCTCTGATGATGCTTGCCATAGATGCAGGCGAAACGTCAGGAGAGAATGCCTCTAGACCATGGCCATATAGCCCGAAAGAACCTACAGCAACCCAATAAATAATAATGCTTTGGAGTAATGGGAGTTGTAGTTTGGTGGGGCACCAGAAAAGGGTTAAAGCCACACCACCCATGGTTCTAGAGCACTGATCCCTGGCAGCTAACGCGGTGTCAACCTGCATTCATGCTACAGTGTAGGCACACCCATGAGAGAGGAGGGGCTCTGTATGTTTAGCCCTGGAGCCCCGCCCCTTTACCGCCAAGGAGGGGGCTTTCCCGTTCCATTGGGGATGACCTCATCACCCCGCCTCAGCCAATCAGCGAGCGAAGGCCAGCAGAGCAGGGGAATTCCAAGGCGGGCCAGACTCCTCCCCTTTCTACTTTCCCCCTCCTGCTGTTAGATCAGAGAGGAAGAAGCGGGCAAGAGTGCTGGCTGTAGGGCTGGCCCAGTGGGCGATGTGGGCCTGGCCAGCCGGCCATGAGTAGCCCTAGCCTGAAGCAGCTGCCTCAAGCACCACCAGGCCAGAAGGAGAAGGGGATGTTGGCTCCCCCACTAGGTAGGACAAAGATGGAGGGGGTGGGGAGTGGGGAGCAGAAGGAGGGGCTACTAGTTTCCTCTCTGGGCCTTTGAAACTGGGGAGAGAAGCAAGGGGTGCATCTACACTGGATAGTTATTGCACTTTGACACCTATTTGCCCAAGCCCAAGACTACAGAATCCTGGACCATGTAGTTTTACAAGCCTTCTCAGCCAAAGAGTGTTGGGGACTCAGGGCCCTTCCAAAACAGGCCTGTAACCCAGAATATCAAGGCAGAAAATCCCACACTATCACTTCTGAACTGGGTTATCTGAGCCCATTACTGCTCAAGTAGGGAGCTTTGAGATGGTTGAACAGAAGTTCTCCGAAGCTCTAGGTGTTCTAACTGCCTATTACAGGGAAAATCAGCTGATTCCTAATCCACCTAAAACACAGACATATGCTTTTCACCTTAAGAACAGACAAGCATCCCGAGCTCTGAGGATTACCTGGGAAGGAATCCCACTGGAGCATTGCAGCGCACCCAAATACCTGGGAGTCACTCTGGACCGTGCTCTGACCTACAAGAAGCACTGCCTGAACATCAAGCAAAAAGTGGGTGCTAGAAACAATATCATACGAAAGCTGACTGGCACAACCTGGGGATCACAACCAGACACAGTGAAGACATCTGCCCTTGCGCTATGCTACTCTGCTGCTGAGTAGGCATGCCCAGTGTGGAACACATCTCACCACGCTAAAACAGTGGATGTGGCTCTTAATGAGACATGCCGCATTATCACGGGGTGTCTGCGCCCTACACCACTGGAGAAATTACACTGCTTAGCCGGTATTGCACCACCTGACATCCGCCGGGAAGTAGCAGCCAATAGTGAAAGGACCAAGGCAGAGACATCTCCAGCTCATCCCCTTTTGGGTATCAGCCAGCACGTCAACGACTTAAATCAAGACATAGATCTTAGATCTACAGAGACACTCGCTGGAACACCCCAGCAAGCGAGAGTCCAAAAGTGGCAGGCCCAAACCCAGCACCTCAATTCATGGGTGATACCAGATGAGAGACTCCCCTGGGCACACAGAAGACTGGGCGACTTGGAAGGCGCTGAACAGACTGCACTCTGGCACCACAAGATGCAGAGCCAATCTTAAGAAATGGCTACAAAGTTGAATCCACGACATGCGAGTGTGGAGAAGAGCACACCAGTGACCACCTGCTGCAATGCAACCTGAGCCCTGCTACATGCACAATGGAGGACCTTCTTGCGGCAACACCAGAAGCACTCCAAGTGGCCAGATACTGGTCAAAGGACATTTAACCAAATACCAAATTTGCAAAATCTGTGTTTTTTTTCTTTTTCTTTTTAATCTGTGTGTTTGTTTTGCTCTGTTAGAATTGTAATACAATGGTTTCTGATGACACGATAAATATAAATACCAGAATATCAAGGCAGAAAATCCCACACTATCTGTTTTGAACTGGGTTATCTGAGTCCACACTGTCATATATTCCAGTTCAAAGGGATTTTATTCAGAAGAACTCACTGAACATCAGATGAGAGCAGATTACTCCAGAATTGTTTTCGAAAGGATCCATCTACATTAGTGGCTCCTAATGCCGTGACCCCTTAATACAGTTGCTCATGTTATGGTGACCCCCCCAATTGTAATATTATTTTTGTTACTACTTCATAACTGTAATTTTGCTACTGTTATGAATGGCAATGTAAATATCTGATATGTAGGATGTATTTTCATTCACCTTGAGATTTGGGAGCTGTAGTTGCTGGGATTTATAGTTCACCAACAATCAGAGAGCATTCTGAACCCCACCAACGATAGAATTGGGCCAAACTTCCCAAACAGATCCCACATGACCAACACAAAATACTGTGTTTTCTGATGGTCTTTGGTGACCCCTCTGACACTCCCTCATGCCCTCCCCCAGGGGTCCCGACCCCCAGGTTGAGAAACGCAGATCTGCACTAATGTTTCTCAACCTGGGGGATTGCAAGGGGGTGTAGAGGGGTCGCCAAAGACTATCAGAAAACACAGTATTTCTACAACTCCAAAACTCAAGGTCAGTGCCCACTGAACCCTGTATTTTCTGTCAGTCATGGGAGTTCTGTCTGCCAAGTTTGGCCCAATTCTATTCTTGGTGGGGTTCAGAATGCTCTTTGATGGTAGGTGAACTATAAATCCCAGCAACTACAATTCCCAAATGTCAAGGTTACTGTTGCCTCAACTTTCATGAATTTAGAGTTTAATACAATAAGCTCAACTCTCTCCTTTGCTGGATTTACACTGCCCTTTATCCCAGGATCTGATCCCAGATTATCTTCTTATCCCAGATTATCTGGCAGTGTAGGCTCATATAATCCAGCTCAAAGCAGATAATCTGGGATCAGATCCTGGGATATAATAATAATAATAATAATAATAATAATAATAATAATAATAATAATAAATGGCACAAGGCAGTAAAGGTGGTCCCAGTGGTGATTGGCACGCTGGGTGCAGTGCCTAAAGACCTTGGCCTGCACTTGAACACAATCAACACTGACAAAATTACTGCCAGCTGCAAAAGGCCACCTTACTGGGATCTGCATGCATTATTTGCCGATACATCACACAGTCTTAGACATTTGGGAAGTGTCTGATGTGTGACCCAATCCAACAGCCAGCAGAGTGGTCTTGTTTGCTGTGGACTCATCTTCTTGTGTTTCAAATAATAATAATAATAATAATAATAATAATAATAATAATAATATTTTTAATTTATATCCCGCTTTTCTCCCTAAACAGGACCCAAAGCGTCTCCCATATAGGGCAGTGTAGATCCAGCCCTTGACATCATGAGGATTATTTAGAAACTGGATGTCATTTGAGCAAAGAGGGGTATTAGTAGGGTTGCAGCTTGATTTGCATCTCACAGGGGAAATCTCATTTTCCAAAGTTAAATAACATATAATGCTTAAATGGTAAAGTACACATCCTCTGCATCATGTGTGTATATCTTTGCACAGGTGCTGCCCGTCCAGCTTCCAGTTTGTCCATGATGCAGCCAAATGTAGAGCCCTCAGGTAAGACAAATCCCTAAAAAATTAGGCCCAGGGTTTATTCTTCCTACTGTAATCAAGTTTTTAACAGTGAATTTTAAAGATACCATTGATGTTTAATTCTGTTTTGATGTTTGTATATTTGTACATTTTAAATCGTAATGCTTTCAGTGTATAAATTGTAAACTAATGGGTTGTTGTGGCCATGGTCTAGAGGCATTCTCTCCTGATGTTTCGCCTGCATCTATGGCAAGCATCCTCAGAGGTACCTCTGAGGATGCTTGCCATAGATGCAGGCGAAACGTCAGGAGAGAATGCCTCTTTACCATGGCCATATAGCCTGAAAAAACCTACAACAACCCAGTGATTCCGGCCATGAAAGCCTTCGACTGTATACTAATGCTTTAAAGGACCTCATCCCACAAGAGAAAAAATCCAGTTTTTGTCTCCTGCAGAATTCTGGTGTTTGTAGTTTAGGGAGGAGCCTTTAACAGAATTCTGCAGGAGGCAGAAACTGAATTTTGAGTGGATTTTTCTCTCTAGAGTGATGAAGTAGTGATGAACCTTCTTGTGGAGAGAAAAAGTGAGATATAAATAAACATAAAATAATAATAATGATAATGGGTTGTTGCAGGTTTTCTCGGGCTATATGGCCATGGTCTAGAGGCATTCTCTCCTGACGTTTCGCCTGCATCTATGGCAAGCATCCTCAGAAGTAGTGATGCAGGCAAAATGTCAGGAGAGAATGCCTCTAGACCATGGCCATATAGCCTGAGAAAACCTACAACAACCCAGTGATTTCGGCTATGAAAGCCTTCGACAATGCAATAATGATGATAATAATAATAATAATAATAATAATAATAATAATAATAATAATAGAAAATAAAAGGGAAAGACTAGGAAGTATTCTTGATTATGGTTAATGGGACAAGTGTCTGGAATGTTTTCTCTTATCTAGGAAGTGATTAATTGCAATAAAGACTAGCTGATAAGAGATTGCAAAGAATGGGAATGGTCTAGTCTGTCTATGATTACCAAACAATTAACAATATCATTTTAATGTTCTTTAGCCCCAGTGGCACAGTGGGTTAAACCACTGAGCTGCTAAACTTGCTGATTGAAAGGTTGCAGGTTCGAATCTGGGGAGTGGCATGAGCTTCCGCTGTCAGCCCCAGCTTCTGCCAACCTAGCAGTTTGTAAACATTCAAATGTGAATAGATCAATAGGTACCGCTCCGGCGGGAAGGTAATGGTGCTCCATGCAGTGATGCTGGCCGCATGACCTTGGAGGTGTCTACAGACAACGCCGCTTCTTCAGCTTGGAAATGGAGATGAGAACCAACCCCCAGAGTCGGACACAACTGGACTTAATGTCAGGGGAAAATCTTAACCTTTACCTAGCTATTTGTCTGCTGATAACAGGTAGGAAAAGGTATCCTAGACTTCTAGGATCTACACTGTAGAGTTAATGCTATTTGATACCAATTTAATTGCCATGGCTCAATGCTACGGAATACTGGGAGTTGTAGCTTTCCACAGACTTTAGCCCTCTTGGCCAAAAAGTGTTGGGGTCTCAACAAACCACAACTCCCAGTGTTAATGTCTCAACAAACCATAACTACCATGGCAGTTAAAGTGATGCCAAACTGTATCAACAGTACAGTGTAGATACATCTCATGACCACTGAAACCCTTGTCCAAACTTTCCTTAATTTTGTGCAGGGATAAGAAACTGTACATCATTTGAATTAACCAGGAATAAGATGATATCCTGTTTTGTGTGAACATGGCCAATATGCAGTGTCCTGATTCTAAATTATCTTTTTTTTTCTTTTCCTTTCACAGAAGAACTAGGTAAGCATTCTGGGTCTCGGGGTGTGTTGTCAATATCAGGTAAGGAGAAATACTTGACATTGGAGAGAGCTGTACAGTTTTGTTCACTTATAACAAAGAAGGCCTTGGTTTGTTACTAGGATTGAGGGTGCATCTACACTGTAGAGTTAATGCAGTTTGACACCACTTTAACTTCCAAGGATCATGGCTATGGGAAGTTGAAGTGATGTCAAACTGGATTAATTTAGATGCACCCTAAATCCCATTAGCAAACCAAGGCCTCATCAGTTATGGGTTTGTACCTTGACGAGGCACCAGCACTCTTTGGCAGACCTTGTAAAACTACAAAGGATTCCATAGCATTGAGCCATGGCAGTTAAAGAGATGTCAAAGTGCCTTTATTCTACAGTGCATCTGCACTCTCTCAAGGCTTCATGTGACAAAAGCCATGTACAAAGTCACTCAATCCAGCAGGTGTGGAATAAAGGAAGATGGGCAAGTTCTACCTATGCAAATCAGCTTTAGAAATGACTCTCTGTTGTTTGCGAAAAGCATTGTAAAAATTAAAGAAGTGGCATACAGGTTTTTCCAAGTTTTTGGCCTTAGATAGGTGCCTATTTCTGCTTCATTGACTATTCTAAAGCCTTTGACTGTGTGGATCATAATAAACTGTGGCAAGTTCTTGGTGGGATGGGCATCCCAAGCCACCTTGTCTCTCTCCTGAGGAATCTGTACAAGGACCAAGTAGCAACAGTCAGAACTGACCACGGAACAACAGACTGGTTCAAGATTGGGAAAGGCGTACGGCAAGGCTGCATCCTCTCACCCAACCTTTTTAACTTGTATGCAGAACACATCATGCGAGGATGTGCGGGGCTTGAGGAGTGCAAAGCTGGGGTGAAAATGGCTGGAAGAAACATTAACAACCTCAGATATGCAGATGACACCACTCTGATGGCCGAAAGCGAGGAGGAGCTGAGGAGCCTTCTAATCAAGGTGAAAGAAGAAAGCGCAAAAGCTGGGTTGCAGCTAAACATAAAAAAACAAAGATTATGGCAACAAGAATGATTGACAACTTGGAAATAGAGGGAGAAAACGTGGAGGCAGTGACAGACTTTGTATTTCTAGGTGCAAAGATTACTGCAGACGCAGACTGCAGCCAGGAAATCAAGAAACACTTACTTTTTGGGAGGAGAGCAATGTCCAATCTCGATAAAATAATGAAGAGTAGAGACATCACACTGGCACGAAGATCCGCATAGTTAAAGCAATGGTATTCCCGTAGTCACCTACGGATGTGAGAGCTGGACCATAGGGAAGGCTGAGCGAAGGAAGATAGATGCTTTTGAACTGTGGTGTTGGAGGAAAGTTCTGAGAGTGCCTTGGACTGCGAGAAGATCCAACCAGTCCATACTCCAGGAAATAAAGCCCGACTGCTCATTGGAGGGAAGGATACTAGAGACAAAGTTGAAGTACTTTGGCCACATCATGAGGAGACAGCAAAGCCTAGAGAAGACAATTATGCTGGGGAAAGTGGAAGAAGGAAGAGGGGCCGACCAAGGGCAAGATGGATGGATGGCATCCTTGAAGTGACTGGACTGACCTTGAAGGAGCTGGGGTTGGTGATGGCCGACAGGGAGCTCTGGGGGCTGGTCCATGAGGTCACGAAGAGTCGGAGACGACTGAACGAATGAACAACAACAGGTGCCTAATAAGAGAGTTAAGCCGAACTCTGTGGCCATTCTTTGGTTATAATAATAATAATAATAAATACAGTTTTCTGGCCCTAACACATATGATAAAATGCCTCGACATTGTGTTTAAATTGGTAACATTTTTACGAGAGCTGCCTTTGTACATCTTACAGAGACTCTCTGGTGCCAAACACCACATGGACATCATCTTATAAACGTTTGCTTTCAGATCATCACTCCAAGTAAACTTTAGATTTCCAGCAGAAGTTTTGCAGAGTTGTGCTAGAGAACCTAGAGATTTTCAGAGAGAATGTATTAATTAAATTGGTAAACAGGCAAAATCCACAAAGGGAGACACCCGAAGCACTGGCTAAAAACTCACCTATATTTTTCTCCCCCATCCAGACATTATTGATGAACTGATCAAAGAAGATGGCTTCGAGGTTGGCTCTGTGCCGCGTCCCACCAGGGTCTCATGTACTGAACCAGCCAGACTCATCTCCCGATGCCCCAGCTCGGTTTCACCAACTACGATGCAGGAATTGCCGGGACCTGCAGGGATGAGCCTCTTACGCTTGGACTCTTTTGGCACTCCTTCCCCGACCCCTTCTTGCTTTCCACCAGATCGTTCAGCGTCCCAGCTTTCCCAGAACCTTACCAACTTGACGTTGAGGCCAGAGATGAACTCATCCCTATTTTTGCAACGCAGCAGCAGGGTATCGGATGGTTGTTGGTCTCCTCCTGCTTCTTCTAGGCTTCCCATGAAGCCCCAAAAGCAACTGGAGGAAAACTATTCAGAGCCGCTCAAACTTGTGATCACAGAGCAGCCCAAGCAGAGAGGGATGCGCTTCCGATACCAGTGTGAAGGCAGGTCGGCGGGAAGCATCTTGGGCGAAGCTAGCACGGAAACCAACAAAACTCTGCCCACCATTGAGGTGAGTGTGGACTCTCCTTTAAAACGGGAAAATATGACCTCCCTATCATTGGAGTGGTTTCATTTATTTTTATAGGAAACTGCTGCCACTGTTATGAATAACTTTCCTTTTTTTAAAAAAAATAATCTTTATTGAAGGTTTTCTTTTTAAAAAAATACAAAGTATTGAAAAAGGAAAAAGAAAAAAAGAGAGAGAAAAAGGTCATAGCATTTAAGAGAAAAAGAGAGGAAAGAAAGAAAAAAGGAAAGAAGAGAAGAGAGGTAGTGAGAAAAAGAATATCTATCTATCTATCTATCTATCTATCTCTATCTATCTATCTCAGATACATGGTTAAAAAATCAGAAGCAGAATGGTGTGTATCTCCTTTGTTGACTTCCTGAGTATCTTCCAAGTGTTTTTTTCCTCTTCTTTCTTTTGTCTTATCTTTTCTTCCCTCTTGTCTTCTCTTCCTTTTATATTATTATATTTCTATTTTTCTGTTTCAAATAATTTGTCACTTTTGTCCAGTTGGTTTCTTTTATTGGGGTCCCTTTATTTTTGGATATTAGGTATGTTAACCTGTCCATATTTTTAATATCTACAATTTTTCTATCCAATTGCTAATTTCTGGGATCTCTTCTTTTTCCATAGTTTTGCATAGAAAATTCTTAATAATTTTTTAATGAATAATTTTTCAATAACCTATCGCATAGATTCTTTTTATTGCAATTTTCCAGAAAGAGAAAGGGTATCAGAACGTTTACAGAACTCTATTTAGGCGTACAGATTCTATGTAACTACATTGAATTCACAAACAACAACAGTTACATTGACTACCAAATAAACAAAGGGGGGGTTACATTTTCACTCAGCATTCACACACATATAAACAATCATCCATTCTCAGGCATCCCAATACTTATTTATTCATTTATTTATTTACAACATTTATATGCCGCCCTTCTCACCCCGAAGGGGACGCAGAGCGGCTTACAAGATATATATACATATAATATATTATATTATTAGCATAGTACAATATGAGTATTATATATTACTATATTGTACTATACAATTATATTGTAATATTATTAGTAACATTACATGTAGTATAAAATATATAATTATAATATATTATGATTAGTAGTATTATATTGAGTTACATTATAATATTATACATATTATATGTATATACAATATATTATATTATATTACCATACACTTTCTCCCTCCATGGAGAAGAACACCTGTTATTTATTTATTTATTTACGACATTTATATGCAAACCTTCTCATCCTGAAGGGGACTCAGAGCGGCTTACAAAGTATATGTATATACAATATATTATATTATTAGCGTAGTACAATATCAGTATTATATATTACTATATTGTACTATACCGTTATATTGTAATATTATTAGTAATATTACATGTAATATAAAGTATATAATTATAATATTATTAGTAGTAGTGTTATATTGTATTACATTCTAATATACATATTATATGTATATACAATATGTTATATTATATTATATTATATTACCATACACTTTCTCCCTCCTTGGAGAACACCTGTTAGGCCAGACCCTGCTTCCCTGCAGCCTGCCAACACACAGTTCTCAAACTTCCATAATGCCAAAATCCTGAAATGTATCCTCTTTCGCTAAGAACAATGCCAAGGATCAGATTCCTGTTTTCCGTATAGCAGAACCTAACTCCCTGTATAAAATGCAAAACTCCAAAATTGCACTCCTTCCTCTTTTCTTGAGAAAAAGAGGCAAAGTGTTCAGAATCCTGCTTTCCATTGCAGACCTGACACTCCAAGGTCCACTATCTGTCTCCTTCCCAAGGAGCAGAGCATAGCGGGTGAACAGCACCGCTGTCTGTCACAATTTTTGGATTATAATAAGGTCTCTTATGTAGCAGTATTTCACTGATGTTGTCCTAAAGTTGCAAATAAATGAAAGACGGGTAGCTGTAAGTTTTTCGTGCTGTATGGCCATGTTCCAGAAGCATTCTCTCCTGACATTTTGCCTGCATTTATGGCAAGCATCCTCAGAGGCTGTGAGCTCAGACCTCACAACCTTTGAAGATGCCTGCCATAGATGCAGGCGAAACATCAGGAGAGAATGCTTCTGGAACATGGCCATACAGCACGAAAAACTTCCAGCGACTCAGTGATCCCAGCCATGAAAGCCTTTGACAATAAAATGAAATACTTTTTCCATCTCAAATTTCTGGCAGATGTTGTCCTTTCATAATTGGTATTGATAAACACAAGGCTTGTCTTTTTGGCAAGGTAATTTAGCCCAAAAAGGTGAGCATTAGATTCAAGTAAATACAGTATTTCTTCAACAATAAGACACCATCAGTTGTAAGATGCACTCTAATTTCAGGGCCACTACCACCAAAAATATATAAGATACAGCTGCAATTCTAATACGCAACCTGTTTATTAAATATGTTTGTGTAGAGAAAATAGTGCATCTTTGGATGAAAGAAATACAGTATTTACATACTCACACATATGTGTGTGTATCTCCAAAAAGCAAACGTTGAAAATGATGGGACTTGTGCTTCCATAGGTTTTATATCCATGGAGGGTCCTGGAGCCAAACCCCAGCAGATACTGAGGGCCCACTGTATTTTACTTAAGGGATGTGGTTTTTAAGCATGTACTAATTTTTATGTCTCTGATACGCCTGGCTCTCTGTATTGACGAATTTAACTGTCCAATATTTTAAGAATGTTTTGTATACCTAGTTTATATACCTACTAGCTGTACCCGCTAAGCGTTGTTGTGGCCAACCTTCCCTCCCTCTTTTTCTCCTTCTTTCTTTCTCTCCTTCTTTCTTTCTTTCCTTCCTTCCTTCTCCTTCCTTCCTTCCTTCCTTCCTTCCTTCCTTCCTTCCTTCCTTCTTCCTTTCTCCTTTCTCCTCCTTCCCTGTTTCCTTCCTTCCTTTCTCCCCATCCATTTTTCCTTCCTTCCTTCCTTCCTTCCTTCCTTCCTTCTCTTTCCTTCCTTCCCTCCTCCTCTTTCCTCCTTCTTTCCTTTCTCTCCTTCCTTCCTTTTTTCCTTCCTTCCTTCCTTCCTTCCTTCCTTCCTTCCTTCCTTCCTTCCTTCCTTCTCTGCCTCTCCTTCCTTCCCTCCCTCTTTCACTCCTTCTTTCTTTCTCTCCTTCCTTCCCATTTTTTCCTCCTCCCCTTCCTTCCTTCCTTCCTTCCTTCCTTCCTTCCTTCCTTCCTTCCTTCCTTCCTTTACCTCTTTCCTTCCTTCCCCTCCCCTTTTCTTTCTCTTCTTCCTTCTCTACCTATTCATGGACTTTAACTCCCAGCAGTCCTCCTGAATGATCTATCTACCTAGTATCTATCTCTGTCTAATCTATATATCTTATCTATCTGGAGGATTGATGGGAGTCCAGGAATAGGAAATAGGAAATACTGTATGTACAGATTGGGGTGCTCTCAAAGAAATCCAAGGAGAAGTAAGCTTGCAGTCTTGAAACAGTGCACTTGGAGCATCCTCCTCCCCTAGAGGATGCTGGGAGCTGTCATTTTCGCACATGCGCTGGATCCTCATTTTGCTTTTTTGGGGTTTAAAGTCATTTCCACCATATTTTGGGAGGGGTTTATGAGTGATAGTCACTTGTTGGTCTATTAGGGGTGTAGCTTCCAAATTTCGTGTCAATTCATCCATTGGTTTTTGAGTTATGTTAATCCCACAAACGAGCATTACATTTTTATTTATATAGATGCATCTGGGGCTGCATAAAAATTCCTCAACTGAAAAAGAAGTCAAGAGTTGAAAAAGTTTAAGGAGTTCTGTGTTAGTCTGACTCTGTGCTGTGCTTCTGCCAGAAGTTGACCTAGCGTCATGTTAGAGGCTTTCACTTGTGAAATACTGGCAGGTGTGCAACATCTTTTTGTTCCTCCAGCTTCAGAACTACTTGGGGATCTCAGAAGTGAAAGTGACGGCCTGCTTGGTGTGGAAGGACTGGCCTTACCGAATCCACCCCCACAGCTTAGTTGGGAAAGACTGTCACAACGGCCTCTGCGAAGTGACACTGAAGCCTCGCATCAACCCCAAGCACAGGTAATGCTTTGCTTTCCTTGAACTTTCACCAAAGGCTTATGACTACAATTGGGTAGAGGTTCAAGTCATTTAAGTCATTTCTATCACATGGCAACCATGTCTTGGGACTTTCTGGGGCTGGGAGTGTGTCACTTGTCCAAGGTCACCCAGTGGGTTTCCATGGCATGTTTAGCTTGCAGAAGAGAAGGTTGAGAGGAGACAAGATCTCCATGTTTAAATATCCGAAAGGATGTTATAAGGAAGAGGAAGCAGGCTATGAACCTCTATGAATCATCTCAGATATTGAGATCATCTGAGGGTGTTGGAGGTCAGCCTGTGATTGTGTTTCAAGATCAAGGTGCTTTGGATGTGGGGAATGATGTCAACGAGGTTCAGGATGGCAATGGTTTGGTCAATCATATTGATGCAGAGAATGACATAGAAACACCTGTTCAAAGTGTAGTTTCCCATGAGAATGTTCCTACAGGGTATAGGGATGATGGTTTACTCCTTGAATTGCTCCCAGAGAGATCCCAGGATTTGGGGCTTGAAAATAACTTGGCACCTGCAGGAACTAGTGAGCATATAGGCAGGCCGGTGGAAATTAGCCAAAACAGACAGCTCGACCAACGCCTTCGGCGTTCCGCCAGGCTTCGTCAGATAAGGATGAGAGGCATTCAGGGAAAACGAAACCAATTTCTGAGTGCTTGGAATGGCTTAAAGAGGGGATATAAAGTTCCAAGCATGGGAAATATAGTCAGATGAAGCATCATTTAGAATCCTGCTAAGTTCTTGCTCTTGTCTCATGGAAGCCTTGCTTGGAATATTTGTGTTAACCTTCACAGTTAGATGGATAAATGATCTGTTGTGATATAATCCAACTATTTTCTTTTGTGGTCCTCCCTGAAACTTTTAACAATCCTTTGATTTCTTATTAGTTTCAACAACCTTGGGATCCAGTGTGTGAAGAAGAAGGACATTGAAGAATCCATAGAGAAAAAGCTGCAGCTTGGAATTGATCCATTCAAAGGTGAGTGGGAAGAGGAATTAAGAGGACTCTTAAGGACTTTATCAAACCAATCTGTTGTCTCATGACAATCACAGAAAAATATAATGGGTTGCTATGAGTTTTCTGGACTGTATGTCCACATTCCAGAAGCATTCCCTCCTGACATTTCATCCACATCTATGGCAGGCATCCTCAGAGGTTGTGAGGTCTAGGTTCTTGTGGGTTTTTTCGGGCTATGTGGCTATGTTCTAGAGGCATTTCTCCTGACGTTTCGCCTGCATCTATGGCAAGCATCCTCAGAGGTGAGGTCTGTTGAAAACTAGGCAAGTAGGGTTTGTATATCTCTGAAATAATGCCCAGGATGGGAGAAAAAACTCTTCTCTGCTGGAGGCAAGTGTGAATGTTGCAATTGGCCACCTAGATTAGCATTGAATGGCCTTGCAGCTTCAAAGCCTGGCTGCTTCCTGTGTGGGAGATGCTAGCTGGCCCTGATTGTTACCTGTTTGGATTTCCCCTGTTTTCTGAGTGTTGTTCTTTATTTACTGCCTTGATTCTTTCTCCCCCTAGTACTACACAAAGCTTATGTATTTCTATGTAAACATTCCTGATCTATTTAAGGGATGTTAAATCACCCATTTCCAAGATCTCTTAAGTGTGGGGTAGATGAATAGAACAAAAATTGTATCTCTATATATATGTGTGTGTATGTGTCTGTGTGTGTATGTATGTATACACATACACACATATATATGGCAGTATTCATATTTTGATCAACAAATCCTGTTCTAGTTACCTTTAATTCTTTCTTGATTCCATATAGAGTTTCTATTCTTCTTGAAGTTTTTGTCAACGTTCTTGTGAGTCTTCCCTCTGCTTCACAATATCAAGGCTGCATTGAAAGGAATTATTGCACAAGAAAGAATGATCTCCATGTTGTGCACTTTTGTATTCCTAGAACAGTGGTTCCCAACCGCTTTGTATAGACAATACACAGACAGACAGAACAGAAGGAGGTGCCATGGAAGGTTGGGCTTGAGCCCAGGGGGTGCTGTTGCTCTTTCCTCTATGACGAAGAGCTGTCAGGACTTCCTCCTTCCTTTGGTCACCCAGCATTTTCTGATCTTCTTTTTTCATGGCATGGTAAAACACCTCCCTCGCTATTTAGCAGTACCTAATTTCTCTAATCATAGCTAAAGCTGTTTTTGAATTGGTTAGGTAAACAATGAGCTAGGCTGACAGTTGGCAGCTCATGCCAGCTCGGCGAACTTGCAACCTTTTGGTTGATAGATCTTATAATTGCTGATGATTTACCAGCTATGCTAAACCTCTGATCAAGTGTTGTTAGACATTATAGGAATTATGACTAAGCAAGCAACAAGAATGGACAAATAAAAGGTGATTAGAAATAGATGGAAGGCCTACTTCAACTGGGTGAAAAATGGAGGAGCCAACAATCACATCAAAAACACAAAGAAAACACAAAGACTTTACCAGTGGCTGAATCTGCAAGATTAGTGTGGTTGAGGATGGAGGGAAAAAATTTAATTTACACCAGTGTAAATTAGCGTAATGCCATTAATATTTGTCAAATTACTTAGGGTGTATGCTTCTAACACTCGAAATGTGGTTGCTGATTTGTGTTTATAGCATAATAAAATAAGTAAAATACAAAAAACCCAACAAATCAGATTTTGGTCAACTTTAGATTTTGTTTGGTTATTTGGGATGCTGATTCAGAAATTTGCACTGGATAGACCACATCAGCTCCAGTTTCTGATACAGAACATATGTCATCCAGTAGTCGCCATCTGCTCGCCCACAGAAAACCATATTTAATAAGCCTCAGCCCTATAAGAGGGTTTCGCGAGACCAGTCGGTCTCAGTGCAACAATATAGTAATGGCGAAACTGCGGACTATATTATAGTTCTTGCGGACAACTGGTGGTCCATGGACCACAGGCTGGGAACCACTGGCCTAGAACAAACCAAACAGGAAGCAGTCAGAAGCTCACTTTTGGTTGGTTCAAAGCCAGCTTTTTGGTGTCAAAAAGAGTGCAAAACCCATGCTTAAAAGGTTAAATGTTACTTTTGGAGTCTTCCATGAATGCACTTTTTGTGGGGCGATCTTCTGACTTTTTTTTTACTCAGGGTTTTTCCATAAACATGACCTTATTCCACCTCCGTGATAATTAAAAGAGAAGTGATTTGTGTAGCTTGGGTAAGGATGTGGATGAAGGGAGTGAGGACCTGGCTCTTTTCTGTGCTGCAAAAGCTTTTCCATTTGCTTGCTGCCCTTCACTTCCATCTTCTTTTCCACTTGACAGCCGGCTCATTAAAAAACCACCAGGAGGTTGACATGAACGTGGTCAGGATTTGCTTTCTGGCTTCCTACCAGGACTGCACAGGGAAGACGCGGCACCTCAACCCTGTTCTTTCCGAACCCATCTTTGACAAGAGTAGGTAATGGGGAAATCTGGAAGGGAGGGAAGAGGTATTTCTGACAAAGAAATCCTAGATTGTGATTGTGTTTATTGTAATTTTATATCGTTATGCATTCATGTGTTTTATGTAATTATGATGTTGCTTATTGTCTGTGTTTTCGGTTTGCGTTTTCCATTTAATTCTGCTGTAATTTGTTGTTTGGGCTTGGCCTCATGTAAGCCGGCCCGAGTCCCCATCGGGGAGATGGTGGCGGGGTATAAATAAAGATTATTATTATTATTATTATTATTATTATTATTATTATTATTAGATAAAGGAAGAGCACTGGAGCAAAACCTGAAAAGACCGGTGATAACATGTTGACAATTGTACCTCTCTAGTGCTTCCTGGTAGCACAATGGGTTAAACTGCTGAGCTGCTGAACTTGCTGGCCGAAAGGTCGGTGGTTCTAAACTGGGGAGCAAGGCATCGAACTCATGACCTTTTGGTCAGTAGGGATCTTAATGCAGCTGACTCCCAGCCAGCTGCTCCACAGTCCCGATTTGAATCCCTCCTCACCTTGGAAGCCCATTGGGTGACTTTGGGCAAGTTGTATTATCTTGGCTTTACAGGAAGGTATGGCAAGCTCCCTCTGACAAAGTCTTGTCAAGACAAAGTCTTGTCATAACAAGGTCACCTTAGTGTCACCATAACTTGAAAGTGCACAACAACAAGGAGCTAGATCAGGCATGGGTATACTTTTTTGCCTTGGGGCGACATTGATGGGCCCGGGAGAGGAAGGAACCAGGTGAGGGTGGGGCAGGGCCTGGGTCATCCTCAGGTTGTCCTACTGGAATAAGGACAGGGATGCTCATCCCATTCTTATGCTGGGAGGAAAACAAGACATGCAGTTATTGCCCAAATCCTCCCCAATACTCCTCCCTCGATCTTCAGGCTGTCCCCTCAGCATTATGCTAGGAGGAGGGCGAGACAGACGATGACTGAGAGCACTCCGGCGGGCTCTCAACCGCTGTTTGCCTTCCTCAAGCCGTCCTCCTGGCATAAATACAACAACAAAACTTTATTTATATACTGCTCTATCTCACCGAGGGGAATCAGAGCGATTGCCAAGTAACATCATCAATACATACAGAGTAAACAACATAAATATAAAATTAACAAAGCAATATAAAAATCACAATAGCACATATATATTTAAAATAAATGCAGAGCCGCTTGCACCATCCTTATGTTGGGAGGAGGGCATGACATGCGACAATCACCCCAATCCTCCTCCCCAATCCTCCTTTCGATCTTCTGGCTGTCCTCTCAGCATTGTGCCAGGATTAGGGTGAGACTGGTGACATCTGAGAGCACTCCGGACGACTCTCACCCATTGCGTGCTTTCCTCAAACTGTCCTCCCAGCATAAGTACAAGGCCACTCGTACCATCCTTATGCCAGGAGGAGGATGAGACACACGGTGGCTGAGAGCGCTTCAGAGGGCTCTCAGCTGCTGCATGCATGCCTCCCTCCTCTGCTCTTTCTGCATAAGGATGGAGCGGGCATTCTTCTGCCAAGAGGATAGGGAAACTGAGGAAGGCCTGAAGTAGGCACCCAGGGAGCCACATCTGGCCCCTGGGCCTTAGTTTGTCCATACCTGTGCTAGATTGTTCTTGAATAGTTTTAGTATTTTGATTCTATTTTAACAGTCGTGGGATTCTGGGTTTTGTCGTTTAGTGAGGCGGTATTGCTCTGTTTAAGAATACAAAGGAAGACAGATTCTAACATTGGGGTTTGGTGTCCACAGAATCCACAAATACTTCAGAGCTGAAAATCTACCGGATGAATAAAGAGTATGGGGCCTGCAGTGGTGGAGAGGAGTTCTATTTGTTGTGTGATAAGGTTCAGAAAGGTAAGCATTGGTTTTGCTCTCATTGGATGTGTTGCAATAGCGGATTCCCAGATTAGTTTAGTGTTTACACCTTATTTTACACCTTATTTTATTTTTCTGGTTATATAACAACAACAACAACAATCATCATCATCTTTATTTATACCCTGCCATCATCTCCCCAAAGGGGACTCGGGGTGGCTTACATAAGGCCAATCCCAAGCAGCAAATTACAATAGAATAAAAACCAAAACACAAACAACAACACAGTAAAATACATAAAACATATGAATACAATAAGCAATAAACAATATACAAATACAATATCCACAATCACAATGACAATGAGCAGGCCGCATGTACAAGATAAAATGCTAAAACTCAGGGTGAGATAAAAGAGGAGCAGATTTGCGAGGGAGAGCTCATAAAGAAACGGGGTTGTAAAAACAGGCCTTTGTACAAGTATTCTCCAGGGACAGTAACATTGAGAGGAGCAATAGAGTAAGGTTGTGTGGCTACTCTCCAAATGCGCAACGGAAAATCCAGGTTTTAAGATTCTTTTTAAAGGTTTCTAAGGTGGGGGCTTTCCTAATCTCTCCGGGCAATGAGTTCCAGAGTTGGGGGGTGGGGCGGGCACAGAGGAGATTTAATATTTAATGTTTATTTTACTTACCGTATATACTCGAGTATAAGCCGACCCAAATATAAACCGAGACACCAAATTTTACCACAAAAAACTGGGAAAATGAATTGACTCGAGTATAAGCCGAGGGTGGGAAATGCAGCAGCTACGTGTAAATTTTAAAATAAAAATAGATACCAATAGGATTACACTAATTGAGGCATCCGTAGGTTAAATGTTTTTGAATATTTACATAAAACTGTAATTTAAGTTAAGATTGTCCAACTCTGATTAAACCATTATTTTAACCTTCTTCAATGTAAATGTGTATACGTATTCTTCCAATAATAAAGAGAGTAAAATAATAAATGTAATAATAATAATAATAATAATAATAAAGGAAAATAATAAATGTGATAATAATAATAATAGAGTAAAATGATAAATGTAATAATAACAATAAATAGAGTAAAATAATAAATTTAATAAAAACAGTAATAATAATAGACTAAAATAATAAATAACCTTGACTCAAGTATAAGCAGAGGGGGATTTTTTGAGCCTAAATAAAGGGCTGAAAAACTAGGCTTATACTCGAGTATATACAGTAAGTGATATTTGTCTTTACTGTTCTAATGTAGCACACATTCTATGTAAAACCATACTACATATTTTTGGCATTAATATTGAAATCTGAAATATATACAGAAAGTACTGGTTCAAATAACTTCCTGGAATCTCCAAAGCAATTCTCTGGTCAACTTCTCTCTAGTTCTTCCAGCACAACTCATTGACCAACGTGTGATGAAAGTTGACTATTGAGTTGTGCTGGAGGACGTAGAGAGATCTTTAAGGTAAAAAAAACAACAACCTAGTTTTCCAGATTGGGTCTTGCAGGATTCCCGTGCCCCGAATTGCAGTGAATGTGGAAGACTGAGCATAATACCATTCTGTAAACAAGGCAGAAAAATGCCATCCTTAACCACCGTTCACTCTGTACACTTTCTACACTTTCACTTGTCTGCTATCTTTACACAGAAGATATTTCCATCATCTTCCGGAAGGATACGTGGGAGGGCAAAGCAGACTTTTCCCAAGCTGATGTCCACCGACAGATTGCCATCGTCTTTAAGACACCACCGTACCAGCACCTCGACATTACAGAACCGGTGGAGGTGGAAGTGTACTTACGGCGCCTGACGGACAGTGTCTCCAGTGACCCTTTCAGTTTCACTTACTTGCCCAAAGACCAGGGTACGTCAGGAACATTGGAAGCTATGTCTTATGAGCAGCTCAGTCCATGTATTGGCTATAACAGGGGTTCTCAAAATGTGCTCTGTGGAGCCTTTGGGGCTCCATGGGTAATTGTAAAGTGCTTCATGGCATTATGCTGCTTCCCGCCTCCTCCTGAAAAATTAAAATTTTGAGCTGCTGGAAACAGCAACAGCAGTTTCCTCTCAGGGCACAAACAATTTCCCGCCACCTTTCTCACTGCCCAGACTTTTTATCTTGCAGGGATTGAACTCCAGAGTCATAGTACCACGTTGATAGAACAGTAATAGATGTAATGATAATAATATGGCTTTATCTTTCTTCAGATACTTATCGGGTCAACAAAAAAAGGAAGCAAGGCATGCCTGATGTGTTGGAGGAACTCTCTGGCCCAGGTTGGTGTACATCTGAGTGAAAATGCAACCCCCTTGATTTGTGCCATTGGGCACGGATGATATTTTATACAGCCTTCTCCTCATGGTTAGGGATTGACACATTTCTCTTTGCTTCCACAGACCCTCATGGGATCGAAGCTAAGAGGAAGAAGAAGAAGCCAGGGTACATGGACCATTTCAACTTGATTCCATCTGCAGGTTAGTCAGTAAACAAAAGCTTGTCTTTCCAAAGAGAAGAATGCTGGCCAAGCTGTTGGGCAGAAAGAGGAGGTCATCCCATGCTACACTTTTGGGTTTGCCATAAAAGGGCAACAAGTTACTGTATATACTTGAGTATAAGCCTAGTTTTTCAGCCCTTTTTATATGCTGAAAATGTTCCTCTCGGCTTACACTTGAGTCAAGGTTATTTATTATTTTACTCTGTTATTATTATTTTTATTATATGCATTATTTTACTCTATTTATTATTATTACATTTATCATTTTACTCTATTATTATTACATTAGTATTTTACTTTATTATTGTTATTATTACATTTATTATTTTACTCTATTATTATTATTACATTTATTATGTTACTCTCTTTATTATTATTGGAAGGATACATAAGCACATTTATATTGAAGAAGCTTAGAATCAGGGTTGTACAGTCTTATCTTAAATTACGGTGTTATGTAAATATTCAAAAAACGTTTAACCTTCTGATGCCTCAATGTAATTTTATTGGTATCTATTTTTATTTTGAAATTTACCCGTAGCTGCTGCATTTCCCACCCTCAGCTTATACTCAAGTCAATATGTTTTCCCAGTTTTTGTGGTAAAATTAGGTGCCTTGGTTTATATTCGGGTCGGCTTATACTCGAGTATATACGGTACTTGGTATTTAGTTCCAAGGATGTTGAAAGGTGCAGATGGGATGCTGGACCCTATGCACTCAAATAACTTGTCTGGCTTTTGGGAAAAAAATGACAATCTTAACCTTTTGAAAACCTATATCATCACTTGAGAGGCCCCTCCCTCTTCTGGCACCAACAGCTGCTCTGGCCAGAGCAAAGACAGAGGGGAGCAGAAGACATTTCTATATTGTCTTTACTAATAATATAATATAGTATGTTGTATATGCATATAATATTTATAATATTATAACGTAATACAATATAATACCAGTAATAATAATTCATTATTATAATTATAATTATATATTTACATTACATGTAATCTTACTAATAATATTACAATATAATGGTATAGTGCAATATAGTAATATATACTGATATTGTACTATGCTAATAATATAATATATTGTATGAAAATATATATTGTAAGCCGCTCTGAGTCCCCTTCGGGGTGAGAAGGGCGGCATATAAATGCCGCAAATAAATAAATAAATAAATAAATAAATAAAAGGAAAAATCATGTCATATCCTTTTGGCAAATGTGAATCTCCATGAACTTCTGGAGACCACCTTTTGAAACCACTAGTCAAGGAGAGGTATGACCTTATTAGAAATCAACCCTTTGAACAAGTGATGTTCACAAGCATTCTTTTAATGGCACACAGGTAACTCAGCTGTTAAACTGATAAACCATGTTGTTGAACTGCCAGAGACAAAGACATGCCACTGCTGGTTTGCTATATTTCCGATGTTTTAGTGAGCTATTGTAGCAATATTACCATAGAACATTCCTTATCCTTTCTTTTTCCAGTCTTGGTAGAAATACTGTGAGCACTTAGGGCTGATAGCCATCTCCCTTCCCTTTATTATTCCTTGCTCGCTTCCTGTTCCTCGCTTCCTTGCAGACTCCCTTCCTGGCTTCCTCTCATCTTTGGTTCCTTGGTTCATCTGTTCCTTGCTTCCCTTCCTCCTTGGTTCCTTCTTTCCTTGGTTCTTTGCTTCATTTCCCCTTTGGTTCGTTTATTGGTTACTTTCTTCCACCCTTGCCCTATTCCCCTTTCTATTTTCCCCTTCCTCATTCCATTTTGTGGGGTAGTTTTTCAATTTTTCTCCAGGGGAACCAATGAAGGGTTACCAAGCAGTGAAACCTTTCTCATGTTGTGTGTCGGGTTTCACAGAACCCAGAGTCATAGGAGTTTCTTTTCTCCGGTTCCAGCTGGCTTCCCGTCGGGTTCTGAAGACCAGAATTTCCTGATCAGCTTGGATCACATCTCTGTGCCAGACATGCTAGAGGACTTCAGATTGCCTCCTGACTTCCCTTCCATCGTTGGTCCCAGCCTGAGTGATGTCCTGCTACCATCTCCCATGGACTTCCCTGATATGTCGGAGCAGGAGTTCTTGCTGGATGCTTATTCCGTCCATTCGGGTGTCTCTGTCCCCTTGACTTTGCCTGGGGATTGTGATACAGAGGGCACCGCCAGCCTCGTGGGCAGCAGCATGTTTCCAAGCCAGTACAAAGAGGCCGAGGCACAGCTGGAAATGGAGACCAACCTCACGGCGGCAGACAGTGCTGGAACTTTATGAAGGAACTATGCATCCCGGGCTCTGGGAGAAGAAGCCCCTCTCTCAGAGTTGAAGCATGCCTGTGAAACCCCCTGATCAGTGGAGATATCTTCCCTGCTGAAATACAGGAAATGTTTCCTTCTGGGAAAGGGAAATGGGAAATGAATGGAAGGAAAAATTGCACTAATAGTTCATAGTAGATGAGACAGTAGTCTCAGGACATGGCCCATAACATCCAACGGTTGTGTTCCCTCACTTATCGCGGGTATTCCATTCCAGGACCACCCGCGATAAGTGAAAATCCATGAAGTAGGAACTGCCCCTTCCCTCTCTCTCTCTCACTCACTCCAGCTGCTTCTGCAGAAGTCTCCGGAGCGGATAGTCCTGGTGGAGGAGGCTCCTCGTCACCGCCTGGGCCTATGCCGCCTCCGTTGCCCGTCGAAGGCCGTGACCTTCCTTCCTTGAGCGGCTCTTCTTCCTTCCGGGAGAAGACAGGCGCTGCAGCAGCTGCTGCTGCAGAAGTCTCTGAAGCAGATAGTGTCCTGTTCTGCTCTTCAAAAACAGCCTTAATACAAGGTTGAAAGTAAAAGAAAAATGCTTTGCTTCAGCAAACACAATGATAAGCAAATGCAACTGAAAAAACAAGAAAGTCTTAATGCAGACACAAATGAAAGTCTATTGCAAAAGTCCCAAAAGAAACAGCAGACAATAGGCAATGATCATGAAGTCCTAAGCAGCAGACACAAAGCAGGTTCAGTCAGCAACAGAGTCGTTGTTGGCAGCAGAAGCTGACTTTTCCTGCTTCTGATTTAAACCCCATGCAGGAGGGGATAGGGAGTCTCCCAATTAGCTCAGCGTTTTTTAGCAGCTATTCGAGCTGAACGGTGTCTGTGCTCTGTCTCCCTTTGTTTCTCTAAAAATGTAAGCACTTGCAAAGCCTCATCATCTGATTCTTCTTCTCCCTCCAATTCGTCCTCTCCCTCCAAAAGAAAAATGCTTTACTTCAGCAATCACAATGATAAGCAAATGCAACTGAAAAAACAAGAAAGTCTTAATGCAGACACAAATGAAAGTCTCTTACAAAAGTCCCAAAAGAAACAGCAGACAATAGGCAAAGATCACAAAGTCCTAAGCAGCAGACACAAAGCAGGTTCAGTCAGCAGAGAGTTGTTGTTAGCAGGTGAAGCTGACTTCTGCTTCTGATTTATACCCCATGAAGGAGAGGCTAGGGCGTCTCCCAATTAGCTCTGTGATTTTAGCAGCTATTCAAGCTGAATTGCGTCTGTGCTCTGTCTCCCTTTGTTTCTCTAAAAATGTAAGCACTTGCAAAGCCTCATCATCTGATTCTTCTTCTCCCTCCAATTCTTCTCCCTCCAAAAGAAAAATGCTTTACTTCAGCAAACACAATGATAAGCAAATGCAATTGAAAAAAACAAGGAAGTCTTAATGCAGACACAAATGAAAGTCTCTTACAAAAGTCCCAAAAGAAACAGCAGACAATAGGCAAAGATCACGAAGTCCTTAGCGGCAGATACAAAGCAGGTTCAGTCAGCAACAGAATCGTTAGCAGCGGAAGCTTCTGATTTATACCCCACGCAGGAGGGGCTAGGGTGTCTCCCAATTAGCTCAGCGTTTTTAGCAGCTATTCGAGCTGAACGGCGTCTGTGCTTTGTCTCCCTTTGTCTCTCTAAAAATATAGGCCCTTGCAAAACCTCATCATCTTATTCTTCTTTTCCCTCCAATTCCTGAGCACTTCCCTGCTCTCCTTTCTCCTCTGAAGATGAGGAATCCCTGAACAATAGTCCTGGAGGAGGAGGCCCCTCATCGCCTTCTCCGCCACCCGCTGAAGGGAGCCCCCGGAGGGAAGAAGAGCTGCTCAAGGAAGGCAGGCCATAGCCTTCGGTGGGCGGCGGAGGCGACATACGTCCAGGCAGCGATGAGGAGCATCTTTCGCTGGGACTATCCACTCCAGAGACTTCTGCAGCAGCCTTCTTTGGACAGCTCTCCTTCCCTCCGGCTGATGCTGCTCCAGAAGTCTCCAGAGTGGATAGTCCTGGCGGAAGATGCTCCTTGTCGCCGCCTGGGACTATGCCGCTGTCCACTGAAAGCTGTGGCCCGCCTTCCTTGCTAGCAGGAAGGGAGGTGCAGAGGAGGAGGAGGAAGTTAAAGAGGGCTGCTGCCAGCCCAGCCTTGTGTGGTCTCCCAGATCTGGATCCAGGCCATGCGGGGATTCATCCAGTGTTCCCTCGCTACTTCTACTTTATATTTTAAATTAATTTTTTTAAAAAACCCGCAAAACAGCGAGTCCGCAAAAGGCAAACCACAAAGTAGCGAGGGAACACTGTATTCCCAGGCTGGTTATAACTGCCTTGGTTGTTCTAATGTGTGCATAATGCAGACAGAGTCATAGCGTTGGAGGATACTCACGAGCTATCCAGTCCAACCCCCTGCCAAGAAGCAGGAAAATCACATTCAAAGCACTCCTGACAGAAGGCCATTCAGCCTCTGTTTAAAACCCTCCACCACACTCCAGGGGAGAAAGTTACACTGCTGAACAGCTCTCACAGTCAGGAAGTTCTTCCTAATGTTCAGGTGGAATCTCCTTTCTTGTAGTTTGAAGCCATTATTCCACGTCCTAGTCTGTAGGGCAGCAGAAATGTAGTTTGCTCCCTCCTCCCTATGACTTCCCTTCACATATGGCCATCATGTCTCCTCTCAGCCTTCTCTTCTGCAGGCTAAACATGCCCAGCTCTTGAAGCCGCTCCTCATAGGGCTTGTTCTCCAGACCCTTGATTATTTTAGTCACCCTCCTGTGGACACATTTCAGCTCGTCAACATCTCCCAATGTGTTTGGTTAATATCATGGCAGAAATAGTTGTCTCTTTCCTGCCATGGGATGGTTTAGATCAAACTGCTGTGTCTTATCCTGTGTCTTACCCTGAATGCCTTTGCAAGGGGAGCTAATGAGTGGCCATATGTCCATCACCCTGATACAGTGAAGTGGCTCTGTATTCCACAATGTTTTTAGCTTATTTTGAATGAAATTATGAAGGCAAAATGTAAATGAAGTTGCTTTGTACTGAGTCTGCCCTTGTGGGTTTTTTTCTAGTGCTGCTGCTATTCTTTAGAAATTGTCAAGAGAAGGATGCAGGAGCCTTTTAAGGCTACAGAATTATAATTCTAAGATTCCACTTTAATTGTTTCCTCTATAGAGTTATGAGATTTGTAATTTGGTGAACCATCATCAAAGGTTCTGAGGTATATTGGAAACTGGACAAGGGAGGTTTATATATCTGTTGGGAGAAAGAACTCTTGTCTGTTGGAGGCAAGTGTGAGTGTTGCAATTAATCACCTTGTTTAGCATTGCAAAGCCTTGCAGCTTCAAAGCCTGGCTGATACCTGCCTGGGGGAATCCTTTGTTGGGAGATATTAGCTTGTTGGGAGGTGTTCTTGTCTGGAATTCCCTTTTTTTGAGTGTTGCTCTTTATTAACAATGCTCCATGCAGTCATGCCGGCCACACGACCGTGGAGGTGTCTATGGACAATGCCGGCTCTTCAGCTTAGAAATGGAGATGAGCACCATACCTCAGAGTCAGACATGACTGGACTTAATGTCAGGGGACAACCTTTGCCTTTTTTTAACCTTTATCTACTGTCCTGATTTTAGAGTTTTTAAATCTGGCTACCAGGCTTTGAAGCTGCAAGGCTGTTAAATGGTAAACAAGGTGACCAATTACATTGACACTTGCCTCAAGCAGGCAAGAGTTCTTTCTCCCACTCCGGACATTCTACATATAAACCTCAGTTGCTTGTTTCCAACAGACCTCACAACCACTGAAGATGCCTGCCATAGATGTGGGCGAAATGTCAGGAGAAAATGTTTCTGGAATATAGCCATACAGCCCAGAAAACTCACAGCAAAACACATAAACATTGTAAAAATACTACAAATCCCTATATTAAAATGTATTTCTACAAAAGCTGTATGCACATTGAAGCATATTTTTTATAAAATACATGTTAAAATACACAAAATAGAGATTAAACACAAGGCACACATTTAAAATTCATACTTAAAGACTGCCTGCCGGAAGAGATACCTAGAGTGCGTCCACACTGCATAATTCATGCAGTTTGAAACAGCTTGAAATGCCATGTCTCAGTGCTATGGAATTGGGGGCGTTTAGTCTTCTCTGTTAAAAAAGGCTGGTGCCTCACCAAACTACTAATTAATCGTGTCAGAAGCAAATTGAAAATACAATTATAATGTATAAAACCCACAAACAAACTTAAAAACTTGGCATTATGCTAAACGTATTTTTATTGTCAAAGCTTTCATGGCCGGAATCACTGGGTTGTTGTAGGTTTTTTCGGGCTATATGGCCATGTTCTAGAGGCATTCTCTCCTGACGTTTCGCCTGCATCTATGGCAAGCATTCTCAGAGGTAGTGAGGTCTGTTGGAACTAAGAAAATGGGTTTATATATCTGTGGAATGACCAGGATGGGACAAAGAACTCTTGTCTGTTGGAGCTAGGTGTGAATGTTTCAACTGACCACCTTGATTAGCATTTGATGGCCTGGCGGTGAAACATTCACACCTAGCTCCAGCAGACAAAAGTTCTTTGTCCCATCCCGGTCATTCCACAGATATATAAACCCATTTTCCTAGTTCCAACAGACCTCGCTACCTCTGAGGATGCTTGCCATAGATGAAACGTCAGGAGAGAATGTCTCTAGAATATGGCCATATAAATGTCTTTTGACTAGGAGCTGACCACTTAAGAATGCCTTTGATGTCGCTGTAAGAAAGTCCTCCACTGCATGTGACGGGGCTCAGACTGTATTGTAGTAAGTGGTCTGTGGTTTGCGCACTCCACTTAAGGTTGGCTCGGCATCTCATGGCACCAGAGCGCAGTCTGTTCAGCGCCTTCCAAGTCGCCCCGTCTTCTGTGTGCCGAGGAGGGAGTTTGTCATTCAGTATCAACCACTGATTGAGATTCTGGGTTTAAGCCTGCCACTTTTGGACTCATGCTTGCTGGGGTGTTTCTGCAAGTATCTCTGTACATCTTGGAAAACTATTTCTTGATTTAACCCAGCTCGTGGGCAAGAGAGATAGGGCTTTCTCTGCAATTGCTCCCATTTTTGGAACACTAGAAGCAATATCATACGAAAGCTGACTGGCACAACCTGGGGATCACAACCAGACGCAGTGAAGACATCTGCCCTTGCGCTATGCTACTCTGCTGCTGAGTATGCATGCCCAGTGTGGAACACATCTCACCACGCTAAAACAGTGGATGTGGCTCTTAATGAGACATGCCGCATTATCATGGGGTGTCTTTGCCCTACACCACTGGAGAAATTATCCCTTTTAGCCGGTATTGCACCACCTGACATCCGCCGGGAAGTAGCAGGCAATAGTGAAAGGGCCAAGGCAGAGACATCTCCAGCTGATCTTGGAGGTGTCTATGGACAATGCCGGCTCTTCAGCTTATAAATGGAGATGAGTAACACACTCCAGAGTCAGACATGACTGGACTTAATGTCAGGCGACAACCTTTACCTTAGAATCAAAGAGTTGGAAGAGACCTCATGGGCCATCTAGTCCAACCCCCTGCCAAGAAGCAGGAATATTGCATTCAAAGCACCCCTGACAGATGGCCATCCAGCCTCTGTTTAAAAGCTTCCAAAGAAGGAGCCTCCACCACACTCCGGGGCAGAGAGTTCCACTGCTGAACGGCTCTCCCAGTCAGGAAGTTCTTCCTCATGTTCAGATGGAATCTCCTCTCTTGTAGTTTGAAGCCATTGTTTCGCGCCCTAGTCTCCAGGGAAGCAGAAAATAAGCTTGCTCCCTCCTCCCTGTGGCTTCCTCTCACATATTTATACATGGCTATATCTTTTTTTTTATAGAGTTGGAAGAGACCTCATGGGCCATCAGTCCAACCCCCTGCCAAGAAGCAGGAATATTGCATTCAAATCACCCCTGACAGATGGCCATCCAGCCTCTGTTTAAAAGCTCCCAAAGAAGGAGCCTCCACCACACTCCGGGGCAGAGAGTTCCACTGCTGAACGGCTCTCACAGTCTTCTCTTCTTCAGGCTAAACATGCCCAGCTCCTTAAGGCGCTCCTCATAGGGCTTGTTCTCCAGACCCTTGATAATTTTTGATCATACCTTTACCTATTCAAAGTTTGCCCATGCCTGCATTAATTGCATAGCTTTATAGCAGTGGGGCCAAAAAAATACTGCATGAATTCTACAGTGCAGATGCATTGCACTTCCACTGCTGACCACTAGAGGGGGTCGCTTCCAACAAAATATATATATATATATATATCCGGTATCCGCAGCGTTAGTAGCTAATTGAAAGCTCAAGAAAGGAGGAGGAGAAGGGGGCAGATTGTGATTGGCTGCGGCGTTGGACGTCACGCGACCCTCCTCAGCGAATGGGAGGCTCTCTCTCGCGCTCTCTGCGTGCGTCGTTTCCGCTTCCGATCCAGGCGCTGAGAGGGAAGAGGCGTCTCCTGTCCTCTGAGCCTCTTGGCGACGCGGTCGGGGCTTCGGCCGCCGGAAGAAGGAGGCTCTTCGAAGGCAGGTGAGAAGAGGGAAAAGGCCCAGGAGGGGATTCAGAGCCGGCTGGGCGTTCCTTGAAGGGAGAGCCTTTGCCCCAGGCTCATTCTCTCACTCTAGCTCAGGCCTGGGCAAATTTAGGCCTTCCAGGTGTTGTGGGCTTCAACTCCCACCATTCCTAACAGCCTCAGGCCCTTTCCTTTTCCCCCTCAGCCGCTTAAGCTGAAGGGGCCTGAGGCTGTTAGGAATGGTGGGAGTTGAAGCGGCTGAGGGGGAAAAGGAAGGGGCCTGAGGCTGTTAGGAATGCTGGGAGTTGAAGTCCAAAACATCTGGAAGGCCTAAATTTGCCCAGGCCTGAGCTAGCTGCATTCAGACCCGGTATATCTTGCTTTGGAGCTTCTATAGGCACATATCTTTATTATGTGATGTGTCATATTAGGCATGCACAAACCCCCTTTTCAAGTGGGCTGTTAGGGATTGTGGGAGTTGTAGTCCAAAATACCGGGTGAGGGGCGAAGTTTGCCCATGGAGCGACATACAGGGTGTTGCACTTCAGAACAGCAACTAGTCCCTCTGACTATAAACACACCACATGTTATTATTATTATTATTATTATTATTAACTTTATTTGTACCCCGCTAGCATCTCCCGAAGGACTCGATGCGGCTTACAAAGGCCAAGGCCTCAAAACACAACATAACAATACAACACCTAAGCAAATTAAAACAGTTAAGCAATATTAAACAATAAACAATACATCAAGACACTATAAAAACTGGGTCGGGCCAGGGTAATGGGTATAAGATTAAAAGTGCTGATGTGTGCTGATGTAAGGATTATAGGGTAAGTGCAGTGTGCAGAGTGCAGCAATCTTAGCTCTAACAAAGTGCTTCTGGGACTTGTTATTGGAGATTCCTATTCTGGAAAGGCACATTGGAACAGCCAGGTCTTCAAGTTCTTTCTAAAGACTGCCAATGTAGGGGCCTGTCTAAGATCTTTTGTGTTCCAGAGTCGGGGGGGGGGGCACCACAGAAAACGCCCTGTCTCGCGTCCCCACCAAGTGCGCCTGCGATGCAGGCGGAATCACGAGCAGGGCCTCTCCGGATGTTGAGTAAAGGAACTGTGCTGTCGCACGCTGGGCCTGTGCATCAGACTGTAGACAGGACATAAATTCTGTGTGCCCAACGGGACGCCGGGGCTGCCTCAGATTAAAGGCCTTTGGATTTCCTTAAAACAGAGTCTTTAGATTGCTTAAAGGTTCAACAAAGTTCTTTATTAATGAAAACAAACAGGTACTTTAAGGCTTTCTTAACAGTCTATTGACTCTCTCTCAATCTTGTCCACAGGGAACAGGCACTATCTTCATAACTGTAACTAATGGGGAAATCCTTAACTTCTAATCTGGGCAGTCTGTCTTTGCCTCTGTTGGCGTGGAGCCCCTGCACCCGGTACCAACTGCTTCTGGCTTCTGCGAGTGACCCTTACCAAGCAGAGCTTTGTAGACTTCCAAGGGAAAGGGAGTTCAGGTTTCAGTGATGGCTGACTGAATTGCTGTGGGACCGGATTTCCTCAGCTGTAAGGAGCTGTAAGGCTGTAAAATCCTCGACTAAGCTGTAGGCTGTCTATCTCCCTGGCCAAGCCGTAGAAGACGAAGCTTTCTACAGGAGGTCTTGGTTTTATGTCCTGTGTGAAAGACTTCTCTGTGAGAACTGACTCAAAAAGGCCCCTAATCCCTCCAAAACTCAAAAAGGGGTGGGACCAGGGAACCTAACGATAATTGACAGGTGGCTTGCCCTATGATTGCAGCCAAAAGAAGCCACCTATCTGCAGAGTCCCTGAAACTTAGGACTACAAACAAACATTCAATGCAAAGCAAACAAAATTGGAGCTCCTGGTACAGCTGTACCTGCACAGGAACAATCCTTTTTTTTTTTATTAAAGCTTAGCAAAAAAGACAGTAGAAATATGTTTGTATAGATAAAGTTTCAAAAAGCAACGAGGCATTCAAAGGCAGCTAGATAAAAACTGTGTCTAAACGTAGCAATCAAACAGTAGCTCAGTGGGTTAAACCCCTGTGCCGGCAGGACTGAAGACCGACAGGTTGTAGGTTTGAATCTGGGGAGAGGCGGATGAGCTCCCTCTATCAGTGCCAGCTCCTTGTGCAGGGACATGAGAGAAGCCTCCCACAAGGATGATAAAAAAATCAAGTCATCCGGTTGTCCTCTGGGCAACGTCCTTGCAGACGGCCAATTCTCTCATACCAGAAGCAACTTGCAGTTTCTCAAGTTGCTCCTGACACGATAAAAAAAAAAATCAAAAACAATGTCCAAAAAACATGAAATTATAATCCACGGCAATAATATCCAGACGGGAAGCAGGAACAGACCAGATGCTGCTAGTCACCTTAAAAAGCTAGAAAAATCAATGAAGATGAGATTCCATGAAGCTTATACTTGGTTTCCAAATGATGCCTGATCTGACAAGATTTTCTACAGACAAACCTTAAATCCCAAAAACTGGTTTCCCTTTCCCCCAGACTTTGACTTCAGTTGATGAATTCTTTCGGATCTAGGTAAACATTGGGCCTCTTGTCGATTCTGGCTAATCTCCAGCTGCTGACTCTGCTTATCTGACTCCTCATTAACTTTAGCAGGTGTCAGACTGTTTTCCAAATTAGAATCTGGAAACTTCACAGATGGAAGGAGTAAATCTTTCTCCCAAAACCTGACAGAAATATTCTCATGAGGATTTGCCCTTTGCACCACATGCTCCTCTCTGTAAGTGTCTGCATGAAACTCATTGACCAAATTGTCTCCATCTTGTACCTCAGGGTCAGTCCCAGCATCCTCCACATCAGAAGCAACAGGGGACTGACTTCCCTCCTCATCCACATCAGACACAGAAACATCAGGAGACTGAAACACATTCACAGGTTCAAGCTCAGGTTCAATCACAGGCTGAGTCCCAACACAGAGAGCATACCACCCCCATGTCGTGTTAGCTCCACTGGCTGCCAGCCCACTTCCAAGCACAATTCAAAGTGCAGGTCTTGGAATATAAAGCCCTATACGATTCCGGCCCAGCTTACTTGTCTGAACGTATCTCCCTCTACATCCCACCTCGCAGTTTAAGATCGTCCGGGGAGACTCTGCTCTTGGTCTCACCAGCTACACAAATGCGAGAGACAGGGACTTCTCTGTGGTGGCCCCCAGCCTGTGGAGCTCGCTTCCCAGTGAGATTAGGTCAGCTTCATCCCTCCTGTCTTTCAGAAAGAAACAGAAATGGTTCTGGGACTAGGCTTTTGGACAGCAGGCATAATAGCACTTTGAATGTGGAACTGGACTAGAATGGCTATATGGTTGATAAATATTTTTAATTGTTTTTTAAATTAATGATTAATTTATTGTTTTAAACCAGGGGTCCTCATACTTTTTAAACAGAGGGCCAGGTCAGAGTTCCTCAAACTGTTGGAGGGCCAGTATATATATACACACACACACGAATGAATTCCTATGCACACTGCATATATCTTATTTGTAGTGCAAATAACAAATAAAAACTATGCAATAATTGAAATGAACAATTTTAACAAATATAAACTTAATAGTATTTCAATGGGAAGTGTGGGCCTCCTCTTGGCTGATGAGATAGGGTTGTTGCTGTGTGAATTCAAGTAGTTTCAGACTTAAGCTGACCCTGAGCGAGGGCCGGATAAATGACCTTGGAGGGCCACAGAGCCTTAGTTTGAGGACCCCTGTTTTAAACTGTTATATTGCTGTATTTGCTTGTATGCTGCAGCATCGTATTGCTGCCGAGTGTGAGCTGTCCCAAGTCCCCCCTTGAGGATTGAGAAGGACAGTAGAAATGCTGGAAATAAATAAATAAATACATGGGATACCTAATGCTCCAGAGGACAGGATCAGAATTCAAAAATGACCTCAATAGATTAGAGAGCTGATTGGCCAAAGCTAACAAAATGCATTTCAACAGGGACAAATCTAAGATCCTACACCTAGATAGAAAAAATGAATGCAAAGATTCAGAATGGGTGATGCTTTACTTGACAGCAATACATGGGGCAACGATCTTGGAGTCTTGCTAGACAACAAGTTGAACATGAGCCAACAGTGTGATGTAGCAGCTAAAAAAACCAGTGGGGTTTTGGGCTGCATCAAAAGGAGTCGAGGGAAGTCATGATGCCTCTCTATTCAGTTTTGGTTAGACCTCTTTGCTTGGAATAATAACCCTGTGTCCAGTTCTGGGCCCTACGATTTAAGAGGGGTAATGACTCTGAGCAGGAAGGGGTCCAGAGGAAGGCAACTAAGGATGCACCCACACACCACTCAACACAAATGACCTCGTGCATTTTTACCTGAGTCGTCCAAATCATGCCTCAGGTAAAACCGAATTAATTTGGGACAAAGCAGGAAAACCCTGCTTTGTCCTGAATTAATATGACACCTGGAACTAATATGACACCCAGATCTTTCCAGGTGTTTGTGTCATGCAACTTCTGGGCCCAATCTGCAGAGCAGTCTCAGGATTTCCGAGCTGCTGGAGCCTGGAAACCTCAAGACTACATCTACCCCCTTCTCGCTCCCCCTTCTCCTGGTGCATCATTTCTGTGTGCTGGGGGATTTCTTTTGTGTCTGGGTGCTCTGAGGGAGCTGGGGGTGATGACAGCCGACAGGGAGCTCTGGCGTGGGCTGGTCCATGAGGTCGCGAAGAGTCGGAGACGACTGAATGAATGAACAACAACAAAGGCAACTCTGTTACAAAGGTTTCTTGTCAAGATTTATTCAAAGAATATTTGCCTTTCTTTTCCACCCAGTGGGTTCAGAGCCATAGTCCGAGGTTCAAACCACTACGCCACGCTTTATGAATTCCTTCCCTCTCTTTATCCTACCTACCTCCCTTTCTCCTCTTCCTTCCTTCACCGTTTCCTGCCTAAATGTATTTCTTGCTTTTTCTCCTTCCCTTTCTTTTTCCTGCCTCTTTTTCTTTCTTTCTCTTTCTCCCCTCCTCCCTCCCTATGTTTTGGAAGGAGCAAGAATGGAATGGAGAGGATTTCCTCAATTTTGGAAGGAGATAGAGAAAAGGAAAAGAGAGTTAAGGAGCAAGAAGGAAGTTCAGAGGATCCCTCAGTTTTGGAAGGAGATAGAGGAGAGGAAATAAGAGTTACAGAGCAACAAGGTGGTGATGGTGGGGCATGAATGGCAGTGGCAGTTTAGGGTAGGGGCCAAGGAAATAACCTTGGTGGGCTGGATCTGGCCTGCTGGCCATAGTTTGAGGACTCTTGGTCTAAGGCAGTGGTTCTTAATCTGTGTGTCCCCAGATGTTTTGGCCTACAACACCCAGAAATCTCAGCCAATTTATCAACTGTTAGGACTTCTGGGAGTTGAAGGCCAAAACATCTGGGGACCCACAGGTTGAGAACCACTGGTCTAAGGGTTTCCAGTGTGTGGACTGCAGTGTGGGGGGCAGGCATTGTACCATAGCAACACAATTTTTGACAGATTCCCTCCTCTTTAAGAATTGATTGTTCCTCTGTCAGTTGCTTAGGCACCTGCCTGGCACACACTTTACAGAACTGAAGGCTGTCAGGAATCAGGGCGTAGGCAGATCCAACATTCAGCTTCCCTGCAACTTCTTCAGCTATTCTTCTTCTGCTTTTGCAGATCAATGCCAAGGTTCTTTATTCGTTGTAACTGGCTGTGAAGAGACGTCTCTCTACTTTATTAATTTGCAATAATATCCCACCTTGCTGTCTTCTAATTTGTAAAGAGCGAAGATGAGAGGGAGAGAGATGGCTGTTTAGCTGGCCAATTTGCAAACGATGCGGGAGGAGGGAGGGAGAGATGGCTGTTTTAATGTCACCGAATGTTACCACTTTGCGATCAGATCTCACTCATTAGAGACCAAAATTATAAAGATCTATTCAGATCATTAATCAATGCTGCCACCATAACTTTCTTCTCAGCTATCCAAAGCTGCTTTAAAAATCTTCCAGGATAGAGTCACACTTGAGTCAGGATTTGTCGAATAATAATCAATAAAGTTTATTAATTAAAACAGGAACAAATATAGTTAAAATTCTTGACTGTTTCAGCAAGCTGTGTCTTAAAGCGTGATGGTTACATAAATTGTTCTGTCTTTGTTACATAAGAGACTTTCTTTTCTCCCTTTACACCAGAATACTGACCAGATAGTTTGTCTGTCAGTAAATCTTACAGCAGCATAGATAGTCTTAACTTAGATCTATCTTTCTACTTCTCACTATTCTCTCTACTGTTCACTTTGAACACTAAAACTTAACTCTTCACTCCTCTATACCTGACTTCTAACTCCAACCGACTCTAACTCTGACACTAACTGACTGACTTCTAACTCTCCCTGACACTAACTGACTCTTTTCAAACGCAGCTAGATTTTTTTTCTTTCTAGGCTCCGCCCACTTCTCACTCTCTTTTGCTTGGTTTCCCCGGCAACGCCACAGTGGAGATAACTAGTTAACTCCAGCTTTTAGCCATTGCCACCCAGCAAACAGACGAACAGCTCAAATACATATAATGCATTGATAACTTCCTTACACTGGCTATCAAGAGTACTCTGCATCAGTCACACTAACATGGCCGTTCTTGAACATTTCAGTCCATTCATAGATGACTCTATGAAAGAAAACTTTATCCCCACACTGAGTACACATATGGAGATGAATTTGTGCTCCTCACACACTTTCTGCCTACAAAAAGCATATGACAAAGTTCTGTTTCTCTTTAGTGCAATGCATACATTTCACAGCCATCTTCGCGCACAGCGTGACAACTCTTAAACTAAATTGCAAGTTTAACTGGCTTTCCAGACAGACGAGTCATCATACACTCTCAGACTCGACCATTTACTGCTCCTCCCACCCTCACTATTTGCAACAAAAATATAAACATGCAGAAACTTTTTGAAGACGTCTTGTATAAGTTTATATGTATATATGCATATATAAGCTTCTACACCCACACACACATCTGTGTGCTTATAAAAGCTTCTGCATACATACAGGGCATCTCTCAAAAATGTATAAACCCGTAACAGGTTATAATCTTACAAATATATGGTGGCTCATGGAGCGCACCAAAGAGTTTAAAAGAAAATCAGTCTGTGCTAAATAATAATAATAGGATGCTGTGAGTTTTTTGGACAGTATTGCCATGTGTCAATAGTGAAACATGGCCATACAGCCCGAAAAACTCACAGCAGCCCAGTGATTCCAGCCATGAAAGCCTTCGAAAACAAACAAATACTAATACTTTTATTTCATACCAATAGCTTATTTCTTAGATATGTTGTAACTTGCTTGAGGAAAGTTACAACATAGTTAAAAACACATAATCATTATGTAAAATATATAAAAATGTATTTATACAAAATACATATATTAAAATACATAGAACAATAATTAAAATATAGCAGAGACAAGATGCAAGCAATATAGATTACGACAAAGCTGTTGATGGTAGATTACAGCAAATTATAAATTATAGAACAGCTGTTGATGGTATTTATCATGAAAAACTATGGCTTGCTCTTAAAGAAATGCGGTCCTGGTAATCTATATTCAGGACAAGAGGCTACTGTCAGGACAGAATATGGAGAAATTGAATGGTTTCCAGTTGAAAAGTGGTTACGCCGGACTACATTTTATTGTCCTCTTTATTTATCTAGTATGCTGAATATAACATTCCAGCTGGATTAGCCTTGGAGGAAGTAAATGCATTAACAACAACAAGCGAGAGTTCACTAAAGAGGATTTGTTCTTGTGATACAACAGTTTTTCCTGGTGAAAGTTTTGGGAATTGCTGATTCAAATTGTTGCAATTTCTTCAGGTAAATGCTTAATGAGGATTAGCAAATTGCCTGCATCTAAACTTTATAAGAGTTATATGGAAAGGCACACTGTATGTGTGTGTGTGTGTGTGAGAGAGAGACAGACAGACAGAGGGAGAAAGTTTTGACTTTTCCCCTTTTACATCTTCGTGTGCTTTTCTTCTCCTCAACAGCTTGGAAAAGGGCAAGATGTGGCACGAAGCCCGGAAGCATGAGCGGAAGCTCCGTGGGATGATGGTGGATTACAAGAAACGAGCCGAACGTCGAAGAGAGTATTATGAAAAGATAGTGAGTGTTTTCCTTATGGATCTGCAATCTAAAAAGAGGGTTGGCAATGTCTCATGGTATCTCATGGCTGTTCGCCAATGTAGAATCTCAGTCCTTGTTTGAGGGAGACTTTTACAGTTTGGATACCACTATAGAGACCCTCTGCCCAGTTGCTCCTGTCTACCTCAAGTAATGAGGACACATAGAAGGACCACTGCAGATTTTCTCCTGATGGCTGAATTTTGTTCAGAAAAGCAGCCTCGTATATTGGGAAGGGATGACTATAAAAGACGTTTCTGTGGGTGCCCTGTTCTATAATATCAAACTCCTAGACCATCCCAGTGGGGGTTATGCCATTGTAGTTCTTCCTTATTACTCTCTCCCCCCCCCCCCCCACCACTTTGTCCCCACAATCCTGACAGCATCTAAGGAAAATGTTTGTAAGGATTATTTATTTATTTGAGAAATTTATTTATCGTCTTTTCCCAAGGACTCAAGACAGTTTACAGCAATTGTTAAAATATACAATGTATTAACATTAAAATAATATTTAAAAAGTCTAAAAATTCACAAGGAAATGTAATATCAGTATAAAGTTTGGAAGCTCCAAATAGTCCCAACGGGTGGCAGCCAGATTGTTAACCGGAGTGGAAAACAGGGAATGTACAACTCCCTTTTACGTCAGTAATACTGGCTGCTAATTTGTTTCCAAGCACAATTCAAAGTGCTGGCCTTAGCCTATAAATCCATAAATGGTTCTGGTCCAGCTTACCTGTACAAACATATCTCTCTTTATTTATTTCGTATCAAAAGCATTGTATAAATTAGTATAAAACTGATAAAAGGAGCACAAGTGGCTAAATAACTTTTGACCAAAAACGGGCAACAGCAACCACATTGTCTGCAGCTTCCAACAATTCTTCCTCTGTACATGAGGCAGGACATTGCATACAAGCATACAGATGCAGACTTGTCTGTTCTACTCCACAGTTGCAGAAGGTGGAGGATTCTTTTAGGTAGTGCCATTTTGCCACGTTCTCCAAACCCCAAAGCATTGCTTTTAAACATCTCGCTTTATGATCTGGTGCAATTGTTAAGATCTTCTGGGGAAGCCCTGCTCTCGGTCCCGCCCCCATTGCAGGCGCTGTTGGCGGGGGCGAGAGACAGGGCCTTCTCGGTGGTGTCCTCACAGCTGTGGAACTCCCTCTCCAGTGACATCAGAACAGCCCCTCACTCTTAAGCTTCAGGAAAAATCTTAAGCCTTTGGGGATCAATATGACCCATAAGTATGACAAAACTTGTATAAGATTGGCGGAAGCAATTGGTTTAATGTTTATAACGTTAAGTTTGTGCTAGACCTTTGATATGTTTTAATCATCTAAAAGTTTATGTATAATTGATATGTATAAGTTTTTACAGTTTTATAGTATTGTGTTTTATTATTGTCTGAATCTGGCATTGAGATATTGCCATAGTTTGTAAGCCGCCCTGAGTCCCCCTTCGGGGGTGAGAAGGGTGGGGTATAAGTACAGTAAATAAATAATAAAGTGATATTATCCTTTGAAATAAACAACTGGGCTGTAGTTTAGTGTTTGTAGGAATGTAGGCCTTGGATACAGAGATATTTTTTAGATCATGCTGGGAAGGGTACTCTGATATTGAGAGTCACTATTAAGAGTTACTGCCAGAGAGTGGAGATAATAGACATTGGTGATCTGACTTTCTTTAAAAGAGCCACCTCTGTCATACTTCTCTTCCAGAAAAAGGATCCAGCCCAGTTCTTGCAGGTCCATGGCCGCGCATGCAAAGTCCACTTGGATTCCGCTGTGGCTCTTGCAGCTGAAAGCCCTGTGAATATGTAAGTAGCCTTCATGCTCTGAGCTGACAGATTGGGGAAAAACAGTGTGGTGTAAATGAAGAGCAATTGCACTTGTTTGATGTATTGTATCTCCATTGTTTCTTGCAGGATGCCATGGCAGGGAGATACCAACAATATGATTGACCGTTTTGATGTACGAGCCCATTTGGACTATATCCCCATGTACACTCCTCCACTGTTGAACCCAATGTAAGGTGTTTTTAAAATATTTTGATTCCAAGATTCAGACTTCATTTTTTTCAATCCCAAGATTCAGACTCTTCCTAACTGCTGTGCTTTTTTTAAAAAATTACTTTGTTAAGTTATAATTTGTATTAATATGTTGGGTTGTATACATTTTGCTATTATGGATGTATTGTTGTTGTTTTCGGGCATTGAATGTTTGTCTTTTATGTTTGAAATCCGCCCTGAGTCCCTCTGGGGAGATAGAGCGGAATATAAATAAAGTTTTATTATTATTATTATTATTATTATTATTATTATTATTATTGTTTACATAAAAAACCGATTAATTGGAAGCTGAAAATCAGAAAGAGAGCTTTCATAACTAGGTTTGACTTCCAGTTAAATCTGTCCTACTCCATATTTTCCCCAGGAGTGTGACGCTGCTATATATGAAAAAAAAAAGTACTGCTTGGCTTAGGATGACTGAATATCAAGATTTTGAGAATTTTTGTCTAGGAATGTACTACAGAGAAAATGAGGCCACTTTGATCCTGTTCAGGCAACCATTTTTTGGATTCAACCAGTATCCAAAATCTCTGAAATATTAGTGTTAGTGCTAATCAAAGCTATATCAAAATTGAAAGTTCAAAACTTCTACACGTAAAAAAATTAATAAGAACATCAGCTCTGGCCTTGTCTTACTCAATTTCCGAGTATGCCTGTGTTGTTTGGCACAAGTCTGCCCGTGCAAAGCAGGTGAACATAGCATTGAATGAAACATGCAGAATAATCACAGGATGTTTAAACCTACACCTGTTGATAAACTCTACAAGCTAGCTGGCATTGCCCCCCCCCCCCCCCCCCCCCGGCCGCGATGTGCAACGGGAAGTTGCTGCTAACTGTGAGAGAAGTAAGTTTTAACACTGTGAAAGGCACTTACTGCATGGCTAGCAGCCTCCTACCAGTAGACTCAAATAAAGGAAACGTTTCATGGGAACCACCACTCCTCTTAATGTTCTCCTAGCAATAACAAGAGTATTCCTCTGGGCAGCTAGAGCAGGAAATCCCAACTGGATGGTCCCCCACGAGGGTCCTCCTCCAGGGGCATACCAAGAATGGGCAACTTGGAAGTCCCTGAACAGACTCAGAATTGAAGTGGGCAGATCAAAAGACAACCTGGCTAAATGGCACTACCTAGAAGAATCCTCCACCTTGTGCAACTGTGGAGCAGAACAGACAATTCCACACTTGTATGCTTGTCCACAGTGTCCTGCCTCATGTACAGGGGAAGAATTGTTGAAAGCTGCAGACAATGCAGTCACTGTTGGCTGTTTTTGGTCAAGGAGTATTTAGCCGCTTGTGCTCCTTCTATTTTTATCTGTTTTATACTTATTTATGCAGTGATTTTGATATGAAAAAATGAATAAAATAAAAACATAAAACCCACAAAATTTATTCTTTATGTTGTTACTCATTTCTCATTAAATTTAAAAAAGAGATTTAAAAAGCTAAAATTACCTTCCAGTAGTCACAAATGGACAAAAGAAAGACAGTAATTTTGATAAACTTATTGATGTAGTTGTTTCACTGATCAAAGAAACATTATTCTCCCTTCTACTTTTACAGATCCCAAGAAAATGAGTCTGATGAAAGGAAATGCAACTATGAGAGATACAGAGGTTTGGTGCAGAATGACTTTGCTGGCAGTAAGTTCTCATAGATTTTTCGAATCCCTCTTGAACTTTTTTACCAACATGGCAATTGGGCTAGCTAGCTGGGGAGGTGGGGGGGGGAGGACTTATGCAAATTGCTATCTAAAGAAGGATTTCTTCCAAACTGCAGTCATTATGTGGGTAAGGAGTAGCATGAAGACACCATCAAGGTGTGAGAGAGGTTGCTGTATATTTTTCTTGCAATTGTCTCTCTTTTATTAAATCAAGTTTTGAGAATTCTTTGTCTTAACCTTTGTATCATAGTCTCAGAAGAGCAGTGCCTCTATCAGATCTACATTGATGAGTTGTACGGGGGGCTCCAAAAGCCAAATGAGGATGAAAAAAAGAAGTAAGTGTTCATACTTTGGGGTCAGTGAGGCAGGACTGAGATGTCCTGGAGAGGAGAGTACCTGATTCTGGCTTGTACTATTTTGGTTAGTCCAAAGGGTTGCCTTGAGCTGGGGAAAATTGTACTCCCAAACATCTGGAGGATTCCCAAGGCACTTTGTATTATTATTATTATTATTATTATTTTCCTGCCTTTTCTATTTTAAAAGAGACTCGGCCATTGACTTACACATTCTCCTTGATTTAAGGACTTGTATAATTTTCAGTTAATCGATAGATAGATAAATTTTTTTATGGTCCAGACCCTTAGTACACTGTAGCATTTAATCAGTCATCCAAACATTGGTTCTAATAATAATAATGTTGTTGATGATGATGTCCAGTCACTGACCAACACAGTCAGAATCTTCAACACTGACATCAGTATGGAGTTTAGCCTAGACAAATGTGCCACAGTGGCATTGAACAAAGGGAAAATTTCACACAGTGAGGGCATAGAGATGTCAAATGGACAAACCATAAAGTGCAATCAGCCTGAAGCCTATCGGTGTGTTTTTCTTCTTTTTCTCTCCAGGTTAGCAGAAAAAAAGGCCTCTATTGGCTACACGTATGAAGATAGCACAGTGGCTGAACTTGAGAACCCATCTGAGAAACGACCTGAAGAGGAAGACTCTGAGGAAGATAGTAACACAGATGAGGATGAAGTCATCCCTGATATTGGTACACCTCCATGAAACTATTGCTATTTGGCACTAGGCCTCTATGAAATTGGATGGTGACAGGAAGGCATGAGAAAGGAATGGTTCATTTGAATTTTCTTGGCTCTTTACCTTCTTTGCTCTCTATGCTGGGTTCATACTGTCTAGGAGTGATAGAAATTGTCACATTTGGGAAGCCCCACGTTGAGAAAGTTTTGGAAAAATTGCATTCATAACCTTTTTGAAAGGAAAAACGATGTCATAACCTTTTGGCAAATGTGAATCTCCATGAACATCTGGAGACCACTAGTCAAGGAAAGGCATGACCTTGTTAGGAGTCAACCCTTTGGAAAAGTGATGTTCACAACCATTTGTGTAATGGCACACAGGTAAATCAGCTGTTAAATTGATAACCATGTCTTTGAACTACCAGGGACAAAGACATGCCACTGCATCAAAAATATACTTAGCTAGCAGAGTTTTAAATTAATTTTTTTTGTCGTGTCAGGAGCAACCGCTCCTGTTGTGAGAGAATTGGCCGTCTGCAAGGACGTTGCTCAGGGGACGCCTGGATGATTTTTGATGTTTTATCATCCTTGTGGGAGGCTTCTCTCATGTCCCCGCATGAGGAGCTGGAGCCTAATAGAGGGAGCTCATCCGCCTCTCCCCGGATTCGAACCTGCGATCTGTCCGTCTTCAGTCCTGCCGGCACAGTGCTATAACCCACTGTGCCACCGGGGGCTCCAGTTTTAAAATGTTTCTTTGAAGTTGAAATTGAAATTGCAGTTTCCCAAAACATATACTCTCCCTTGAAACCTCTTAGTTTAAAAATATGCACTCAGAGACAAAAACAAAGTCGCCTTTAAAAAAATAACATATCTTGTTTACTCACTAATGTCTTGTATTATTTCAGCATATAGGCACATTTAGAGATAGGATGTAGTTTCTCTATGTTGAGAACACAGGGCATCATTCTTAATCAATAGTCCAAAGTCTTTAAGTATACATCTTAAGAAAGTCCAAACTGTATAACTGTACTCACTGCTTCTCAAAGCAAATATTTAGTAAACTGTTCTTGCATAAGTCCAAATGCAGACTGCTTCCATTGAAATCTAAATGTATTCTGCATCCACCTCCACTGAAGTCTAAAGCAAACTGCTAACATTGAAGTCCAAAAACATACTGAATAACAAAATTGAGTTTTGAGTCTAAACATGCTCAGTACAGTCACACACCAAAGTCACACACCCTCCCACACCAAAGAGGTCAGTGAAACTGGAAAATCATTATATACTGTATATTCTGGTGTATAAGACTATTTTTTAACCCAAGAAAATCTTTTCAAAAGTCAGGGGTCGTCTTATACGTGGGAGTAGTCTTATAGGTGGGAGTAGTCTTATACGCGAGAGTGGTCTTATGCGCGGGAGTAGTCTTATACGCCAGGAGTCGTCTTATAGAGCGGGTGCTGAAACTTCCAATCGGATTGGAGAATCTGTGGTTGCCGCATATGGTGGGGGGAGCTCAAAAATGGCAATGCCCGCATCCCTGCAGTATGCAGCGACTGTATGAAAGCATTAAGGGCGATGCTGTACAAGTACGGTAGAAGAATATCCATTCATCAGGATTTGTGGACTTAATGTGGTCCCGATAGTTAGGTAAAGAGGCGCCTCACCGGGAAGATGTAAGTGAAGGGCGGAGCATACTGCTGGTGTCCAGGGTGCTCGGGGTATGGAAAAAAGAGATAGAGTGGCTCTGGGCCCAGACAAAGACACCTCTTTTACCTGTCTGATCTGCTCCTCTGCCTCTCAGATCTTGCTCCTAAAGACTGCAGTGAAGTGGTGCAGGCGTGCATGTGCCAGATCTGAGAGGCAGAGAAGGAGGTTACAGTAATAGGAAAATTGCTATATTGAAATCAAATCTGATGCTTCTTAAATTTTTATTTGGTGTGAGTTGGAAGAGGGGTAGTCTTATATGGCAAATATATTCCAAATTCTATATTTTAACTGGAAAAGTTGGGGGTCGTCTTGTACGCCTGGAATATACGGTACATAGAATACAGGTTAGCAAATGTAGTACCTCGATGATGTTCCCTTAGGCCTTCTGAGAATTGCTTATTGTGAATGCTGATCAGTTGATGCCCCTTGTGTTTTTTGCAGATGTTGAGGTTGATGTAGATGAGCTGAACCAGGAACAAGTAGCTGACCTCAACAAACAGGCAACCACTTATGGCATGGCGGAGGGAGACTTTGTCCGGTAAGATGTTTGTGCTTTCAGGGTTGCCAGGCCTCCTATGCTCAGTCTTTTCTTCTATAAGTTGACATGTTTTTGGGGTGATCAGCTTGGATAATAAATCGTGTTATCCAGCCTGCAGACAAGTATTCTTGTGGATTCTGGCTTCAGGAAGCTTACCTGCAGACGCAAAAAAGTGGAGTGGAGGTAGTCAAAAAATTGATTAAAGTTATAAATGCTCTCTAAAGAAGTGGGTATTGGAGAGTTTTTTCTCCATCTTTCTTGCTTACGAATAATAATTTTAGGTGTAATTCAGTGAAGCTGAATGGTGAGAGACTAGGAAAGACCGAAGGATATTATGTTATGGCACATAGCTAAACCATGGAATTTGCTGGCACACGATACAGCAGTGGCCACCAATATGGGTTGCTTTGAAAGAAGATGAGTGAAATGCATGGAGAATACGGCTGTCAAGGAATTATGAGTCAGGGGACTATGTATTATCTCTGTTATTATTTTAGCTGGTATATTTCTGAATGCCAGTTGCTTGGAAACGTAAATGGGAGTTCGCTGTGTCCCTTCTGGTTATACTTGTAGGCTTCCCAGATGTGTATCTAAATTGGTTAACGTGTGGGAAGGGAATGCTGACTTAGAGGCTTGCTTTGGTCTGTTCCAGAATGGTGCTTATGCCTTTATGAGTGGTTTAAATCTGTGTAGGCTAAATAGATTTTCAGAGGCATGTGTGCAATTATTTTTTTCATTCACGTGGTATTTCTCTCTTGCCTTGATATTAAAAGCACACAGGTAAAATTTTACAGTAAAATTGAAATCATAGGTAGTCCCCAAATTACAAACATCCGACTTACAAACAACTGATTGTTAAGAATGGGGTGAGACAACAGGAAGTAGAGATATCTATCCCTATGATGGGAAATTCATTCCTGAAAGAGTTATCACGGGGTAGAGGTCTCCACTGAAGCTTTATTACAAATCCTTTTTTCCTCAACAAGCCACATTTTGCAAAATCCAATTCTCACAGGGACAGAAAGTGAGATGACATCTTCTGAACAGGGGCACAGAAAGCAAAACAAACACCACAGAGGTGTTAACCCTCCCTATGCTATCCAAAGCTCAAAATTTAGATATTTTTGGCTGGAATATCACTTTAAAATGTACCTGTTTCAACTTACATACAAATTCAACTTAACAACAATCTTACAGAACCTATCATATATACTCGAGTATAAGCCAAGTTTTTCAGTCCTTTTTTAATGCTGAACCCCCCCCCCCAGCTTGCGCTCGAATCAAAGTTATTTATTATATTACTCTGTTATTATTAGTTTTATTCCATTTATTATTTTACTCTATTTATTATTATTATTATTACATTTACATTATTTTACTCTATTATTATTTTGTATTACATTTATTATTTTACTCTATTATTATTGATTTAGTATTTTTCTCTTATTGCATTTATTATTTTACTCTATTATTGTTACATTTAGTATTATACTCTATTATTATTACATTTATTTTTTACTCTTATTATTTTTATTACATTTAGTATTTTTCCTGTATTTTTATTATTACATTTATTATTTTACTCTATTTATTATTATTATTATTAATTATTATTATTATTTGAAACACAAGATGAATCCACAACAAACAAGATCATTCTGCTGATTGTAATACTACTACTAATAATAATAATAATTTATAACATTTATTATTTTACTTTATTATTATTATTACTATTATTATTATTATTACATTTATAATTTTACTCTATTATTGTTGGAAGGATACATAAGCACATTTAGATTGAAAAAGGTTAGAATAATAGTTTAATCAGAGTTGGACAGTCATATCTTAAATTACACTTTTATACAAATATTCAAAAACATTTAACCTACGGATGCCTTAATTAATATAATTTTATTGGTATCAATTTTTATTTTTAAATGTACCAGTAGCTGCTGCATTTCCCATCCTCAGCTTATACTCGAGTCAATATGTTTTCCCAGTTTTTTTGTGGTAAAATTAGGTACCTTGGCTTATATTTGAGTTGGCTTATACTTGAGTATATACAGTGTCTGGTTCATAATTTGTGGACTGCCTGTACAACTTTTCAAAGGTTAAAGACATAAGAATAACCACATCAGGAATAAACAGATCCCTTCAGCTATGATGCAGGCTGAAACTCTTTGCTTGTATATCTTTTTCCCTCTGATCCCTGTTTTTCTTCTGAAAGGATGTTGAGGAAGGACAAAGAGGAGGCAGAAGCCATTAAACATGCCAAAGCCTTAGAGGAAGAGAAAGCCATGTACTCGGTAGGTAGCATTTGGGAGCCATCCCATATTTATGTTTTGTTGCCTCCTCCCTAGGGGAAAGAAACAGGTAATCAGTGCATAAATCCTCTGATTTCCTCAGTGCATTTATGGCCAGCTGGGCCAAGAGACTCCCTTTGGCTAATGCTGAGAGATGAATCTCAGTCCTGGTACAAGTCCACCTGGGATCTAGGTGGAATAGTCTCTCCTTCAATACTAGGATGCCTGAGGTGGAGAAACTTTAAGGCCTTTGCTGTTAACATAGTAACCTCCCTGATATCCCCATCTGTTTTCTTTTCAAGGGTCGCCGCTCTCGGCGACAGAGGAGGGAATTCCGAGAAAAACGTTTAAAAGGAAGGAAAATCAGTCCTCCGAGGTAAGACTCTTGATGATGGGGAACTCACCTGGCTGATGTTAAGCTGAAAATGTTCATCTCCCTTGCTGCATGAGGAGTTTTGGTGCATCCCTCACTGATGGAAGTGGACATCCTGAAGGAGATTGGCTTTCCTCCTCTCTTTCCTGCAGGAATGTCTCCCATTGTTCTTATTTCACTAAGAGTGAATGAATTCTCCCATGTGGAGTTCTGGTGACCTGGGTTTTCTGGACTCAGCCATCTTCAGCATATGTCCAGAAAACTGACTCAGTTGGCTTTCTACTCACCTAGAATTAATGCCTTTTTTGTCCTCCTTACCTTGTCATTTCAGCTATGCTCGGAGAGACAGTCCCACCTACGATCCCTACAAACGGTGAGTGGATATAGAATCATAGAATCATAGGGTTGGAAGAGACCTCATGGGCCATCCAGTCCAACCCCATTCTGCCAAGAAGCAGGAAAATTGCATTCAAAGCATCCCCGACAGATGGCCATCCAGCCTCTGTTTAAAAGCTTCCAACAAAGGAGCCTCCACCACACTCCGGGGCAGAGAGTTCCACTGCTGAATGGCTCTCACAGTCAGGAAGTTCTTCCTAATGTTCAGATGGAATCTCCTTTCTTGTAGTTTGAAGCCATTGTTCCGCGTCCTAGTCTCCAGGGAAGCAGAAAACAAGCTTGCTCCCTCCTCCCTGACTTCCCCTCACATATTGATCATGTCTCCTTTCAGCCTTCTCTTCTTCAGGCTAAACATGCCCAGCTCTTTAAGCTGCTCCTCATAGGGCTTGTTCTCCATACCCTTGATCATTTTAGTCGCTCTCCTCTGTTAGGTAGTAGTTGCTACTATGTGTATCTTTGGATCCATCCTGTCGGGTGGTGCAGATTTTTATTGGTATCCAAGAAAATACTAGATCTTGTTCAATGCATGTATAAATGTATTTGTTGTATTCCAAGGCAGGAAAGCACCTCTGCACTTAACACACACACACACACACACACCAGTCCAAGATAAAATAGCAAGCAGTTTTTTGAAGCAATTTAGCAAAATAGTATCAGAAACCAAAGTCCAAAAATCAGAGATAATCTACAAAAAACAAGGTACATGAGTAGCATTCAAAAACCAGGAATACAAGAGCAGAATAAATTCAAAACATGAAATTCAGGAATAGTCCTCAACACTTGGAAACATGAAACATGAACAAACAGGAAAACGTGAACATGGCACTAGAAATTCCCTTGACCTGACAGGAGTTCTATCCTCAGTCTCCAGCGTTGCTTCCACTGACTAATGATGCGGTTTGCCTAGCTAATGTAGGCAGAAAATCGTGCCTTCCCCCCTGGAAAACTGATAATGACTTTCTTGCTAACAAGTGACTTGACCTTCGGACTTTTTATGTGAAACTTATGTTGATGAAACGTATATCTTCTATCTAATTGCTCATTAGTCTGTCCACCTGGACTTCCACTATCATCCTTTGAGTTCAGTTCGGTTGCAATGTGGCCTTCAGAAAGAGACTGTTCCTTTTCAGGGCCTAAAACAGTGGTTCTCAACCTGGGGTCCCCAGATGTTTTTGGTCTTCAACTCCCAGAAATCCTAATAGCTGGTAAACTGGCTGGGATTTCTGGGAGTTGTAGGCCAAAAACATCTGGGGACCCCAGGTTGAGAACCACTGGTCTAAAATCTCTAGGTGCTCCAGCTGACTTGCAGACCCAGAATCCTCTGTGTCTACAGGCTGACTAACAGGCCCAGAATCCTTTGTGTCAACAGGTTGACTAACAGGTCCAGAATCCCCAGAGAGATCAGGCGCAGGCACAATCAAAGGCTGAACTACAACAGTATTCACATATTCTGCATATACACATGTGCTTACACATTTACACACACCACTGAGAGGCAGATAAGTCAGGTTGGTCTGGAAGGACTCTGCCTTACCATTTTTGTGTGTGGCTCAAGTCGCACATTTTGTTCCACTTTATATTCACTTTCTGCTGTTTCCAGTGCAGCATGAAATTCAGCCTATGTCAGTGATGGGCAACCTTTTGAGTTTGGTGTGTCAAAATTTGCCAAAAAAAAAAGAGCATATCTCAGGTAGGGTGCCACTACCTGAGATATGCTGGAGAAAAATACCCTTAATTTTGTGATATTTATAGCTTAAATAACAAAAAAGCACCCATAGCACAGACCCTTGCCTCTTCCAGTCTCCCCCTCACTTATTTCAGTAACGATGGTCAATTAGAAATCCACAACACCCCAGAACAGTAGATTAGATGATAGTTGCTGTGGTTATGTGGTTGCTGGTAATGGCAATCACAGGGTCACCAGAGATGCATCCCCATAGCATTCCTCTGATCCCTTTTCCCCCTCCCAGCTGGAAGTGAGGTCAAAGATCCCCTAATGGTCTAACCAGAAATCCCAGACTAGATGCTCTGTGCCAGAGTTCTGTTATTTTGGCCTATAGGCCTCCAGCACAGAGTGTTTACACTACACCACAGCAATTGTTTAATCCTTGGCTACTGTACCTGGCCATGCAGGAGCTGAGGATGAAACCTCCTTCTTGGCATGCGGCCCCATGCTTCTCTGTGGCTGCATGCAGCGGTGTGTCATCGAAAATGGCTATGCGTGTCAGTGCTGACACGTGTGTCAAAGGTTCACCATCACGGGCCTATGTGGCTCTCCAGAAGCCATGAAATCTGATGGAACACACTGATGTAAGGGAGCAATTCATGACCCAACCTGGGAACATCTAGCACAGGAATGGGTAGAGTGTAACCTGTAGGCCACTTGTGTGATCCTCTTCTTCTAAATCATTTAACACGGTTGTTAGTTCATATTTGCTTTCTACATTCTGTTGCCACTTTGTGCGCCACCCTGAGTCACCTTAGGGCTGAAATGGGCGGGGTAGAAATGATGTAAATAAATAAGTAAATAAATTATTAATAGCCACAATGCATTTGAAGCTGACACAAGCCCAATCTCCTGCTCCACTGTCTGTAGTGATACTCTTCCTTCCTCCCTTCCTCAGCTCGCCCTCTGAATCTACGTCTGAGTCCCGTTCCCGCTCTCGCTCGCCTTCCCCGGGCCATGAGGAGAAGATCACCTTCATCACCAGCTTTGGGGGCAGCGATGAGGAAGCAGCCGCTGCTGCTGCCGCCGCAGCAGCCGCCACTCAAGCCGGAGGAACTCCTAGGAAGGCTGTTTCCCTTGGCAAGGCACGCTCCGGCCAAGTGCAGCAAGGCAGCGCTGCGGCAGGTCATAGCGCCTCCTCCCGGTCGGTAATTTTCGCGCCTGCTTCGCTTTCCCAAACCTTAAAGCAGAGACCATCCCGGGGTCAAAAGGTTGATTTCTTACTTTTCCCTCATCCTCCCTGACCATATTGGGGATTGGCACTCCCGTTGGTCACTCTTCTTGACCAGTCCCCAGCCAAGTCGCACTTTCATTGCTGAGTCTGGTCAGAAAAAAAAACCAGGGAATTCCCCCCTCTCCTGTGAAATGCTGAGAAACAGGGTGGTTGTTGTATGGGTTGTCAAGGTGGGTGGGGTCAGCTGGGGAATGCATTGTGTACCTCCAATGAAAGCAACAGGTGCATGGTTTTGTTGTGAAAGACTTAGAAGGCCAGAGGCCCAGCGAACCAACACTGAGTTGATATGGGCTCTGTTTTCCCATGGGCTGGAATGCTGGTTTACTGCAACTTGAAATTTATAGTGCTATTCTAGGAAAATCCAAATGCTATGATATTGTTCTGTTTAGGGCCCCCTGGTGGTGCAGCGGGTTAAACTGCTGAGCTGCTGAACTTGCTGACCAAAAGGTTGGTGTTTCAAATCCGGGGACTAGGGTGAGCTCCCACTGTTAACCCCAGCTTCTGCCAACCTAGCAGTTTGAAAAAATGCAAATGTGAGTAGATCAATAGGTACTGCTCCTGCAGGAAGGTAGCTGCGCTCCATGCAGTCATGTTGGCCACATGATTTTGGAGGTGTCTATGGACAACGCCGGCTCTTCAGCTTATAAATGGAAGTGAGCACCACCCCACAGAGTTGGACCCGACTAGACTTAATGTCAAGGAGAAACCTTTGCCTTTTATTGTTCTGTTTGCCTTTTTAAGGCTAAGCTGTCATACTGTAGAACCTAAGAAAATATATAGTAGGTAAAATGGCACAAGAGTTGTTAAAATGAGTAGTGATAAAACAACAATAAATATGGTTTTATCTTGTTCAAGGAGATGATAACAATTTTATTTATTTATTTATTAAAAACTTTTATATCCCGATCTTCTCTACCTCCGTGGAGGGACTCAGACTGGCTAACAGCAGAAATTCAATGCACAAATACAACTAAAAACATCATAAAATCATAATAAATTAAAATACAGACAGAATAAATACATATAAGCCAAGTCGCCAAGATAGCTCAATGTCCTTGTCGATTACTTAATTTGTGGGTTCTTCTTGGGGGAACCTGTTCCTATGCACAGTTTCCACTTACCCTTGGGACACTTCAACATATTGCCTTTCAATTAGCTTTCCTTTGTAATGAAGGATAATTTTTTAAAAATGTGCACTCCATTTCTAAAATGGGATTTGGTGTACTCAGGCATTAAGTGGATATAGTTTTTGGCTCAAGTCATTCACAGTGAGATCTTGCAGGAAACCAGTACCCTCTTGCCTTCTGCGCTCGACTTTGTCTGGCATTGTGTTGGGTCCCTGGCCTTCCAACTTCCATTATGGGGCTTGATGAAGAGTGATGATGGAAAATGGGAGTCAGGTTTATCTGGCTCTGCAATTGTGGTTGATAATTTAGAAATGCTTCTCTGCTTACGGAACCATCAACTGGTCTGAGATTTGCCCACCTTGGGGTATCCTCGCATGTGTCCTTAGCCCCCTTTCCCCCTGCACTTTCCAGGCATCTTGACATCTGTGTGAATAGCCAGCATCGTGTCTTTACTCTTTGTAGGCGACGCTCCACCTCGTCCTCATCCTCCACATCCTCAAGCTCTTCCTCCTCAAGCTCCCGGTCCAGTTCGCGGTCTCACAGGGCCAGTGGGTACCACAGAGCTAGTCGCTACGGCCGATCGCGCAGCCACAGGTACTCTCGGTCCCGAAGCAGGAGCAGGCGGTACTCTGCAGGAGGCTCAAGGGATGGCCACCGTCACTCCAGGTCACGCTCAACAGAACGGGGCTGGCGATATGGCTCCCGCCGGAGGTCTAGGTACTTAGATTTATACAAAATATTTATTACTTTGTATAAAAACGCACATGGATTCTTTAAAAATTAAAACTATTTCTTTCTGCAGAACCCTGTATTTTGTGTACCCCTCCTGTTTACTTTTTTTCCAAACTGATAGTTTTTGCACAAATACCAATTTTGCAAAGAACACATTTTGTATACTTGAACAAATGACACTAGTGTTGCACAATGTTTCTGGAAATGCTGAGCTGCTTTGTGCAAACAAAACCACATATATTTTCTGCACAGAATAGCTGCGTGAAATGCTTTTGGGTGCAGGAATACCAGGTGAAGACTGGCCAGAACTTCTTTCCTCCCCTCTCACAACAGCTCTGTTAGTCTGTGTCAGCCCAATTTACCACCATAGCCCTCATAATCCAACCCACACAATTTGTTGAACTTCAGTTGCCTTTGTAAATTACTGTGGATTATCATTTAGATTTATGGCACTATATAACTCCTGTCTGACTCAATCTGACCATTTTTTAATTTGATGTTAGGTTTTTAACGCTGCTTTCATTTTTATGGTCTTTCTGGGATTTTATGTTGTTGTCTGTCTGTCTGTTTTATGAAGTCATTGAATGTATTCCATTGTATGTTGGAATCCGCCTGGAGTCCCTTCGGGGGAGATAGGGCAAAATAGAAATAAAGTAGTAGTAGTAGTAGTAGTAGTAGTAGTAGTAGTTATTGACTAGCTGTCCCCTGCCACACATTGCTTTGGCCCAGTATGTGTTATGTATGTGTTTTGTGTGTGTATATACACATATATGTGTGTGTGTGTATATTTGTGTATATGTGTGTTTGTGTATATTTGTGGTTTTGCGCATGCGTTGTAATGTATTTTTTGTTTCTTGTCTTTTTAAGTCTCTTCTGCTGTATTTCCAGTGTTTTTATGAGTGATGGTCACTCTTTGGCCTGAGAGGTGTCTTGTGTCCAAATTTCGTGTTAATTTGTCCAGTGGTTTTTGAGTTAAGTTAATCCCACAAACGAACATTACATTTTTATTTATATAGATTTCATGTGTTGGCCAATTTGCTTTATATTGTACTGTATTGCATTTATCTGGCAAATTTGATTTATAATATTTATAGGTTTATATTTTACTATTCTTCTATGTATCTAGGTGCACATGATGTTGACTGTATACCTTTGGTAGGACCCGCTGTTTTTGGTTGTTTTACTTTTCAAGCACTGTATACATTGATGGCACTATATCACCAAACTTTCATGATAAGGACAACCACAATGACCAGAATGTATTCCTCCTCCTTCAGAAGCCATTCCCGGTCTGGAGAACGCTATCGGTGGAGCAGCGGCAGAGGAGGGAGGCACTGGAGCAGCAGCAGAAGCAGCCGGAGCGACAGCGAGTTGCGAAGCCGTAGCCGGTCAGCATCTCCAGCGCGAGAGAAACAGCTGAGGCCTCCGGCTTCTCCTGCAGTAGGGGAAAAATTGAAAAAGTGAGCATGTGAATGGATATCCCCTCATTGGTTCTCCTGCTTTTCTCATTTTATCTCAACAGAGGATTGCAGAGAGCGAGACCTCTTTTGTCAGGTTTCAGAGTCCTAGTCAGTATCGTGGCCAAACATGGGCAGCCGTCCGGTGGCCTGAAAGTGTTAACCTTGTACAGGTGACCTTCTTGGGCTCTTTTTGAAGCCACTTTGCAGTTTGAGCTTGGAAGAAGATAAGAAGGCTGAGAGACAATATAGGAGCCATTATTTGTGCCAAATCTGCTTGCACAGTTCTCATTGCTATCAGAGGGGAGGTGGGTTATGCTTGATTTTATTTGTTTTCTCTGGCAGAATATAACCCATGGGAGCATGACTTCTATCGGCATTACTGAGAGAGCACCTCAGTCATGGTGCTTTGGCATGTCCAGGAAAAGAGATTTGAATTGATTGCCAGCCAGGGGATAAGTCTGAAAGTTCAATTGTTGGGACGCGTGTCCATCAGTAAAATGGCTGGAATGTTTCTCTGCACTATCTACTTCGGTGGTTCTCAACCTGTGGGCCCCCAGATGTTTTGGCCTTCAACTCCTAGAAATCCTTACAGCTAGCAAACTGGCTGGAGTTTCTGGGAGTTGTAGGTCAAAACACCTGGGGACCCACAGGTTGAGAACCACTGGTCTACTGCATCATTTATCATCACTAATAATTATGCTATGACAGTAATATGTGTTGGCATCTGCCACATAAAAAACCAACCCAACCTTGGATCTTTTGGAAAAATGGCATTCACAACCTTTGTGAAAAGGAAAAATGGTGTCGTATCCTTTTGGAAAATGTGAATCTCGATAAACATCTGGAGACCACCTTTTGAAAACCACTAGTAAAGGAAAGGCATGACCTTGTTAGAAGTCAACCCTTTGAAAAATGATGTTCACAAGCATTCATGTAATAGCACACAGGTAAATCAGGTATCAAACTGATAAACCATGTCTTTGAACTGCCAGGGACACAGACATGCCACTGCACAAAAAAACCCAAACATATACTTAGCTAACAGAGCTTTAAATGTTTCTGTAAAGTTGAAGTTGAAATTGCAGTTGCTTAAAAACGTATTCTCTGCCTTGTAACCTCTTAGTTTAAAATATGCACTTAACTTGTTTACTCACAAACATTTTGTATTAATTCAGTATATAGGCACATTTCTTATTCATTCAAGTACAAATATGAGAACACAGGGCATCATTCTTAATCAATAGTCCATAATCCAAAGTCTTTAAGTATACATCTTATGAAAAGCTGAACTGTGTAACTGTACCCCTGTACTAAACTATTCCTGCATAAGTCCAAAAGACATCTGCTTCCATTGAAGTCCAAAAGCATACTGCATCCACTTCTACAGAGGTCTAAAGCAAACTGCTAACATTGAAATCCCAAAACATACTGATGACAAATGGAGTCTTGAATCTGAACATGCTCAGTAATCACATCTCTGTAGTCCCACCCACACTAAAGAAGTACAGTTAAACTGACAAATCAATATATACATACAATACAGGTTAGCAAATATATACATTAACAAAGAAATGGAGAAGGCTTGGAGGGTTGCGGTTTCCAACAGGATCTATATCTGTTTATGTCCCTGATAGAATTGGTTGGTGCTGTGTTCTGACCTGCCCTCCATTTTCCTTTTCCAGGGCTGAAACTGCTGGTGGTAAAGAGACAGGAGCTGCCAAAGTCAGTAAGAATTTAAACCTCACCTTTTAAATTCCCATCAGTACAGAAAAAGACTCGGGGAAGCAATAGCGGTGCAGGAAAAGTGTGTTTTTGGGCAGATGTACCTGGTTGCTTCAGACTTTAGTCAGAGGGTAGATGGAGACATAGTCAGATTGCTGATGGCTTTTCTAAACTTGAAAACCACCTGTAAATTTGGTCATTGCTGGGTTGGATTTCAAAGGGTGTTATTTTGCAAGTTGGGAGGAGGTTTTCCCAAGCAAGGTAAAAGTTAGATTTTTTTCCCCATGTAAGGACAATAGGCATACGATTCCTTACCGTATTTCTGCATGATTACTGACTTTAGCAATTTTCTTATTGCTGTGAAACTGTTGCACAAAATGCCTAAAAATTGTCCCTGGGGGAGCATTTCCATCACCTTTATTTATTTATTTTTTTGTCTCCCAAGCCATTTTAAGTTCAAGAAGCTCCTTAAAAAACCAAAGTTTTCAGATTCTGTTAGGATAGTGTTTCTCAACTTTCCTAATGTTGCGACCCCTTAATACAGTTCCTCATAATGTGACCCCCAAGCATAAAATTATTTTTGTTGCTACTTCAGAACTGTAATTTTGCTATTGTTATGAATCGTAATGGAAATATTTGATATACAGGATATCTTATTCACTGGACCAAATTTGGCTCAAATACCCGATACGCCCAAATTTGAATCTTGGTGGGGTTGAGGGAGTTTGATTTTGTCATTTGGGAGTTGCAGTTGCTGGGATTTATAGTTCACCTACAGTCAAAGATCATTCTGAACACCACCAACGATAGAATTGAACCAAACTTGGTACACAGAATTCCCACGACCAACAGAAAACACTAGAAAGGTTGGTGGGCATTAACCTTGAGTTTTGGAGTTGTAGTTTACGTACATCCAGAAAGCACTGTGGACTCAGCGATAATGGATCTAGACCAAACTTGATACAAATACTCAATATGCCCAAATTTGAACACTGGTAGAGTTTGGGGAAAATAGACCTTGACATTTGGGAGTTGTAGTTGCTGGGATTTATAGTTCACATCTGTTCCTGATTCATTTGTAGTTACCCTAGGTTCCTCTTTCTTGCTCAGATAGGGCTTGGTTAACTCACATCCTTAGTCCCTAGCCAAGAACTTTACAGCCTGTCTAAACTGAGATGAAAGGACACAGTCATTGGGGGACTTCTCATATTAATGACAATGGGAACTTCAGATCTCCAAATAACCTTTTCCATGATTCACAGAGGAACTGATAGAATTTGATGGGATCTTATAAGCGAGTAGCCAAGTTGCTGGACCAACGGCTTCATGCCCCCTTCTTCAAATGCTTACCAGAGAAAGGGCATGATGCCTTGAAGTCACAGACTGGTCCAGAGGAATATCATCTCCCAGCCGCTATTGAGAAGTTCTGCAGAATCAACAGGGACAAAGAGTCCCTGCCATGAATTATTTACGAGCCTGGTCAATCCCAAACAAGATTGAAGGCAATGTGGAGAAGATGTGTTCTTATTTATTTAGTTATTTACCATATCTGTATCTCGCCCTTCTCGACTCAGAGGGGGACTCAGAGTGGCTTGGCTCTTCCCTTGTATTCTATAGGTTTTTCTATAGGTTTTTCTTAAGTAATGATTATTTCAGAATCCAAGCGATGGATTAAAAGAGTTAGGATCAGAATCTTGTAACAAATAAATCTGAGCACGACTGTTCACTCTTTGTTTTTGATCTGGCTCTGAATTCTGCTATGTAGAGAAACATGGCATAAAATATCTAGTTCTCAAGAAACAAAAAGAAAGACTTTGTTAAAAATAACATATCTCGTTTATTCACAACCGTCATGTATTCAGCATGCAGATACATAACTTGTAATCCAGTTACAGATAGGATTGAAGTAGTTTCTCCCAGTGGCATAGTGGGTCAAACCGGTCTAGGATGTATTTTAAGGCATGGTACAACTGTAGGGTGTTGTGTGTCTGGTACCTTGTAGAAGTGGAGCTTGCCTGTTGGCTTTTGAGGAGTCTGCAGGGGAATACGCTTTTTTAATTTTTGTATTTGTTCAAGTTCTAAGCCATAACAAGCTCACGTTAGGTTAAAAAAATAATAAGCAAACAGTAAACAGGAACAGGGAGTGCGATCAAAACCACAGGTTCATGCTTTGCAGCCATCACTTAATCCAAGGAAATGTTGAGCACGTCGGTGTTTCCAAAACACTGCCTTGCTTTCGCCAGGGCTAATGCACAAGTAGCTGATTTTGTCAGATTGTCAATAAAAGCAATCCAACTCTTCAGCAACTCAGGGAGGAAAAATAGACAACTCTGTTTTAAGACATCAGAACAAGTACTGCAAACAAATCCCCACTTCTCCCCTTCTCTACAAATATATGTAGCACCCAAAAATATCCATTCTAAGCCAATTTTCTCCAAATGATTGTCTTTCAGACCCATTGGATTAGGGCTGCCATAATACTACCATATATACTTGAGTTTAAGCTGACCCAAATGTAAGCCGAGGCACCTAATTTTAACACAAAAAACTGGGAAAATATATTGATTTAGGTATAAGTCGAGGGTGGGAAATGCTGCAGCAGCGATTTCCCACCCAGCTGGTAAATTTCAAAATAAAAATAGATACCAATAAAATTACATTAATTGAGGCATCCGTAGGTTAAATGTTTTTGAATATTTACATAAAACTGCAATTTAAGACAAGACTGTCCAACTCTGATTAAACCGTTATTCTAATCTTCAGTGTAAATGTGCTTATGTGTCCTACCAATAATAATAGAGTAAAATAATAAAAGTAATAAATAATAATAATAAAATAAAATATTGGAAATGTAACAATAACTTGTAATAATAGAGTAAAATAATAAATGTAATAATAATTGTAGAGTAAAATTCCAGGACACACCTGGAATATTGTGTCCAATTCTGGGTACCACAATTGAAAAGAGATATTGACAAGCTGGAAAGTGTCCAGAGGAGGGCGACTAAAATGATCAGGGGTCTGGAGAACAAGCCCTATGAGGAGCGGCTTAAGGAGCTGGGCATGTTTAGCCTGAAGAAGAGAAGGCTGAGAGGAGATATGATAGCCATGTATAAATATGTGAAAGGAAGCCACAGGGAGGAGGGAACAAGCTTGTTTTCTGCTACCTTGGAGACTAGGACACGGAACAATGGTTTCAAATTACAAGAAAGGAGATTCCATCTGAATATTAGGAAGAACTTCCTGACTGTGAGAGCCGTTCAGCAGGAACTCCCTGCTCAGTAATGTGGTAGAGGCTCCTTCTTTGGAAGCTTTTAAACAGGCTGGATGGCCATCTGTTGGGGGTGCTTTGAATGCAATTTTCCTGCTTCTTGGAAGGGGGTTGGACTGGATGACCCATGAGGTCTCTTCCAACTCTATCATTCTATGAAATAATAATTGTAATAATAATAATAATAATAATAATAATAATAATAATAATAATAATGAATTAAAAGAATAAATGTAGTAATAATAATAAAACAAAGTAAAATAATAAATTACTAACAATGGAGAAAAACAATAAATAATAATAATAGAGTAAAATAATAAATGTAATAAAAGTAATAATAGTAAAATAGCGTAATAATAATAATAATGGAGTAAAATAATACATGTAATAAAAATAACAGTAAATACTAAATAACTTTGACTCAAGTATAAGCTGAGGGGAGCTTTTACAGTCTTTTTACCATATATACTAGAGTATATATGGTAATTACTTTGGCGATATCTTGCTCCATGTCCCAGCTTTATTTCCTCTGTAAAAAGAGGGTCAGTAATCATTTGCAGTATTTTTAGTGTGGAAGGTAGGAGAGATAGTGGGTTGAGCTTGGAAAAGTTCCTTTTTCCCCCCATCTCCTGCACCCAGTATGGCCCTTGGTTAAAAAAAAAAAAATCCAAGCTCTAGTAGTGGGTTCAATCAAAGGCCAACTTTTTAGCTGTTTATCTTGATGTGGGCTCTTGCTCAGGAGCGGATATACCATTCAACACTGAGCAAAGCCAGAAAATGTATAGTGAGTCAGAGGGCTGGAGAAATATTCCAGGCTTTTAAGGTTATAGCGTCAAGACTTTTGGAATTCTGCCCTGCATGCGGCGACCGGAGAATGCCTTGAATTCCTCAGAGAAGCACAGAAGTGTAGAAGCCTAAGGAACCAACTGCCTGAGATGAATGCAATTTTTGCTGTGACCTGTTTTAAGTGAATCTTTCTTTCACTTTGTGTTGACTGTGGAGATCTTTGTCTCAGATATTTAGGAGAGAGTCAGTCCTGATGATACCTGATACTCTGATTTTTTTGTAAGAGTAATGAAGTAGGCTCTTGTTTGCTGGTGTCTGGTTCTTCAGTCTAGAGGTTAACACACGAGGCCTTCAGCTTGGGGCTTCTTTCACTGAAGCTTCTCACAGCAGGCCTTCTCACACTCGGACTTCTCATAAACTAAGGCCTACCTCACACTGTGAGACCTACCTCATAGACTACGGCCTTTCTCCCACTGAGGTTTACCTCAGACTGACAGCTACTAAGCTATAGGCACACCTGCTTATATAGAACTTCAGGTTTTACTGAGTCATTAACCCTTCCCTATGGTATCCAAAGCTAAAAAAAAGATGCTTTTGTTATCTGGTTGTACTATTTACAAGAACAAGGTTTCCACAACACAAAGTCCTTTATACTTCCCTTCTTTGCTTCCATGCTGGGCTTCTTCCTCATGCAGATAAACAGCATTGCTTTCACAGAGCCTCCTCTGTAGCTTTTTACACACAATAGCCTTTATACTGGAGCTTTACACATGAGGTTAACACATGGGGCCTTCAGCTTGGGGCTTCTTTCACTGAAGCTTCTCACAGCAGGCCTTCTCACACTCCGCCTTCTCATAGACTAAGGCCTACCTCACACTGTGAGGCCTACCTCATGGACTAAGGCCTTTCTCCCACTGAGGTTTACCTCAGACTGACAGCTACTAAGCTACAGCCACACCTGCTTATATAGAACTGCAGGTTTTACTGAGTCATTGCATCCGTTTAACTCTTTCAGTGCTTGACTCACATTTTTGTAATTCAAAATACTTAGTTAATATTTAATACTTTGTCAAAGTCTTCTAAACAGGGGCACAGAAAGTGAAACAAACACCACGGGGGTGTTAACCCCTCTGCTAACCAAAGCTTAAAATTAGATATTTTTGGTATCTGGTTGCACTTTTTACAAGAGCAAGGTTTCCACAACACAAAGTCCTTTATACTTCCCTTCTTTGCTTTAACGCTGGGCTTCTTCCTCATGCAGATAAACAGCATTGCTCTCACAGAGCCTCCTCTCACAATGAACTTATACAGTAGCTTTTTACACACAGCAGCTTTTATACTGGAGCTTTACACATGAAGTTAACACAAGACCTTCAGCTTGGGGCTTCTTTCACTGAAGCTTTTCACAGCAGGCCTACCTCACACTCTGCCTTCTCATAGACTAAGGCCTACCTCACACTGAGGTTTATCTCAGACTGACATGTACTAAGCTACAGCCACACTGACTTATATAGAACTGCAGGTTTTACTGAGTCATTGCATCCATTTAACCATTTCAGTGCTTGAGTCACATTTTTGTAATAAAAATACCTAGTTAATATTTAATACTTTGTCAAAGTCTTCTAAACAGGGGCACAGAAAGCGAAACAAACACCACGGGGGTGTTAACCCTTCCCTATGCTATCCAAAGCTCAAAATTTAGATATTTTTGGTATCTGGTTGCACTATTTACAAGAACAAGGTTTCCATGACACAAATAAAGTTCAGCCTTCACACTGGAGCTTCACACATGAAAGCCTTCTCATACTGAGACTTATCTCACACAGAGGCTTCTCTCACAGACTAAAGCCTACCTCACACTGTGAGGCCTTCCCACAGACTGAGACCTTTCTCCCACTGAGGTAAACTGACACAGAGGCCTACTAAGCTACAGTCAAACCTGCTTATTAAGAACTGCAGCGTTGGTTGAGTCATTGCATCCATTTAACCCTTTCAGTGCTTGACACACATTTTTGTAATTAAAATACCTAATTAATTTTTAATATTTCTTACAAGATTCAAAAGGTTTCAGCCTTAAGTTGTTTTAGAAAAGCTGCAAGTTGCTTTTTCTTGGGGGAAATCTCTTATCATATTTAATCCAGTGCCAGATCATTTCAAAATGGCACCTAGCTAACCCTTCTAACAAGAGCTATTAGTCAAGAGATTTGTATTGGCCATCTTGCCTGCAACACAGTAATTTTGGGAGCAGGGGAGGGGATGTCATAGCTTGGAAGAATGAAAGGGAACTCTTAAAAAAGAATACTTGCCTGGAGGTTATTTTTATTCTAGACATGGTTTCATTGGGGAGGCTGGGCTGGTTGCATTGGGGAAGCTGGGCTTTATTTAGATCTTTCTGCTAGTTGTCTTTCATTCAAGCCAGAGATGTTCAACCTAGTTTGCTCAAAGACTGTGTGGCTTGCTAAGAAATTCTTGTTTTTTCCTCAGCTCTTCAAGCTGATGAAAAAGTTCCCTCTAAAATACGATTATAGGCAAAAGAGCTCATGAACCTCAATGAATTCCCCATTGATTGTTGTCGTCAGTCTCCCTAGTTGTACTGGGTGACATCTTTGTGAAGAGAGTGTAGCTGCTGAATCTCCTGGAACTTGAAATCTTCTTAATTTTTCTTATTATGGGGATGAGTTGTTTAGTTGACAGAAATCCCGTTGTCCTCCCTTCCAGTGTTACATCAACATACATTTTTTGGTCAACTTGTGTGCTTTGTCCTTCTTGAGGCTTGCCTTTCTTCGCATGTACCTGGCCACCTCCCAATGTTATTGTAGCTTCAGCCAAGAGGAAGACTTTTTAACACCTTTTTGTTTCCCTTCTGCTTATAGCCAAAACTGACACCGCAGGAGAAGTTGAAGCTGCGCATGCAAAAGGCGCTTAACAGGCAGTGTAAGCAGTGGGGAAAGGAGGGATGCAAGGCAAGGGTCTCCTCCTTCCTTCTCCTGGTCTTTGTTGAGTCCCACTTGGTTCATCTCTCTATTTTGCCTCTTCAGTTAAAGCAGATAAAAAAGCCGCCCAGGAGAAGATGATACAGCAGGAACATGAGAGACAGGTAACTGGCAGCCATACATTTACGAAGTTTGGAAAAGCCTGTTCTTCGCCTCAATTAGACTGGCATGGATCCGGGATGCAGCCCTGTGTTCTTTATTATAGACCAAATGGGCAGTAACGGGAAACTACGGAAGTGTGTAGTTGGGCAACTGATGCAAGACTTGAGCTGCTTAGTCTGGGTGTATTTGTACTTTCTTATCACTTGTCCTTTTGGAGAAGTCATGTCTTATTATGGTGCAAGTCCAATGCTATGAAGGATCATGTTTCATGAGAAGCTCATAAGTAGGCCATGGGTGCAATAGCACATTGCTGCTCATTTGTTCTTCAGCAACTCGCTTCTAGATGTGTGATGCTTCACATCCACATTTAGCTATTAGGACTAATATCCAGTGTAACCCATCTTCATGAAGCTAAGACTCTCCAAATTGGTGAAAGGGCTACTGAGGTATAGTGGTTTGTATTGGAAATTCCATAATCTATTAGAAATAACTGCACCATAACCTTATTGAAAAGGAAAAAAATGATGTCTCATCCATTTGGCAAATGGGAATCTTCATGAACGTGTTGGGACCACCTTTTGAAAACCACTAGTCAAGAAAAAGCAAGTCAACTCTTTAAACAAGTGATATTCATATGTATTCATGTAATGGCACACAGGTAACTCAGCTATTAGACTGAAGAACCATGTCTTTAAACTGCCGAGGATAAAGGCGTTCCACTTCAAAAATATATTGGTTAGCAGGGGATGGATGTTTCTTTGAAGTAGAATTAGCAGTTGTAGTTGTAAAGTGATATTCATAAGTATTCGTGTAGTGGCACACAGGTAACTCAGCGATTAGACTGAAGAACCTTGTCTTTAAACTGCCAAGGATAAAGACGTTCCACTTCAAAAATATATTGGTTAGCAGAGGATGGTTGTTTCTTTGAAGTAGATTAGCAGTTGTAGTTGTAAAGTGATATTCATATGTATTCATGTAATGGCACACAGGTAACTCAGCTGTTAGACAGAAGAACCATGTCTTTAAACTGCCAAGGATAAAGACGTTCCACTTCAAAAATATATTGGTTAGCAGGGGATGGTTGTTGCTTTGAAGTAGCATTAGCAGTGGTAGTTGTAATTGTAGTTGCTCAAAAGATATACACTCCCTTGATACCTCTTAGTTTAAAGTATGCACTCAGAGATTAAAAAAACAAAGCCTTATTTGAAAAATAACTTATCTTGTTTACTCACAAACATCTTGTATTAATTCACCATAAAGGCACATTTCTTATTAAAGTTCAGTTATGGGTAGGATGTAGGTTTCTCTCTGTGTTGAGTACACAGACTATCATTCTTAGTCCATAGTCTTTAAATATAGTTGTACTCACTGAAGTCCATAAGTCATACGTTATCAATTAAAGTCCAAACAGCAACATGCATCCACCTCCACTGAGGTCTGATGCAAACACATCCACCTCCAATGAGGTGGTAAACAGACTGAATATCAAATGGAGACCTGAGTCTGAACATGCACAGTACAATAATATGTCTGTAGCCCCTCCCACACCAAAGAGGTAAGGCAAACTGGCAAACTAACATACACATAGAATACAGGTTAGCAAATATATACATTAACAAATAAATAGTGAAAAGCTTGGGAGGTTGCTATTTCCAACAGTTTGAGAGTCGCTTTTGGACTCTGGGAAGGGACCAGGATTTGAATCCACAGCTCAGCCATAGAAACCCACTGGGTGATTTTGAACAAATAATACCTTTTCAGTCTTAGGGGAAATAATGGAACACTTACTCTGAATAGATTTTGCCAAGATGACCCTACAGTCATCAAGTGCTTGCAACTGCAAAAGTATTTCACACAGTAGTTAACAACATCTCAGAAGCTAGAACTGCTGAATATATTTTCTGGTAGTCATGGAAGTTGCTTAAATAACACAGATATCTATAAATGAATTGTAAATATGTAATTGTCCTATTATAATGAACTTAAGTACAGATACCAGTTTAAGTAACTGTCATAGTACATACAGGACACACTTTGATAGTGCAACAAACACAATATATAAGATTTACAAAATAATTATATAGGTCAAATAGAACAATTTCAGTATGTCCACAAAGTTTTCAACAAATATTTTAACGAGGTGTTCCACAAACTTGGGAATATAGTTCACGTTGAATATATCAAACTTAGAAACAATTCATATTGTGTTCAGCAAACTTGGGAAAACATCGTAGTGTTCCATAAACTTGGGAATATAGTTCACGTAGAATACATCAAACTTGGAAACAATTCGCGTTGTGTTCAGCAAACTTAGGAATACACAACAAGGTTCCCCGGGTGTTTTGTGTCCTTGTTTCAAGAGTAGATTCTCTTCATCAGGCTTCTTCGGGGCTATTTCATTCAATCAAATGTCATAGTCACTTCTGTGGTTTTTACAAACTAAATTCAAAGAGGACAAAAAAAAAAAAAGATATGCTAAGTGGCACCCAGATACATTTTTTTAAAAAAATTCTTATATAAACAAATCACTACAAATACTACAAATCAATTCTAACTTACATTAATAACACCATTGGCTCTGCTGAGATACTTCAATACAGTGTAGCTAGCTTCTGCTTTCCATTCGCGAGCAAAAAAATATAGAAAGTTACTCCCTTTTAAGGATTTTTTAAGAAGTTGACCATAGAGTCATGCTGGAGGGCCTAGAGAAAACATACCAATCCAATCTGCAAATAATAAAATCCACAAAAGTTAAACCTGCAAGTGTGGAGGCCCAACTGTGGATTGCCAAGCTTCTTTCTCTCAAGTGGGAATAATTGGACATTGTTTGGATTCCCTGCTGTTTGTTGTAGTTGTCTGTCAGCTGACCACATTACACTCTTCTCTCTTCCAGGAGCGAGAAGATGAGTTACGTGCCATGGCTCGGAAGATCCGAATGAAGTAATGCCTCTTGGGGTTTTTCTTAGCCTCGATGTGGAGTGGTGGGAAGGGAATGTAGCGGGGGAAGGGAATGAATCAGAGGTCCTCTTTTGTTGATCACCAACTTCTTCTCTCGGCAGGGAGCGGGAGCGTCGGGAGAAGGAGCGGGAGGAATGGGAGAGGCAGTACAGCCGCCAGAGCCGCTCTCCTTCCCCACGCTACAGTGAGTGCCTAGTGCTGAGAAAGAGGAGTGGGGTGTGGGGTATGGACCATGGGAATCAAAATAGTGGCCACAATCCTGCATGATCCACACAAGCAGAACAATGATAATCTCACCCTTCTTCTTCTGCAGAGGCCTCTCTTCCACTAGTGGTTACTTGCTAGTGGAGAGATGGAGGCATTGCAAATACAGCTGGCTGTGTCTTTGGTGCCCAGGAAAAGGATTGCAGAAGCACCTCAGACCAGTGTCTCTTTCAGATGACTCCAAAGCTATAACCTTTCCCTTCCAATATCCAATGAGCCCAGGTACCTCTATTTTTTCTCTGCAGTTCCTCTCAAAATGGCATCAGGAACTGATGTTGCTTCATTTTCTGTTGCCATTTTGAGAGAAAGTGCAGGTGGAGGTATCTGGGGTCGTACAGGTGCCGTATTTGCAGTTTTGAATGTGCCATAAAAATCTCCAGCAAGTATGTAAAGAATGAGGAAGTACTTTATCAGTGTCACAAACGGACGGTGAAGCGACAGCTCCCCTGGTGGCCAGAATACCCTCATGAAAAAGCTGGAATGTTGAATAGCCTCCTTGTGTTTGTCTATATGTTGTGTGTCTATGGCATTGAATGTTTGCCATGTATATGTACATTGTAATCCGCCCTGAGTCGGTCAGTAGTGATTTAATGCAGCTGGCTGCTAACTAGCTGTGCCACAGCCTGGTCCAGGATATGGATGTAGCAAGGCTTGGAAATGGTTTTTCAAACGACTTCCTGATGTGCAAAGACTACATACAGGAGATTTGTCCAAAATAATGTTTCCAGCCTTTGCTTCAGAAAGGCAGCTCCTCCGTTCCTATTCCTATCCTCCTCTGATGGATTTGGGGCATCTAAGACCCCCAAAATGTATTGCCAGATAGGAAGAGGAACACAGAACGTGTTTTAATTCTCTTTGACTGTGTCTGAGATGTGCTCTTAGTCACTGACTCTAATGTCCAATCCCACCCTTCCATTATTGCACTTGCGGAAATTCTTTTATCATCAATAAGCAGATTTCAGTAATTCAAGGGGGGGGGGTGTAATCTGGAGATGTATATTAATGGGTTTTTTTGTGTTTTTTTTGCTTTTCCCCATTTGCCTTGCAGGTCGAGAATATAGCTCTTCGCGGAGGTAAAATCTTTTTTTTAATCGCTCCATTGGCCTGGAGGTATATTGGTATTTATCTTGCAATTTGACCCGCTCTTCTACTCTTTCTAGGCATTCGCGATCCCGATCCCGGAGTCCCCACTATCGTCACTAGGGAGCGATTTCTGGTGCAACGCTGTTGGCAATCCTCTCTCTTCCTCACCACATTTCACCCAGCCCCTTGTAACCATGCTGTGAAATAATGCTGTATATTGCTGGTTTTGTTTTTAAGTTGTCAAAAAATTAAATTGAAAAATAAAAAAACAAAAAAAAAACCCTTTTCACTGTACCCATATTTTCTTTCTGAAAAGCCATTAAAAATTAGGTGATTGGCAATTAATTAATACCAGTGCGGAAGTATTTACAGAATATAGGCAGAGTCCCCAAGTTACAAACACCAGACACAAATAACTCATAGATAACAACAGGGGTGAGACAACAGGAAGTGAGAGAAATCTTTCCCTGGGAAAGGAAATTAACTCATGAAAAGAGTTATAATGGGGAAAAGGGGGCTGCACTGAAGCTTTATCCCCAATACTTGTTTCTACAAGCCAAATGTTTCAAAATACAGTTGTCACTGGGGTAAAAAGGTGAGGTGAAATCCTCTGAACAGGGGCACAGACAGCAAAACCAATTCCACAGGGGTGTTCACCCTTTCCTATGCTATTCAAAGGTCCAATCAATATAAATAAAAATGTAATGTTTGTTTGTGGGATTAACAAAACTCAAAAACCACTGGACTAATTGACACCAAATTTTGACACAAGACACCTAACAACCAAATGTATGTCCTTCACTAAAAAAAAATTGATTTTGTCATTTGGGAGTTGTAGTTGCTGGGATTTATAGTTCACCTACAATCAAAGAGCATTCTGAACCCCACCAACGATGGAATTGAACCAAACTTGGCACACAGTTCTCCCATGACCAACAGAAAATACTGGAAGGGTTTGGTGGGCAGTGTCCTTTGGTTTTGGAGTTGTAGTTCACCTACATCCAGAGATCACTGTGGACTCAAACAATGATGGATCTGGACCAAACTCTACAAGAATACTCAATATGCCCAAATGTGAACACTAGTGGAGTTTGGGGAAAATAGAATCTTGACATTTGGGAGTTGTACTTGCTGGGATTTATAGCTTACCTACAATCGCAGAGCACTCTGAACCCCACCAATGATAGAATTGGGCCAAACTTCCCACACAGAACCCCCATGAGGGCCACAGCAACGCATGGCAGGGGACGGCTAGTATATATATATGTGTGTGTGTGAAGTTACACTTCAAAAAGTACCTGTTTTGACTTACATAGAAATTCAGCTTAAAAATGAACCTATAGAACTGATTTTGTTCGTAGCTTGGGTGTTGGTCATAAAATGAGAGGAGATGAAGTAATATGTTCCACAGTCTTTCCTTAACAAAAATTAATTTGTCTGATGACAGCTTCAATGGTCAGATTCTGGAGGCTGTTTACATATGCTGGAGAGAGGAATTAAAAACCCACTCATACAATTCAGGCACATAAAGGGATCCATTATCTTCCCTTCCAATGCAAAAACTGCACCATCTCAAATACCATATGCACATGAGGCAGATATTCAGTAGCCATGTGCATTCAGGACTTAACTTTATCTGTTTTGTGTCCTGGCTTTTGGTGGGGGTCTCAATCTGTTTTTGTCTGATCCTCCCGAAATTGGGAGGTCAGATATTTATTTTTCATTTTGGGGCCAAAATATACATTTTATCTTGGCCCATTATTGGCCGGGAAGGGGGGGGGGTTGACTTCGCAGACTTTGGCCTACACGCCCAGGCCTCGCAGGTCCTGCAGCCAAGCACTTCTTACTTGGTGCTCAGCTGCAGACACTCCTGCGCTTTGGGCCTATGTGCTCAGGCCTGGCAGGGACTGCAAACAAGCACTGAGTAAGGAACGCTCCTTACTCGGTGCTCAGCTGGAGGCCCTGCCAGGTCTGGGTGTGTAGGCCCAAAGCACCAGGGTGCCTACAGCTGAGCACCAAGTAAGGAGCGCTCCATACTCAGCGATCAGCTGCAGGCCCTGCGAGGCTTGGGTGCACAGGCCCAAAGCCTGCACCTGAGCAAAGAATGCTCCTTACTCAACGCTCAGCTGCAGGTCCTGCCAGACCTCAGACAATCCGAAAAGCAGACTTGGAGTCAGTATCTGCTCCCATCTACCTTTCGTATCGATTGTGTTTTCTGTATTGTCGAAGGCTTTCATGGCTGGAATCACTAGGTTCTTGTGGGTTTTTCGGGCTATAGGGCCATGTTCTAGAGGCATTTCTCCTGACGTTTCGCCTGCATCTATGGCAAGCATCCTCAGAGGTAGTGAGGTCTGTTGGAATTAGGACAATGGGTTTATATATCTGTGGAATGGCTGGGGTGGGGCAAAGAGCTCTTCTCTGCTGGAGCTAGGTGTGAATGTTTCAACTGACCACCTTCATTAGCATTTGAAGGCCTGGCTGAGCCTGGGAAAATCTTTTGTTGAGAGGTGTTAAGATGTGCCTGGTTGTTTCCTCTCTGCTGTTTTGCTGTTGTAATTTTAGTTGTGTTTTCGTTCCAGGAGGGGCCTTTCAGTTTCGTGCCATTTGAATAGACGGAACAAAACAGAAAAATGAATCAAAATGAATCGGGCCCATGACTAGTATTCAGTAATCTTTGAAAGAGCCTAAGCTTTGCAGTGCAACAAAAATACCTTTAAGCAAGAAAGATCTAAAACTAGTAGTTCCCAAAGTCTAGTCTTCCAGATATTTTGGACTTCATCTCTCAGAAGCCTCAACTGCTTTGACCAACAGCCAGAGATTCTGGAAACTGATGCCCAGAGCACTTGGAAGACCGCAGCTTGGGGAATAGTATTTCTAAACTGACCAATGCCACTTGCACACAGTGTTGTGATTACTGACCTAAGTACATTTCGATTTGCTTTTTGCAACTCTCAGAGGACCACACACTTGTTTTTCACAAACGCTTTTATTATTAAAAAAGGCAACTGGGATGGGGCAGCCTTCACAGCTCAAAAGAGTAAGCAATGATGTCTGAGCAGCGGAGGAGGGCTTCCTTCTGTATCCCCAGCGGAGTCTGCAGTTCAGAAACCTGGAAGTTCAGGATGTCAATGTCTGAAGCTCTAAACAAGGCGGTGACGCTCACCCTCTCGTGCAAAGTGAACTGGACAGGCCGCCCAGCCATAGCCAAGAGGCTGCGCAGGTAGCGTTCCCGCAGTGCCACTCGGCTTTGCTGCTCCAATTCCAGGTCTGCCGTATTCCCACAACCCACAGAGGAGAGGCTGGTAGGGCCCAGCTCCTGGAAACGAAGAGAGTTGGGGTCAAAGCCACGGCTTGACCCATCAGGTCCACGGGGCAGACGAATAACAGCAACGGGAACTTTCATTTTAGACTGGTGGCACAAGAAGAAAAAAGGAAGATGTAACCATGTGGCTTTACTTTTCTGTAGATCTTGGCTGTGTTAAGGTACTATTTAGAAAAAGAGGCCATATTCTAATGCTACATAAAATAAAACCTGCCGCAGGATAAACATGTGAAAGTACTAAAGCAGTTCTTAAAATGCCTCACACAATTTTTAAAAGACTTCATAGTCCATAAACTTTTAATAGTTGCATTCAAGATCCCACACATTTCACACACAGTTGTCCTATGTTGGCAAATGGATGTAGAAAGATGAGGGAATACTGGCAGCGTATGAGCCACTATGGCAAGAATGTTGGACTTTGCCAAGGATTTGAGGCATGTCAAACTATACTGGACTGGAAGACCACTCTTGCCTGCTAACATGGCAAAGGCTGGACGTCTCAGCAACAGGAGGGTTAACACAGGCTTGCAGGACCTGTAAACAGGAAGTGTTGTGCGAGGACGGCTGATTTTCCCCTTTGGACAGTGGCGGCACCAACTTGACGCTCCCTTGCTGTGCCAACATCCCTTCTGGCTGGCGGCCAAGCTGAGGGTCAGCAGCAAAGAGGATGTTTTCGACAGCCAGCCGAAGAAATCGCCTGCTATAGCCAAGGATAACTCCAGCACAGAAAGGAAAGCAAGTGGGGCTCGCTCATGGCAGAAAACGGGACACAAACGTAGTGGATTTGCCTATACAGTACCATGTACTAATGAAGATGCCCTAATACTAATCCAATGGATAGGAGTAGAACTTGTAATTTGCAGAAGGTGCAGCCAGACAACCTTAACACTCCAAACTAGAATTCTCATAGTTTGTGGCAGAAAATCATTATGGAGTGATTTTTTTTTCTGTGTCAGGATTTGAGAAACTGCAAGTTGCTTTTGGTGTGAGAGAACTGGCCGTTTGCAAGGATGTTACCCCAGGGACGCTTGGATGTTTTGATGTTTTACCATCCATGTGGGAGGCTTCTCTCATGTACCCACACGGGGAGCTGGAGCTGACAGATGGAGCTCATCTTCGCTCTCCCCAGATTTGAACCTCCGACCTGTTGGTCTTCAGTCCTGCCAGCACAAGGGTTCATAACTGTAATTTTGCTACTGTTATGAATCGTAATGTAAATATCTGATATGCAGGACGTATTTTCTTTCACTGGACCAAATTTGGCACAAATATCCAGTACGCCCAAACTTGAATACTGGTGGGGTTGGGAATTGATTTTGTCATTTGGGAGCTGTAGTTGCTGGGATTTATAGTTAAGCTACAATCATAGCAGTCCAAACTTCACCAATGATGGAATTGAACAAAACTTGGCACATAGAACTCCCATGACCAACAGAAAATATTGGAAGAGTTTGGTGGGGATTAATCTTGAGTTTTGGAGTTGTAGTTCACCTACATCCAGAGAACACTGTGGACTCAAACAATGTTGGATCTGGACCAAAGTTGGAATGAATGCTCAACGTGCCCAAATGTGAGCACTGGTGGAGTTTGGGGAAAATAAACTTGACATTTGGGAGTTGGAGTTGCTGGGATTTATAGTTCACGTACAATCAAAGAGCATTCTGAACCCCACCAACAATAGAATTGGACCAAACTTCTCACAAGGAACCCCTATGACCAACAGAAAATATTGTGTTTTCTGATGGTCTTTGGCGACCCCTCTGACACCCCCTTGCGACCCCTAGATTGAGAAACGGTGTCCCAGAAACCAGCTACCAGAACCAGGCCACTCCTAATCCTAGCAGATATTATATTAATTATAGTTCTAAATGCTCAAGTTAAGATTTAAGAGTGCCACTACACTACACCATGGGAGGTGGAGGAAAATTTCAGGAGGGGTGAGAATTCTTATTGGGGGGCCTTGCCACATCTCCCTCTGGGAGGGAGAGGTGATTTCTTAGCATTGGCAGCCAGAGTTAACGTAGCCTGTTAGTTGCCTTTTTCAGCTTCTGCTTTGCCACTATAGTGGAGCTTCTGGGCGGAAATGCCACAGGTTTCAGCCTTGGTGGAGATTACCTTCTCCCCACCAACCCTGCTTTCCATTCTGCTGATTGGGCCACATTCCTATGCGGTGTGTTTGTTCCTAAAGCCTGGATGATGACCGCAAAGTTTCCTCTGCAGGCCTGTTTATGTGCTCTTTCCACAGACGGCTCATTCCCGACGCGTGCTGTCTGGCGCTGGAGGAAGCACCGGCCCCTAGAAGCCCGCTCCAGCTGGGCTGATAAGGACTTGGCCTCCACCCGGTGCACTCTTGGGCATGACACCGGGGAGTTGTTTTTTCCAGCTAGGCTAAGGCACAGGCTTCTGTATAAACATGACCCGGGAAGAGTCATACACGATGCTGTAAAGAAAAGCAGGGTGAAGAAAGCAGCAAAGGCACTAAACACAAAAACCACCATTGACTTTGTAGGTACACAAATATTCCCAGCTGTCAGATTTGGGCCAACAAAAATTTATTAACCAAGCCCACATCGTGAGGACTTCCGGCACTCTTTTGAGAGGTCAGCAGAATCATCTTTTTTGGTGGGGTTGGTAATTATCAGCATAAAGGGTACGTCGTAAACAACAGAGTCAGAGGGGACCCCAAATATTCTATCCTAAATGAATTTCCTTCAGTCCCCAAATGTTGAGAACTCCAGTCATTTAAAACTCTGATATCTAAAGATATGATTTAAGCATCAAAGAAAACGACCAGGCACACTGACCTAGGAAACAGGAACAGAGCAAATACAAAGAGTTCTTAAGGTGCAAATGATTTTCAGTGTCTTTATGGAAATCTGCTGACTAAAGAAAAATTGCTTTCAGTGAGACAGTGTCCTTATTTATTATTATTAATAATAATAATAGCCGATATATCACATAGTCCTAGACACTTGGGAAGTGTCCGACGTGTGATTCAATACAACAGCCAGCAGAGTGATCTTGTTTGCTGTGTACTAATCTTGTTGTTTTTCAAATAATAATAATAATTATTCATTATTTATTATCTGCCTCTCCTGATGGCTTGAGGCAGGATACAAGAAATTCAAAACAAATGAACATAAAATACAATAAATTACTAAATGACAAACATGAACACACACAGACTTATGAAAACTTATACCAAACACAACTACAGAATTGACATATAGTGGCAACAGAATGTAAATTGAAACTCGTTATTGAAAGTTGGCTGGGGAATAAAGAAAAATTGCTTTCAGTGAGACAGTGTTGTTATTATTTAATAATAATGAATAATAATAATAATAATAATAATAATAATAATAATAATAAGAATGATTGACAACTGGAAAATAGAGGGAGAAACCGTGGAGGCCATGACAGACTTTGTATTTCTAGGCGCAAAGATTACTGCAGATGCAGACTGTGGCCAGGAAATCAGAAGACGCTTACTTCTTGGGAGGAGAGCAATGTCCAATCTCGATAAAATAATACAGAGTAGAGACATCAGACTGGCAACAAAGATCCGCCTAGTCAAAGCCATGGTATTCCCTGTAGTAACCTACGGATGTGAGAGCTGGACCTTAGGGAAGGCTGAGCGAAGGAAGATCGATGCTTTTGAGCTGTGGTGTTGGAGGAAAGTTCTGAGAGTGCCTTGGACTGCGAGAAGATCCAACCAGTCCATCCTCCAGGAAATAAAGCCCGACTGCTCACTGGAGGAAAAGATACTAGAGACAAAGTTGAAGTACTTTGGCCACATAATGAGGAGACAGGAAAGCCTAGAGAAGACAATTATGCTGGGGAAAGTGGAAGGCAAAAGGAAGAGGGGCCGACCAAGGGCAAGATGGATGGATGGCATCCTTGAAGTGACTGGACTGACCTTGAGGGAGCTGGGGGTGGTAACGGCCGACAGGGAGCTCTGGCGTGGGCTGGTCCATGAGGTCACGAAGAGTCGGAGACGACTGAACGAATGAACAACAACAACAACAATAATAATAAATTTTATTATCTGCCTCTTCTGATCGCTCAAGGCAGTGTACAAGAAGTTCAAAAACAAGTGAACATAAAAATACAGTAAATTACTAAATTACATACATAAACACACACACACTCATGAAAACTCATACCAAACACAGTTACAGAATTGACATCTAGTGGCAACAGAATGTAAATCAAACTCATTATTGGAAGTTGACTGGGTAGGCCTGCTGGAAGAGATGGCTCTTCAATTGCATTTTACATTCCAGCATTTTGTTTAGCTGTTGGAGCTCTTCCAGCAGGTCATTCCACAGTTGTTGGGTGGCTAATGAAAAGGTCCCCTGGGTTTAAGATGCAATACCTACATTGCGTGGGGGGAGACTCTATGGTCCCCCCCCCACCAATAACTACACCCCTTTTTGAATACATTTCTTTTGTTGTTTGGTGGGGCAAAATTCTGATTTGGGAGGGATCAACATATATATGTGAAGCTTGGTGAGGGGCACAACAGATTCAGATCTAGATACTGCACACAGGAGCCAAGGCTGGATAGGGTAAAGACCTTGTACCTAATGACTGGGAACCACCTTATACACTTAGCCCTAGTGCAACATGGACACAACAAATGTCTGATATTTAATGGAGCGGAGTTGATAATGGCTCCCATTCCCCATCTGGGGACCCAGTCCTCTTACTTTCCTTGTAGGACCCAAGGATGCAGTCAAGTCCAAAAGGGCCACTGTGCTGCTTTGGCAAGTGAAGAGGCAACAATCTCACAACAACTTGTTTGTTCTGGCTCAGGCCCCTCGCCTGGTTGACATCACATCCTGAATGCCGTAAGAACGGCACCTCCACAGGCAGGGCGGGCTGAGCCCGACACTCTGGCAAAGAACCGGGAGACGGCCTCTCTCATTTGCTGAGTGAAGAAGGAAAGGGGACAGAGGCTGCCAAGAAGGACTGGGTATGCCCATAAGGCAGTGAGGGCTCTTGCTTGGCATGGATAACCCCAAACAGCCAGCCTGGTTGGGAGAGGCTTGAAGGATAGAAGCGGAAGGAGAGGTCACTGGATCTGCAAAGAGGAGAAAAACATGGATTCTCGCCAACAACCTCTACTCTTGCAAGTAAGTACTTCTGAGAAGAAGCAGGGGAAATACAGAACACTCACACAGAGAACCACAATGCTTTGCTTTCGCAAGGTGGTTTCCTAAGATTTAAGGGGCACTGGGTGGTACTCTTTTCATCTACCATGCCTACCTTGTGGATTTAGACATATGTAATAGTAGTAATTACTAAACGCCTGGGGAAAACTTATAATTTGCAGAAGGTGTGGAGCTTGGAGAATGGGGGTGGTTCAAACACTCCAGCACTGAGGTGTTCCCTTGCATGGAGTTCTACTTATAAAAGAAGCCCTGCCCAGTTCAGTCCAACCTGGTGCACAATGCCACGTCAAAGAAAAGAAATCTCTCTCTGTGTATGTATGTATGTATGTACAGTATAGTCTCGCTTATCCAACCTTCGCATATCCAACATTTTGTATTATCCAATGCAGTCCAGGGTGGAAGAAAGAAAGAACCCTTGTCTGTTTTGGTGCTAAATTCGTCAATACACTAATTACTACATCACATTACTGTGTATTGAACTGCCTTTTCTGTTAATTTGTTATAAAACATGATTTTTGGTGCTTAATTTGGAAAATCGTAACGTAATCATAACGTAATTTGACGTTTAATAGGTTTTTCCTTAGTCCCTCCTTATTATCCAACATTTTCGCTTATCTAACGTTCTGCCGGCCCATTTATGTTGCCTAAGCAAGACTCTACTCTCTCTGTGTATGTATATGTGTGTATATTGTGGTTCACCTGCTCCTCCTTCCTGACCACTGTTGGTTACACTATGTAACAAAATTTGAAAAAAAATCTGTTCCTCGTTTTAAAGTGTTGTGTCCTACTTAATTGTGTAGGATACAGTTGTAAAGTTCATTAATGACAATATTCCATTTTTAACTTTTGTACAGACCACAAAAAACAAAGTTTTTGCAGTTTAATAGACTTTCCCCATGTTTTTAATGATATAACCAATTAGGAAATTACATTTATAACACAAGAACAAAAATTATGTTACACAGTGTTATTAGATGGGTGCGAGTGAAGGCTATTTACATTATCAAACCTATTTGTGAAAGCCAAAGAACGAGCTTCCTCTTCCAAAGATGCAATTGGGAACAATCCCCACTCAATCTGCTTGCTTTCCTTAAAGATCCAAGAATACAATATGTTTTTGTATAGTATTTGGCAAGCCCTTTGTGGCTCCAATTGTCCACCTGCAAAATGTCCTCTTGGGAGGGTGAATAACACAGGAGATGATTCCCTCAAGCCTTGGGAAGAGATTGGGTGAGAAACCTTCACCTATGAACAACAATCAAGAGCAGAAAAAGAGGCCAGATTGTCAAAAGAGGCTATGACACCTTGTATACCAGGCACAAAGGTCCCCTCAGGGAGAGCAATCCAGCTCAAAACGAGGGGAAAATGCTCAATCGCTAAACTAACACTCCACTTAAAAGATGGGATGCCTAACTTGCCAGAACCCATTTTCAACACTGAAATCATTTTGCAAAGCCAAAACAGTATTTTGATGGAGGAAATGTATTTGGACATCCCTGGGGTTTTACCTCCGTCTTTTCGTAGTGAATCTGGAGGCTAATGAAAGGTTCAGTTATAACTTCTGACAGCAAAGTTCTTCCCACTGGATCTTTAATGGTGTCTGGAAGATATTTTTAAAAGGCACTCAAGCTGAGGTGAAATGCAAGGGCAAAATGGTGCAAGGAACACCACTGAATGAAACATTCAGTGTAAGGGCCATGTCTTGGGACCATCAATAGGGGATGCTATTTTTCTGCTGTGTAATTTTTTAAAAAGCACACTGACTTCTCAATAGTAATAGGTGTATTTGTACAGTTAGTCCCCAAGTTATGAACAAGATAGGTTCCTAAGTTTATTTTCTATGTAAGTTGGAATAGGTATGTAAGTAGGAATACACACACACACATACACACAGAGAGAGAGTTTTTCATTGCATATGGCAGGGGTCACAGTCCCTCAAACTGATGGAAGGCCGGATTATAATATGAAAAAGCAAAACAAAACATGAATTTATTCCTATGCACACTGCACATATTTTATTTGTAGTGCAAAAACACTTAAAATAATACAATAATTAAAATGAAGAACAATTTTAACAAATATAAACTTATTAGTATTTTAGTGGGAAGTGTGGGTCTKCTTTTGGCTGATGAGATAGTTGTTGTTGTGTGTACTTTCACGTYGTTTCAGACTTAGGTTGACCCTGAGTGAGGGCCGGGTAAATRACCTTGCAAGGCCGCATCCAGCCCCTGGRCCATAGTTTGAGGACCCCTGGCATAGGGAATCATTTATTTATTTATTTAAAGCATTTMTATTCTGTCCTTCTCACTCCGAAGGGGAGTCAGGGTGGAGCACAACATATAAATGGCAAACATTCAATGCCGAAACATATTATACCATACACATACAAAAGCATTAAAATCATATATCTCGACATTAAAATCCACTAGTTAAAACTGTCTCAACAACCATATCGAATTTGGTTGGCATACTWAGGGTTCCTATTGCTGTCTCATTGCACAATCCCAAAGGCTCGGTCCCACAGCCACGTTTTTATCATCCTTCTAAAGGACAAGAGGGAGGGGGCTGACCTGATCTCATTAGGAAGGGAGTTCCATAGCTAAGGGGCAATTACTGAGAAGGCCCTGTCTCTCGTCCCCGTCAAACGCACCTGTGATGGTGGTGGGACCGAGAGCAGGGCCTCCCCAGAAGATCTTAATCTTTGCGGTGGTTCATAGGGGGAGATGAGTTCAGACAGGTAAATTGGGCCAGGGCCGTCATTAAACTCCTGTGGTGTTTGTTTGCTGTCTCTGCCCCAGTTCAGAAGATTTCACTCCACTTTCTGTCCCTGTGGTCATTGAATTTTGAAAAAATTGGCTTGTTGTAGAAACAAGAATTCAGTGGAGACCTTTTCCCCATGATAACTCTTTCAGGAGTGAATTTCCCGAGGGGTATATTTCTTTCACTTCCTGTAGTTTCACCTCCATTCTTTGTTTGCAATCCAGGAACTGCCTGTACAGTAATATATATTGGGTTTTGTATGGTTGGTTTGTGGGTGGCTGTGCAAGAGAGCAGAGCATCTAACCACATGCCACATTAACTAATTACACTTTCCCTTCTCTTTTTCTCTACCCCAGTTCCACAATGGTGTCTGGTAACTTGACTGTTCTGTCGATGCTTTTTGTATCACTTGCCTTCTGGGAATCTGAAGCCCCCCAGGGAGCATCACCTGGAACCGACAAGCATGACCCCAAGGAACTGCCAATCCAGGCCCTCCATACTATCCTGTTAAGGCGCCTAGGCTTACAAAGGCGGCCGGAACCAAAACCAGGCCACGTGGTCCCCCAGTACCTGCTGGATTTGTACCAATTTGCCTTAGGAAGGGCTCCTCCCTCCTTTCAGGGAACGGATCTATCTTTCTTGGAGGAACAGGCAGGAAGAGCCAACACTGTGCGCACGTTTCATCATGTCGGTGAGGCCACCCTTTTGAATACTTTGCTCACTCTTCTGCAGAAAGTCTGGGTCTGTTGTATAAGGGTAGCAGAATTGAGAGGGGATGGATGGGTTAACAAAGGGGAAAGGGGACTTGAACATGAGTAGAGGCACAAAGGAAAAGTCAAAAATCAAGTAGAGCTCACACTGATTGCATTGCTTAAGGAAGAGGAACCATAGCGCCATGGAAAGAACACAGGCAGGAGATCCAAGGGATAATGTCCAGGATCTCCAGTTGAAAGGATCAGGTGATACAAAGGCTTCAAAGGCAAAGTGCTCAATAGTACAAACCAAGGGTACAACATTATGCCAGATAGTCAGTTATATATGCAGAACCCAATTATAGCTATAGGATTCCACTATCTTATGTTAATCTGGGACTTATACTTTGGTAAAAGCCCTATAATCCTCTGCTGCACTCTCCTGGACCCGAATCCTTTGGCATAGAATTGTAAGTGTTTTATGGACTACAAAACCCAGGATTCCATAGAATGGAGTCATGCCAAGGAGTATGAAGTTGCTCTTACTACAGTGTGAATAAACACCTGCCACCCAGCAGTTTTGCCTGTTGTTATGTAGACCTATCCATCTCCAAAGATTAAGCACACTTCATTTCAAAAGGAAAGAAAGCAGAACTCTCCAAAGTTAAAAAACTTTTAGAATGCTTCCTGGCGATTGTGTTCCTGAATCGTATTCAATGTGAGATGCTCCTTCTCGCATTTGCCTTGGCTGCAGTGCCACCTACAGAATATGGAGGGTAATTGTGTCATAGCTTAGACTGGCCATTTGAACCTGGGACCCTCCAAATGTTCTGGACCAGTTCCAAAGATTCCTGATAAATGGCTACACTCATTGAGGATACATTTAGGTACAAAACATCTGGATGGCATAATACAGAGGAAAGGTAAGCTAAGAGGAGGGTTTTTTAAAGCAGTCACCGAAGCTAGTTGACCATACACTGTGTCATACATAGAGCCATTTCAGAGAAAGATAGCATAGCACAGGTAAGGTTTTTTTTAACATCAAATCTAAGAATAAAATCACAAGTGCAATTCACATTTCAGAGCTCCAAACTAGTAAAATAAACAAATAATTTATGGATTAGTGCAGAACTTCTGCAAACCTACCTGTCTTCATAATTAATTCAAATGGACAAAGCGATGAAGGATGGAGCTTGGAACGAAACTTAGTTGTACTTCCAGTATGTTCACTGGTGCCTACTGCTACTACTCAATTCCACCCCATGACATAAATAATGCAGGGCCAGGTCTTTTAATACTTGGACAGAAGAGCAGACCTATTGAAACTATAAGGGCTTAAAATTAATCATGACTATCACAAGTCCCAGGTACAACTAAGACTGGATCCAACCTCGAATGTCCAAGTTACATTTCCATTTCAGGGGCAATATATACCTCTTGGGCTCCATTGCTTTCCAAAAGGCCATTATTTTCATGGGATGTTTGGGAGCCTCTCAGACATCTGGCCAGTTGTTGTGACAAACATGAATAGAGGGGTTCTTGGTTGGATACAGCTACATAGTTCTGCAAATTTGAAGCTTAGTCTCAAATTCCTCATTAATCTTTATTCTGTTCCACTTCTAGAGGATCCGGATTACTTTCCTGAACTTGTGGGAAATGCATTTTACTTCTTGTTCAACCTCACCTTGCTTCCTGCAGAGGAGGAGCTGACCGCCCTTGAGTTCCGCCTCTACCACAAAGAGAGGGAAAGCAGGGGTTTTCACATCAACGTCTACCACACAATGGATTCCCCACCCATTTCCAGAAACAAGAGCAGACTTCTGGCCCGCAAATTCTTGGCTCCAAACCAGCCCAAGTGGGAGAGCTTTGATGTAACTCCTGCCTATAAGATGACCAAGGACCAGAAGCTTCATCTTGGGTTTCTTGTTGAGGTGGAGCACCCAAACAAAAGTTATAACCTTCAAGAGCACCATACACTCCTTCGTGCAAGACGGTCTCTTGGAGAGGAGGCAGCTCAGTGGGCTCTGGAGAGGCCTTTACTAGTCACTTATAGCCATGACCAAAGAGGGCAACCCCTGACACGTGGAAAAAGACACAGCAAAAGTTTGTCAAATGCACTAACCCAGAAAGGAGGCAGAAAACCTACAAAAGGTACAGTCTCCAAGAACAAACTCAAGAGCCTAAAGGCAAAGACTAAAACCAGTACCAAGTGCAGAAGGCACCGCCTCTTTGTAGATTTCAAAGAGGTTGGTTGGAACGATTGGATAGTTGCCCCCAGTGGCTACCACGCATTCTACTGCTCTGGGGAGTGCCGGTTCCCACTGGCCGACCATATGAATTCCTCCAGTCATGCTGTGGTGCAGACAATGTTGAATTCTGTGAACTCCAAAGTACCTAAGCCATCTTGTGTTCCTACAGACCTCAGTCCCATAGCTATGCTCTATCTGGATCAACATGACATGGTGGTCCTTAAGACCTATCAGGATATGGTGGTGGAGGGCTGTGGGTGCCGGTAAGAGAGATGAAGCAGGGGAACTCTCTCTGTCACTACTAAGAGCCTGGGGTCACTCAACAAGAGTTATGAACAGCAGACTTAGGACTGCTAGAAGTACAACTTTCATACAAGGCATAACCTCAAGAGATAAGGATCAACAAATTTATATAGCTGCGAGCGACTTGTAAACAGGAATATACCTCTGAATATCAGTAATAAGCAAAAACTATTGTTATGATGCTCTTCCAAAGATATCCAACTGGCTACAACTGGACATAGTTGGACCTTGGTCTGATCCTGCAAGAAATTATTTTATTTTTATGAAATCATATGAACAAATATTACTTTCCCCAGGAAATCCTATATTTACAAGTAATTTAATTTGTGATGAACTTTAATTGACTAATAAGCAAACAACTCATCCAGTCCATCAAAGCAATCATATCAACCAAATTCTTCATGTGGTGAAACAATATTAATTATTTTGCACAGTAAAGATGGAGAAAGTGCAATCATCCAGATGTTGCTGTGTCACAATCCACATCATCTCTCCCCACTGAATATACTGTTTAGAGTCGATTGAGATAAAGCAATGACACCTGGAGGCTATGTAGATCTTTTTTGCCTACCTTCCACACGTTCCACATACAGGGGGGATACGTCTGCCATCATCCCCTTTCTTTTTGAAGATTATGGTCAGTGAAGTAAATAAAGTATCCCAGACTTGCTTTCTGCTCAGTTTTCTGAAAAGGTAGCACCTGTTTGGCAGCTGACTGAAGGTTATGTTGTATTTCTGTGCAAATGTATGTACTTGGTTAAAGGAACTTACTTAAGTGTGCCTTCAAGTTGCCTGTCAATGCATGCCAAGCCCCTTTTCTGATTATAGGCTACAGCACTCGGTATTCCGGGCACTCTCCTTTCCTGGTACTAACCTGCCCTGACTTTGCTTGACTTCCAAGGTCAAATAGGATGTGATGCCTTCAGGGTATTTAGGTAAATGAAAGGTGCTAATTGTCCTCTAAAATAAAAAATTGAGCCTCGGGATGTATCAGACATAGGACAGCAGCTTACAAACAGAATGCTATTGTTGTGGACATGGAAACAGTAGGAGGTGATGAAAAATATATAAATGTGAGGAAAAGAAAGCAGGAAGGGAGTAACACAAAAGGGCAGAAGGGCCACATTCAATTTTGATGTTTTTGTGGTGTGTCCTCAAGTCATTTCTAACTCATCAAGTCATTTCTGACTCTTCAAGTCTTTGTGTCATTTCTAGCTCTGAGGGCCCTTCCACACAGCCCTATATCCCAGGATATCAAAGCAGAAGATCCCACAATATCTGCTTTGAACTGGGTCATCTAAGTCCACACACAGATAATGTGGGATTTTCTGCCTTGATATTCTGGTATATAGGGCTGTGTGGAAGGGCCCTGAGACAACAGGAAGTGAGAGAAATCTATTCCTCAGAAGGGAAATTCACTCCTGAAAGAGTTATTACCATGGGAAAAGGGGTTTCCACTGAAGCTTTATCTCCAACCCTTGTTTCTACAACAAGCCAAGTTTTTTAAAATCCAATGTTCACAGAAGCAATATCTTATGAAGAGGGGCAAGACAAACCACACAGAGGTGTAAACCCTATGCTATATAAAGCTAATATATCTATATGTTTGGCTGGAGCTACACTTTAAAAATGTACCCGTTCCAATTTACAGACAAATTCACCTTAAGAACAAACCTATATAATCTATCTCGTTTGTAACATGGGGACAGCCTGCACTATCACCATTAGGCATACGGACAATGAACCTTATGAAGCATTATCTCCTGATGTTTCACCCACATCTATGACAGGCATCCTCAGAGGTTGCGAGGTCTGTTGGAAATTAGGCCATTCAATGCTAATCAAGGTGGCCATTTGTAACATTCACACCTGCCTCAAACAGACAAGAGTTCTTTCTCCCACCCTGGGCATTCCTCACTTGCCTAGTTTCCAAACAGACCTCACAACCTCTAAGGATGCCTGCCATAGATGTGGACAAAACGTCGGGAGAGAATGCTTCTGGAACATGGCCAGACAGCCCAGAAAACTCACAGCAACCCAATGATTCCAGCCATGAAGGCCTTTGACAGCACAGTGAACCTTACCTTATGTAGACTGTAAGTGTGAGGGCAAGTCAACATTTAGTAAGTTGTGGCTGAAGAGTGTGGTAAAAAAAAAACCTCTAAATAAATTATTTAAAAAAGATTTCTGCATAATAAACCTTTTAGTTTTTTTGAAAGTGAGAGAAAGGCATGTATGGTCTGCCTGGCTGGATCTACACTGCCATAGAAAATCCAGATTACCTGCTTTGAGCTGGATTATATGGCAGTGTAGACTCAGATAAGCAAGTTCAAAGAAGATAATGTGAATTATCTGCCTTGATAATCTGGATTATATGGCAGTGTAGAAGGGCCTGCAGGATGGATCTACACTGCTATATAAAATCCACATTATCTGCTTTGAACTGGATTATATTGCAACGTAGACTCCGATAATCCAGTTCTAAACAGATAATGTGGTTTATCTGATTTGATAAACTGGATTACATGGCAGTGTAGAAGGATCTGCAGGCTGCATCTACACTGCCATATAAAATATCCACATTATCTGTTTTGAACAAGATTATATGGCAGTGTAGACTCTGATATTCCAGTTCAAAGCACATAATGAGGATTATCTGATTTGATAATCTGGATTATATGACAGAGTAGAAGGGGGCGCAGGCTGGATCTACACTGCCATAAAAAATCCAGATGATCTGCTTTGAGCCGGATTATATGGCAGTGTAGACTCAGATAAGCAAGTTCAAAGAAGATAATGTGGATTATCTACCTTGATAATCTGGATTATATGGCAGTGTAGAAGGGGCAGCATGCTGGATCTACACTACCATATAAAATCCAGATGATCTGCTTTGAACTGGATTATATGGCTGTGTAGACTCAGATATTCCAGCTCTAAAGAGATAATGTGGATGATCTGCTTTGATAATCTGGATTATATGGCAGTGTAGAAGGGGGCGCAGGCTGGGGCTACACTGCCATATAAAATCCACATTATCTACTTTGAATTGGATTGTATAGCAGTGTAGATTCTGATATTCCAGCTCTAAACAAATAATGTGGATTATCTGCCTTGATAATCTGGATTATATGGTAGTGTAGACTGGGCCGAAGTAACCGAAATCCTAAATACACCTTTTATTTTATTGTGGAAAGAAATGGAGTCCTACAAAGAGGAAAAAACGGGATATACACATGAATATTTTATCAAGATTGGACATTGCTCTCCTCCCAAGAAGGAAGCGTCTTCTGATTTCCTGGCCACAGTCTGCATCTGCAGTAATCTTTGCACCTAGAAATACAAAGTCTGTCACGGCCTCCACGTTTTCTCCCTCTATTTCCCAGTTGTCAATCATTCTTGTTGCCATAATCTTGGTTTTTTTGATTTAGCTGCAACCCGGCTTTTGCGCTTTCTTCTTTCACCTTGATTAGAAGGCGCCTCAGCTCCTCCTCGCTTTCGGCCATCAGAGTGGTGTCATCTGCATATCTGAGGTTGTTAATGTTTCTTCCAGCAATTTTTCACCCCAGCCTTGCATTCATCAAGCCCCGCACATCGCATGATGTGTTCTGCATACAAGTTAAAAAGGTTGGGTGAGAGTATGCAGCCTTGCCGTACGCCTTTCCCAATCTTGAACCAGTCTGTTGTTCCGTGGTCAGTTCTGACTGTTGCGACTTGGTCCTTGTACAGATTCCTCAGGAGAGAGACAAGGTGGCTTGGGATGCCCATCCCACCAAGAACTTGCCACAATTTATTATGATCCACACAGTCAAAGGCTTTAGAATAGTCAATGAAACAGAAAGAGATGTTTTTCAACTCCCTGCCTTTCTCCATTATCTAGCGGATATTGGCAATCTGGTCTCTCGTTCCTCTGCCTTTTCTAAATGTCAAATCTCGATAAAATAGTAAAGAGCAGAGACATCACTGTGCCGTTACGCCCAGACGCTTTAAAATAAAACTTTTACGTGCTGCTATCTATGTCTGGGCGAAACTGCTGGGGTCTTTCTTTAGGCAGATTGAGCTTTCTTGAATAACTGAGTCCACTTCAAGAAACATTAAACAGGGTATTTATTCACGAAGTCCTGGTAGACTTGGCTCAGCTTATCAATATTACAAAACAATCAATAAGTAATAAACTCCATCTATATTAATAAATTCTATCTATATTCAATTGTTCCCTATCTATGACTCAATTAAACTCAATTACTCAATAAATCTATCTATCTATAATCTATAGGTCTCAATTAAACTAAATTACTCAATTAAACTAAATTGTTTTTACAATGGTATCTGCGGAGGTACCTGTCTGCCAACAGCACATCATGGATTCTTCCTAAAACTGAAGGGGCAGGGAGACCTCCAAAATGGCTGCTTCTACCCTGGAAGCAGGGGCAGGCCCAAAGAGCTACTCTTTGGCCAATCATTGCAGAGGGCCTGCAAACTGGCTTTCCTGCTTCTGGCTGCTAACTTTTTAGGCCTTGCAGAGGCTGCAGCAGCCTGGGAGAAACACAAGGAGAGGCTGTTTCCAGCAACTTAAAGGTAATGCAGAACGGAACAATCACACTGGCAACAAAGATCCGCCTAGTCAAAGCCATGGTATTCCCTGTAGTAACCTACGGATGTGAGAGCTGGACCTTAGGGAAGGCTGAGCGAAGGAAGATCGATGCTTTTGAGCTGTGGTGTTGGAGGAAAGTTCTGAGAGTGCCTTGGACTGCGAGAAGATCCAACCAGTCCATCCTCCAGGAAATAAAGCCCGACTGCTCATTGGAGGGAAGGATACTAGAGACAAAGTTGAAGTACTTTGGCCACATCATGAGGAGACAGCAAAGCCTAGAGAAGACAATGATGCTGGGGAAAGTGGAAGGCAGAAGGAAGAGGGGCCGACCAAGGGCAAGATGGATGGATGGCATCCTTGAAGTGACTGGACTGACCTTGAAGGAGCTGGGGGTGGTGACGGCCGACAGGGAGCTCTGGCGTGGGATGGTCCATGAGATCACGAAGAGTCGGAGACGACTGAACGAATGAACAATAACTGATTGAGAGGTTTTAGCCTGCCAGTTTTGGACTCTCACTTGCTGGGGTGTTCGAATGAACGAATGAACAACAACAACGACTGAACGAATGAACAACAACTGATTGAGAGGTTTTAGCCTGCCAGTTTTGGACTCTCGCTTGCTGGGGTGTTCGAATGAACGAATGAACAACAACAACCGCTGTGAGTCGCCTTCGGGCTTGAGATACAGCGGTATATAAGCAAAGTAAATAAATAATAATAAACAACACACGAATATAATATAATATCCTGCAGCCACGAATTTTGCCTCCTCACCTTAAAATATTTGAATTCCCGTGAACGAATCCGCACAAGCCGGCCTTTCTCCACTTCAGGTCGTCATGGCAACCTCCAAATCCGAAGATGGGGCCTCAACGGGGAAGCAGCAACGTCCAGAAGGGATACAGACCGGAAGTCGTGACCTTTCTTCCCGGAAACACATTAATCTCCCTTTTCTCCTCCAATCTTTGTCCTCTCTAGGAAGAGGAGCTACCAGCACTCTATGGCCTACGCCAAGGAGCAGCCCTGAGGCGGAGATTGAGCTTGTGACCACTGCGCATGCGCAGGATGTCCCTCCCCTTTTCTCTTTTCTTCGGCGAAGATGAAAGGGAAGCGCGTGATCCCTACGTCATGATCAGGCGGCTCTCCTTTTTTCCCCCCTCAAGCCGCTACTCACCATCAGCACATTCGACACTTTTAATTTTATTCTCAAAATAAAATAATAATACTACAACAATGTCTACTTCCACGATGTTAGGTTTGAAAGCTGTGTCAAAAGCTATTTTTAAAAAAAATTAAAAAAAATGATTGCTATGTCTTTATTCCTGTCGAAAGTGTGGAGCTGGAACCAGTCAAGGAGGAGAGTTGTGTAAAAGGGAAGGGATTGAAGAGGGAAAAGCACCCTTCCTCGCCCGGATTGGCCAATGGCAGCGCAGGGGTCGGCGCACGTGACCTGTGAGGGAAGGCGAGGCGGGGGGAGGAGAGGGAGGGCGAGGTGTTTATGACGGAGGAGAGTGGACGGGCTGCGGGCGGGGGAAGGAGGGAGGGGCCTCCAGGCTGAGGAGGAGGAGGAGAGAGGCCTCCAGGCAGGCCCGGAAAGGAAGCGCCGCCACCGAGGAGGAGCAGGCCCCTGGCGCACTCCAGCCCTCACCACCACCACCACCACGACGAAGAGGCGGCGGCGCTGCTGCTGGTGGCCGTGGCGGCGAAGGCCTCGGCTTCTTTCGGGCCCGCCTCCAGCTGAGGCGACGGCCTGATCCCGTTATCCCTTCCCCTCCTCCGTCTCTCCCGCCCTCACCACCCTCTCCCCCTTTGGGTGCGTATTTCCCTCTCTGCCCTCTTCTCCTCCTCCCATTCCCCTGCCTAATTCCCTCCTTTCTTTCTCCTTCTCTTCCTCTATTCTATCCTTCCTTTAGTCCTTCTTCCCTTCCTCTATTCCTAACCCTTATTTCTTGCTTTCTCTATTCCTTCCTCCATTCCTTCTTCCATTCCTTCCTCTGTTCCTCCTTTCTTTCTTCCTCTATTCCTTCCTCCATTCCTTCCTTCCTCTATTCCTTCCTCCGTTCATTCCTTCCTTCCTTTATTCTTTCTTTCGTTCCTTCCTCCGTTCATTCCTTCCTTCCTCTATTCCTCCTTCCGTTCCTTCTCTATCCTTCCTCTCCCCTTTTTCTTTCCCTTCCTTCCCTCCTTCTTTTATTCCTTCCTTCCTTCTGTCCTTTCCTCACTCCTCCATCTGTCCTTCCTTCCTTTCTATCATCCTTGCTTCTGTCCTTCCTTCCTTGTATCCTTCTGTCTTCCCTCCCTCCCTCCATTCTGTCCTTCCTTCCTTCTCACTCCTCTTTCCTCCCTTCCTCATTTATTCTTCTCTTTCCTTTTCCTTCCTTCTTTCCTTTTCTTCTCTCTATTCCTTCCTCCATTCCTTCCTTCCTTCATTTCTCCTTCTTCCTTCCTCTATTCCTTCCTTCTCCATTCTTCCTTCCTCTATTCCTTCTCTTCCTTCTTTCTTCCTCTTTCTTTCCTTCCTCCTATTCCTTCCTCCATTCTTCCTTCCTTCTATTCCTTCCTTCCTCTATTCCTTCGTTCCTCTATTCCTTCCTCCATTCCTTCCTTCTATCTTTCCTTCCTTCCTCCATTCCTTCCTTCCTCCATCCCTTCTTCCTTCCTCATTCCTTCTCTATCCCTTCTTCTGTTCCTTCCTCCCTCTATTCCTTCCCCCATTTCTTCCTTCTTCTATCCCTTCCTTTATTCCACCCTTCCTCTGTTCTTTCCTTTATTTCTTCCTCCCTCCCTCCATTTCTTCCTCCCACTATTCCTTCCTTTATTTCTTCCTCCCTCCATTCCTTCCTTTATTCTTCCCTTCTTTTTGTCTTTCCATTCTTCCTTCCTCACCAAATTCCAATCAAAGGGCACTTTCTTTCCTCCTTCAGTAGGGTTAAGAAAGGCTTCCTGCCCCTATTTTTTTACCCGAAATAACACTTTGGCCCCTTCTACACCTCAGGTATTTTTTTAAAAGCCTGATGCCTTCCTTTCCCCTATAAGAGAGAAACCATTTGAGCATTTCTCCTCACCTAATACCGATTTCCTTCTCGTCCCTCACCCACTTGACACCCATTTTCTCGACTCTCTCCCACACCAACAGAGCCCCTTTATGTATTCATTCTTTTCCCCCTGAGCCTGTAATGGTTGTAAATCAATGGCTCTTTTTTAAAAAAACGCCTTTCCTCGTCCAAGTCCTACGTTGCAGGTATTAATTCCACCCCAGTTCTCTCCCTGATGTGTGCATCCAGGCTTGTAAAGGACCGACGGAGGTGTTCCATGTTTCCACACAAGTCTTGCCACCAGTTTGTTTTTATTGCTTTCCATTCTGCATGTGCTGGTCCATGTGCACATGATCTTCCCTGCCCAAATCATTACAATTGCCCCAGCTTTTAAAAGGGGATTTTAAAGTTTTCCTGCCCACAAGCAACTGTAACCCTAATTTTACTTATCCACTTAATAGTGCACCCTATAAATCCTCTGGGTGTTAATTCCTGTCAATTCCTATCTTATACTGTGACCTCTTTATCTATTTTTACAGGGGGAAACTGCACAGCAGGGGAGTGTTTGTTATTCTCCAAATTGAGAGAGGTTTTGTTGATTCTCCCTTTCCCCCCAGAAATTGACTCATTAAAGCATCTTTTCTCTAATTCCAACACAGGTTGTGTTTACTTTCCTTCCTATAGAGACAACAACAATTGTTTCCCCTGTCCTATCCTTTATTCTTCATGGTCCATACAGGCACCTTCATTGGTCCATCAAGAGTCTGTTCTCCTTGCATTTTTGCTGGAGGGGGACAGGCCTGGAAATTTGGGGAGCCTTTTCTTTCCCATTGAAGGGAGCTAGGGAAGGACTGGAGGGAGGGGTGTGTTTCATCTCTTAAGTAATGCCTCTAAAGGGCATATGAGAAGAGAAGAAGGACCTGCCCCACTAACATCCACACACCTTGCAGATCTAACCATGGAATGCGTGCAGGTTTCTCCCATGCAGCAGCAGCAACAGCAAGGAAAAGCTGCTGATGGGGACCGGCTCTTGCTGTTACTGCCACCTCCTGCAGTGCAAAAGGAAGAGGAAGTCATGTTGCAGGGTTCAGACCCCTGGGCTGCCACCCAGACAGACAGCAGTCAAGCTTGTGTGCAGCTTCAAGATGCTTCAGATGGTTTGCAACACCCTGACAATGCTGAAAGTCTTCACTCCCAGCACAATCCTACCATTCTGAGAAGTTCTTCTGGCAGAGAGATGGTGGACCAGTGCACTGCATGTTTGTTGAAGGAGGATTTGAAAAAGACTGTAAGTTGTGATGGAGCAGAAGAGCAGTTGCAACCATTGGGGAAAGAGACTCTGAGCCACCCGCTGCAGGAAGAGTCACCGGTGAGCCAGGGATCTTGTAGTAACCTTCCTTTGGTGGCGGAGTCCATTACAAATGTCCGAGAATGCCTTAAGGACAGTGAAGAATCTACTCAGCAAAACAACCATTTGCCAGAAAAATTGGTTTCCCCTTCTCAGAACTGTTGTTTAGGCATAGAAGGAACAAGTGGAGACAATCCAGAAGATGACCAAAACAGCCAAGGTTCTCCACCGACTGAAGATGACAAACTCAAGCCTGGGGCAAAGCATGTCACGTTTCCTTCAGATGAGGACATAGTCTCTGGTGCTGTGGAGCCCAAAGATCCATGGCGGCATGGTAAGCAAACATCAGCGCCAGTTAAGGCACTTCTCCTTTCTGTGAGCTTGGATTACACTAGGCGAGGCCTGCTGACCTTATCCACAGGCTTGGTTATTTGTTTGTAGTGTGAGACCTCTGTTTGTATTAGACTTTCTCAGTCTTAAACTTCTCCAAAGCATTTTAGGAACAAGGGATGAAAATGCAGAGCAATCAAATCCTGTTAAATAAACACCATTTGAATCCCCAAAGCAAATATAAATGCAGGTAATTAGGAAACCACCAATCAATAGGTATGGTAGGCTGTTATGAACAGTGAAGCCTTTTAGTTGTCAGAGTAAGTTTTACAATGAGACTAGCCGTCCCTTGCCACGCGTTTCTGTGGCCCACATGGGGTTCTTTGTGGTAGGTTTGGCCCAGTTCTATGGTTGGTGGGGTTCAGAATGCTCTTTGACTGTAGGTGAACTATAAATCCCAGCAACTACAACTCCCAAATGTCAAGATTCTATTTTCCCCAAACTCCACCAGTGTTCACATTTGGGCATATTGAGTATTCTTGGGAGAGTTTGGTCCAGATCAATCATTGTTTGAGTCCACAGTCATCTTTGGATGTAGGTGAACTACAACTCCAAAACCAAAGGACACTGCCCACCAAACCCTTCCAGTATTTTCTGTTGGTCATGGGAGAACTTTGAGTGTAGGTGAACTATAAATCCCAGCAAGTACAACTCCCAAATGACAAAATCATTTTTTTTAAATGAGGGACATACATTTAGTTGTTAGGTGTCTTGTGTCCAAATATGGTGTCAATTCGTCCAGTGGTTTTTGAGTTCTGTTAAACGAACATTACATTTTTGTTTATATAGATACCTTTCTGGACCTTCCACTACAAAATATTGCACAGTACATGTACCCCAATAGAGAAAATCTGACTTGGTGATTTTATAGATTGCACTTCTTCAGCTGGGAATGTGAAATGAGTTTATTGCTTTGTGTAAGAAGTGTGCATAGGGGACTTCTTCGAACATACAGACTGGAGTTTCAGGGGATTGACTTCCATGTAAACTGTGGTAACCTACATCACTTCAACTTCCCATTCTGAAGCCTTCAATTCACCGGGCTAAATGCCGTTTTGGTCTAAACTGCAGGAGACTCACTGCAAGAGATGCAATTAGGCATCAACGTTTACTGTAGGTGAGGCCAGTCAATTTCACTGGGCCTACTGTGGTTGGGACTAGAATTTAGCCAACTAAAAAAGTTGGCAACTGCATCTGAACCTGCTGAAAATAATGGAAATTCCAGATGTTTCTCCTATAGAAAGCTATCTTGTTTGTGGCCCACAAGGGTATAGTTGATATTGTTTTATGTAAACGAATGTAAGAAAAAAAGATGAAAATCCCTCACATAGGATGGTGGGAATTGTGCAGCCTTCGAAGTATTGATGAACTCTAGTTCTGTTGCAATTAAGCAGCATCTGGGGTAATGAGGGGTTGTCATCATATTACTTTTGATTGGAGTGGACCTGAGAAACCTGTGGAAATTGTTAGTTGCAATGAGAATGGGGATCATACAATTTTCCCAGATGCCGTAGACTGCAACTCCCGGTGATATTCCTTGCCGTTGTTGCACTGGCTAAGACTATTCAGAATTTTAGTCTGACACCATACAGAGGGCACTATGATTTCAATCCCTAGCTGAGGTACCTTCATTTTTGGATTTTCCATTCAGGTTAGGACTAACATGTGATGAAGCCCCATGATGCTAAATTATTCCTTGTTCTCACATGAGAGAGTTCATTGAGAAAAGATCCCCAGCAGAATGTTTCTGCCAAATATTTTGAAATAAAAAGTTTCAGTTATCTTTGTGGTTTCCCTATTCTTTTCTTTTCTCTTGCGTTTTGACTAGTTTTCCTTCCACAGTTTGGAATTTTCTTCCCCCTTTGTGTTTTTTGTATATTTTGCTCTTCCTGAACAAGTTATCAAATTCATAAATGGAACATATTTCCCAAGTTGTCATGGTTACATTATTATTAGTGGGTCCAGGGTTTACAAAACCATAGCACATGCATTCTGACAAATGCTGATAATGTCTGATAGCCGAAGAATTCAGTGTGGTGTGTCTGTAGCTGATCATGGGCTTGAATCAAAGGCTCATATGTAATGCTATATTCAAAGTTGTCCTACTTACATGTCTCTTAATATTTTTTTCCTCTGTTGCAGTTTGGCAAAAAAAAAATTGTCTCTAGTCAGGCAATGTTAGGAATTTAAATGAAAAACACATAATCGTTGAACCATAATCTTTCCAGTATTATGCACAAGTCTTGAAAAGTCCTGGAAATTGGGGTGATAAAAATACTGTTCTGGTGACAAGTTTTCTGGCATCACTGATGATGCCTATCTTGTTTATTGTAAACTTTGAAATGGATTTGGACTTGCATTGAACCTGTCATGGGTTGGAGTTTTCTTGTCAAGATGTATTTATAGGACTTTTCTGTTGCCTTTCTGTAAGGCTGAGAGAGAATGAATTGCCAACATCACCCATTAGGTTTCTTTGGCTGAGATGGATGATTTGTACACTGGTCTCCCAGAATCAGCCAGTGTTTTTTTGGGGTTTTTTTTTTTTTTTTTTTTGCAAGAAGAGATTTAAACTCTATAATCTCCCAAAGTCCTAAACCAACATTCAGGCCACTAAGCCATACTGGCTCATATCCTGTTACATACATTGTTTTAACAAAAAAAAAAAAAAAAAAACCTTCCATGGGATGATCTGAAAGCCTGGTTCTGGCATTTCTTATAGTTAGTACATGGGTCCTTGGGAAAGTGGATACTCTCCATTTTGCAAGTGTTATGTTATGAATCATGGTAAATAAACTGTGTTACAGAGGAACATGGTGTTCAGATGCTTTCAAAAAATTTTTTGTTTTGTTTAGGTGTTTTGTATCCACCTTTAGGGTGTTTGTTGTTTTTGGTTCCTCTAATCTTTGCAGCAGGAACACTTAATTCCCTCTTAAAGTCAACCATTTCTTTTCTGACAGTTGCAAAATGAGCTCAGGTAATACAGCCTTCAGATATATACCATATATACTCGAGTATAAGCCGACTCGAATATAAGCCAAGACACCTAATTTTACCACAGAAAACTGGGGAAATGGATTGACTCGAATATAAGCCAAGCGTGGGAAATGCAGCAGCACTGGTAAATTTCGAAATAAAAATAGATGCCAATAAAATTACATTAATTGAGGCATCAATTGGTTAAATGTTTTTGAATATTTACATAAAACTGTAATTCAGCATAAGACTGTCCAACTCTGATTCAACCATTATTCTAACCTTCAATGTAAATATGCTTACGTATCCTTCCAATAATAATAAATAGAGTAAAATAATAATAATAATAATAGAGTAAAATAATAAATGTAACAATAACAATATTAGAGTAAAATAATAAATGTAATAATAACAATAATAAAGTAAAACAACAACAACAAAGTAAAATAATAAATAACCTTGACTCGAGTATAAGCCGGGGGAGACTTTTTCAGCCTAAAAAAAGGACTGAAAAACTAGGCTTATACTCAAGTATATACAGTAAGTTACATTTTTGAAGCTTTCTGTGCTGGTGACTGATCTATAAGAAAAGAGGTATCTTGTTGGCATTACCAGCAGTATTTGCGATATTTGTATACTGCCCTTCTCAACCTCAACTCAGGGCGGTTCACAGTGTTGGCAACAATTCAATGCCCTCGATAAAAACAGTACTTTGAGGTTATGCAATTTTTTTTCCCAGTTTGACAGATTTTTTTTTTTTTGTCTTGAGCTTAGGGGAGTTTGAAAGGTCACTTGAAATATATTGATTCATGTTCATCATCAAGGAGTTCATCAAGAACCTTTCTATGTACATTTGTTTTGTTCTGAACTCCAAAGGCATGTGCAAATACTTTGGAGAGGGAACAATTGTCTGTCAGGTAACTGGCCAATGACCAAGCGGATATTTTTTGTTTCCTTCTCATAGAATGTGGTTTGCTTTACCTGATGTAAACCTACCTCACACTGTCCACCCAACTATTTTTGCAAAATAATTTAGTTGTGGAAATAGAGCAATTATTGTTATGGGCCTTTTTTTAGTTTATTTTTCAAATTAAAGATTGAACAGGTGGAAAGACAGGATGCACTTTTCTTCCACTCTGAAGAGAAAAGAAATCTGACTTTAGAAAATGTATCTTGTGGATGTACCAGGGAATTGACAAAATTGATTATCAGGGACAGTGTTTATGTTACATGTCCATATTCTGTGATTTACTGTTTCTTTATGATATGCATATATATTGAAATAGGAATCCCATGAAAGTTGCTTCGTCATTGAAAATTCCTAAGTAGATGTTGAAAGCTGTTCGTTCTATTGACTTTCACTATACTCAGTGATATGTTTTAGTATCCAAAGTCTTGTTTTGTTGCATAATTAAAGCATATTGAAACTTGGTGCTATGGGAATCCCAGATTGATTACAGTGTGGCAGCAGAGCTAGTTGCTGTGACAAAAGATTATGTTTTCACTCGTTTAGGATTGGCAGAAGGTCTGCTAACCAAATACGTTAGATATGTTGTTGTCATACTAGTTTGAGTTTTGGACCAAGGGCTCTAGGAGACTAGGATTTGAAGCCTGCTCAGCTATGGAAAACCACTGATGGCCTGGGCCCAATCAGATTGTGTGGGTCTTCACAATATAGTTTGAAGGCACATATCAGCAATAAGGGCAATGGATATAAAAAACTAGAAGGTGGACAATCAGTAAGGGCTGCTGAAGTATCTGGGTGACCTAACTTTTTGTACAATGACTGTTACAAACAGGCCCTTAGCCAGGATTTTGATTTGGTGGGGGGCTGAGGATCTATCCTAGCAAATCTTTTGTGTTGTTACCCCAATACCCCCATGCATATGGGGTATATTAAGCATGGTGATCAGATCATGATATGAATAAACTTAACAGTTTAAATAATGTACCAGTAAGGCCTTCTCGTGG